TTTCTCTATATGTACATATAATAAAAACTTAAAATACCTTCTTGTAATGACCCAAAAGGCCTTGAGCTTAGATATTTTGCATAAGGCATTGTCTGGTAGACCCTTACCAAGATTGTTCAAATTATAGCCCTGGGGTCAAAATCGGCCCCGCCCGGGGGGTCATTGGTTTTCCTTATATGTATATAGTAAAAACTTATAGTTAAAACTTTAAAAAATTTTCTTCTAGCAATTGACAAATGCTAGAGGTTAGATATTTTGCATGAAACATTGTGAAGTGAACTTCTAGCAAGATTGTTGTTGAATTATAGCCCTGGTGTCAAAATTGCCCCGCCCCAGGGGTCATTGATTTTAAATATATTATAGTAAAAAATCTTATTGTCTGAAGGTACAAGGCTTAGAGCTTTAATATTTGTTAAATGATATCATCTATAGGAACTCTACCAAAGTTGTTCAAATTTTGCCTCTAGTGTCAAAATTAGCCCCGCTCCGGGGGCCATAGGTTTTCTTATATGTATAAAGTAAAAACTTAAAAAATCATCTTCTTTAAATTTACAAAGACTAGAGTTAAGATATTTTGCATGAAACATTATGTAGTGAACCTCTAGCAAGATTGTACAAATTATAGCCCTGGGTCAAAATTGGCCCCACCCCAGGGGTCATTGATTTTTCACTATGTACACATAGTAAAAAAAATAAAAAATATTTTGTCTGAAGGTACAAGGCATAGAGCTTTGATGTTTGCTATATAATATCATCTATAGGTCCTCTACCAAAGTTGTTCAAATTTTCCCTTGGTGTCAAAATTGGCCCTGCCAGGGGGCAGTGATTCTCATTATGTACACATTGTAAAAACAGAAAATAAAACAAATGTTTTCTGAATGGGAGAAAGCTACAGCTTAGATATTTGACTTGAAATGTTGTTTGGTGGACCTGTATCAAGATTGTTTTGAATTAAACCCTTGGGTCAAAATTTTGCCTTGCCCAAGGGGAAAGTGACCTACTTTCTTGTCCTTTGATGTACAGCAATGGAATTTTGACCATGTGCACAGTTTAAGTTGTAAAGTGAACTTTGATATCAGCTGACCTAGATTTTAACAAAGTGTCTTACTGTGTTGTCCTTTGATGTAGTCATGATATTTAGGCTGTGTGAAATATGACATTCACCACCAAAGTCACCAGACTCAAGTGCATTGATATATTCCTACTCAGATCTTTTATTGGATTAACAATAGATTTAACCACTAATCTGATAATAAGAATTAGATAGGTCAGGGATCTATGCATTATGACAATCTTCAATTGTATAGAAACAAAAAAAAATCTGTTCCTACACTACTATTTAGTGTTGTATTAATGCGGTGGCATAGCATTTTTCTCAAATGCAATCTTGTTTTTTTTTTGTTTTTTTTTATTAAAATTAATAGATATTACAATTATTGTATAATAAACAATTATGATCAACATGGTAATATAACCTGTGTCATATTTTAACTAAGTGTGAACAAAAATTCTAAGAGGGGGTCTTCGCTAATAGCGATAACATAATAAGGGACAATTACACAAGTGTGGTACGTGTTGATCATGCGTTACACATATGGATTATAAATAATTGTATACATGTATATCCGTTGCTATTAATAACCACGATCATAAAGAAATAACAAGTAATATTCTAATCTCTAGCATGCCAATCAAAGTTCATAATGAACAATGTCTTTCGTCCGCTCATTCATAAGTGATATACAATACTGGTAGTTTATAAGAATATCTTGTCATCATATATCGACTAGTTCATCTTCACTTGCTGCATTTCTTGCTTGGACGCCCTTTGATGCTTTGCATCAATGCTTTTTGTGTCGCCTTGAAAAGGTGACATATAGGGGTTACTTTTGTCGGCGGCGGCGGCGTCTGTGTCGGCGTCATTGTCGGCGTCGTTGTCGGCGTCCCCTAAAGCTTGTCCGGAGCATAACTCAGTCACTATAAGTCTGATTGACTTCAAACTTGGTATGCATGCTTCTTTCAATAACCCGAAGTGCAGTGCACAAGGACTGGTACTCTGCAGTTCTTATTTTTTGAGTTATTGCCCTTTGTTAATTTTCATACTTTAATTTTGTCCGGTCCATTTCTCTTCAACTAAAAAAGCTATGGACTTGAAACTTCATAGGATGATAGATCTCATTATTAAGAAGTGCAGTGCACAAGAACCAGTACTCTGCACTTCCTAATTTTTGAGTTATTGCCCTTTGTTAATTTTCATACTTTATTTTTGTCCGGGCTATTTCTCCTAATGTATAAAAGCCATGGACTTGAAACTTCATAGGATGATAGGTCTCATTAAGAAGAAGTGCAGTGCACAAGAACTGGTACTCTGCATTTCTTATTTTTTGAGTTATTGCCCTTTGTTTATTTTCATACTTTAATTTTGTCCGGGCCATTTCTCCTTAAGTATAAAAGCTATGGACTTGAAACTTCATAGGATGATAGATCTCATTAAGAAGAAGTGCAGTGCACAAGAATCGGTACTCTGCATTTCTTAATTTTTGAGTTATGGCCCTTTGTTAATTTTCATACTTAATTTTTGTCCAGGCCATTTCTCCGAAAGTATAAAAGTTATGGACTTGAAACTTCATAGGATGATAGATCTCATTAAGAAGAAGTGCAGTGCATAAGAACTGATACTCTGCATTTCTTATTTTTTGAGTTATTGCCCTTTGTTGATTTTCTTACTTTATTTTTGTCCTGGTCATTTCTCCTCAAGTATGAAAGCTATGGACTTGAAACATCATAGAATGATATATCTTATTGATAAGAAGTGCAGTGTACAGAAACTGCTGCTCTGCACTTATTATTTTTTTAGTTATTGCCCTTTGTTATTTTTCATATTTCATTTTTGTCCTGGCCATTTCCCCTAAACTACATTGTTCACAAGGCGACACATCCGACTCACGGAGTTCTAGTCTTGTATTTGATTTATATGGAAAACTAATAATGGCCCGGTCTTTGACTTCCCCGGCTAAAGACTACACATGTATATTTAAAAGAAATCAAATTAAAAATATATAGAATTCTATACCTATCAATGAAATTTTCAGTGCCAGTTCTAGTCAGGCGCCGCCATTTACAATGAAACTCAATGATAATAGGTGGGGTATTCCGATAACAGAGCAAATCTCAACTTTTTCGGATTAATAATAATCGTCGAGTGTTCCGAGTGAAAACAGAAGCGTTGCATGAAATACCAAATGACACCTTTAAAACGGATAGAATGAAAGGAATTTGTTTTACGACTTCCCCGTTCATAGGCTTTGCCTAATTTCATATTAAAACTGTATTGTGTTGATATTTGTCGTAATTTTGAGCAAATGAAACATTAAAATATTTGATTATAATTTATGTAATGACTTTTATAATGATTTAAACTTAAGATTGAAATATACTTTAAATGCAGAAATCACAATATTTATAAAGGATTTATTGTATGCCTTAAAAACAAAAGTTTTTTTAATACACAACGTAGCATAAGTTAATGCATATAAATTTTTAGCTCGACTTTTTTTTTTTTGAAAAAAAAAGTAGAGGTATTGTTATAGTCGCAGCGGCGTTGCCGTTGCCGTCCGCAAACTTGTACCTGGATCATAACTTTTTTATTTCTTGATGAATTGTCTTCATACTTGGCCACAACAACAAGACCTTTCAGTAGACCACACTAACCTTGACCTTCATCCATAAATGACATTGACCTTCAAGGTTAAAAGTCCAAATTTTGCTTGACATGCTGTTATTGGCTGTAACTTTGTTATTTTTGAATGGATTGTCTTCAAACTTGAACATAATAATCTTCAAGGATATCCCTTAAAAATCACCTGACAGACCTTGACCTTCACTCATAAATGACCTTGACTTTGAAGGTCAAATTATTGAAATTTTCATGTTTTTGGCTATTATTGTCTGTAACTTGTTATTTTTGAATGGATTGTCTTCAAACTTGAACATAATAATCTTCAAGGATAACCCTTAAAAATAACCCGACAGACCTTGACCTTCACTCATAAATGACCTTGACTTTGAAGGTCAAATTATTGAAATTTTCATGTTTTGGCTATTATTGGCTGTAACTTTGTTATTTTTGAATGGATTGTCTTCAAACTTGAACATAATAATTTTCAAGGATAACCCTTAAAAATAATTCAACAGACCTTGACCTTCACTCATAAATGACCTTGACTTTGAAGTTCAAATTATTGAAATTTTCATGTTTTTGGCTATTATTGGCTGTAACTTTGTTATTTTTGAATGGATTGTCTTCAAACTTGAACATAATAATCTTCAAGGATAACCCTTAAAAGTAACCCGACAGACCTTGAATTTCACTCATTAATGACCTTGACTTTGTTTTGGCTGTAACTGGCTGTTACTTTGCTATTATTGAAGGGATCAACTTCATATTATAACAGAACATACTTAAAGACAAGACCTTGTTGTTTATCGTGACTTCACCATGTGACTCCGCCACGTGACTCCACCACGTGTCTCCACAACGTGACTCCACCACGTGACACCACCATGTGACTTCACCACTTGTCTTCAACACGTATCTCCACCAAGTGTCTCCACCACGTGACTCCACCACGTGTATCTATTTATAGAATTTTGTGTTTCTATTGATAGAATTTTCTATTTATAGAATTGCGTGTCTCTATTTATATATATATAAATTAGTAAATTTATATATAAAAAATATATAGACAAAACTAATGTGACAAGACAGAATGATTCATTTTATAAAAAGGAAACGTTAATATTTTGTTCAAACATTTCTTTGTTTGCTTTTAGAGAAAGTAAAAAGTCAAGCGTTGCCCCCGCCCGGCGGTGGCACTTGTTTTTTTTTAAATTAATATTATTTATTTAAGAAAAAAAAAATCACAAGATATGCTTTACATAATTGATGAACACCTATTATAGTCTCACTCATATTGATAACTATTATTTATACCTTTCAGATTGTTGGCAAGCATGGACCTGTTTATGAAGCCTACTACAGACAGGTCAGTTTATATGCCAAGGCATAAAATCAGATATTGTTTGTTTTCCCTGTGACTAACTGCCCATAAAAATCACAGCTAAGGCTGAGCTACCCAAAAAATTTCATTGCCTAAGAAAAATTTTTTTTGTTTTTACTTAACATGGCAGCAGAGAATGTCAATAAGAATCTGCCTCATGTTAATTGTAAATATACATACTGGGATATACATACATTGTATATGTTGAATAAAACTGAAAATATGGTTCTAATCTTTTAATAAACAAATGCTAAACATTCACAATTTGTTTGAACTCCATATAATTTTGATAGAAAAAAAATCATTTTGGATAAAAAGATAATATTTTAGCAACCTACATGTACCTACTGTACCCAAACTGGCAGGAGTCGCAGGAGGGGAAACAAAGATAATTTTATGGCTTTTATCGGAAATTTTGTTTTTGTATTCTATTTATCATGGTTTCAATTTTAGTATGAGTTTCTTTCTATTAATTTCAAATGAAACAAAAAACTGTCAAGAACATCTCAAGTTCATGTCACACACAGTTATACATTTATGCCAAGGTTCATATCTATATGAAATAGTCCCAATTTTTTTTTGTCCAATGTAAGATAGACTTTGATTTTCAAAAGTACTGTTTGTTTCAAAGTTTATCAGTTTAATATTTTTAAAATACTAAAAGGTTAAAGTGTTCCATTCTCTTCGTATTATTTCAATATGTGAGCCACGTCACAACAAAACCAACATAATGCGTTTGCGACCAGCATGGATCCAGACCAGCCTGCGCATCTGTGCAGTCTGATCAGGATCCATGCTGTTCGCTATCAGTTTCTCTACTTGTAATAGGGTTTGTAAGCGAACAGCATGGATCCTGATCAGACTGCGCGGATGCGCAGGCTGGTCTGGATCCATGCTGGTCGCAAATGCATTACGTTGGTTTTGTCATGACGCGGCTCATATATTGATGAGGTGTCTGATAAAGCTGAAGGTGACTGATATAGCTAAAATTATCAGGCATGCACTTTATCAACAGTAATCAATGTAATGACATGATAATTTCTATATTCTTGAAAAAATGCAGTAAACTGTGACATTTATCAGACTAGTTAACTTGAACCTTTTATGACTTCAGGCTGACCCAAATAATACTGGCAGTCTGGGAGCTCTTGATGCTGCAACATTTATGAAGAAATCTGGACTGAAAGACAATGTTCTCTCACAGGTAAATATGCATGTTTTTGCTGATACACATGTATGTTGTATTGATTCTTACTATGAAAATTACCTTTTGAATCAAGTCAAGGTTTAAATTACTTATTTTAACAGTTAAGTGTGTTTTATCAAGACTTGGTAAAAGGGTGGGTGCTGGATGAAGGAAGCCGGTTTGATACAGTCTGGGGGCATCAGCTCCCTATTTGATATATATAGGAAAAGACAGCTAAAGAATGCTAGAAGAAGAAACACTAGCTGATGTCACAAAATTTTCTTTATTGATTTATTCAGAAATGTGTAACTTGGGCAAGTCTATATTTTTTACAGGTTTTTAATTCAAAGCAGCCTGTTCACATCAGGGTCAAATTTAAAAACTCATGTTCTCTCCATTTTTTATCCTCATTGAATTAATATTTGATATTAAGTTAATAGAATTGGATTGAAATAGCATGTTGATCTGAATTTATTGTAACTTAACAAGATATAGGCGTTTTACAGTTGATCGAAATATTGATCCTGATCCTAAAAATTGATCCTTTTTTTTATTAGTCCCCTACCGGTTTACCGGAGGGGACTTTAGGTTTACCCTCCGTCCGTCTGTCAGTCCGTCTGTCCGTCCGTCAGTCCGTCCGTCCACAAAACTGGATCCCGCAATAACGCAAAAAGTACTGAAAATATTTTAATGACAATTGATATATGGATAGATGGCAGTATGGAGATTATGCACGTCTTTTTCTTTTCTTCCTATGTTGAAAATTCTGGTTACTATGGCAACAAATAGACTGAAAATATGACAAATTTTACACATAAACTGGATCCCGCGAGAACGCAAAAAGTACTGAAAATATTTTTATGAAACTTGATATATGGATAGATGGCAGTATGGAGATTATGCACGTCTTTTTCTTTTCTTCCTATGTTGAAAATTCTGGTTGCTATGGCAACAAATAGACTGAAAATATGGCAAATTTTACACATAACCTGGATCCAGTGATAACACAAAAAGTACTGAAAATATGTTTATGAAACTTGACATATGGGTAGATTGCAGTATGGAAATTATTCACATCCTTTTCTTATCTTCCTATGTTGAAAATTCTGGTTGCTATGGCAACAAATAGACTGAATTTCAAGATTTCTGATTCTAGTTTTTAAGTTTTTTCACTATAAGTTCTTTATTTCTTAAGGTATTTTCTTCAAACTTTAAATATAAGTTGCTTGTCATCAACCACATCATATGTGACAAGGTTTACAACTCTAGCACAAAATTTATCAGAATTACCTCCCTTGAACTTGAAATTTTCATGGAAAAAACATTGTTTTTTTTAATAACTTCTTTTTCTGAATATATCTACTTCAAACTTCATATAAATGTTTCTTATTGTCACTCAACATTTGTGAGTGTTCAATACTCTAGCAAGACTATTTCCAGAATTATGCCCCTTTTGAACTTAGACTTTTTTTTGAGAAATTGGTAATTTTTACTCCAACTTCTTCAATCATGATAGGATTTTAAAAATGTTATATTTTGATAACAGGGATGTTTAAAAAATAACTTTAGAGTGTCTTTCAGTCTGTCTGTACATAAAAACTATTTCCTGTGATCACTTTTAAAGAACTTTTTCAACAAATTTACTTTAAATAGGAACCTAAGTGAATGGCCAATGGCCCATAGAATGTTGCTTGGGCTCGTACCGGTAGGGGACTTATGGATTGCTTGCAATACTATGATAATTGCTTGTTCAACTAATTTTGTAGGCCTGTTTTTCTATACAAATAAGCAATTTTTTTACATTTTGTTAATGGTATGTACCAGACAATTCAATGAAAATACGATCACTTCTAGTTTTATAAAACAATGCAAATAAAATCAGGAGCATTTGATTCAGATCCTGATCTTTTGTTAGTTAACATAGGGGCCCAGACTGCAGACAAAAAAAATGCAAAAATTTGTTTGTACAAAATAGTTTCAAATAAACACTCTACCCTTTTTGACTTTTATTTGCCAAAGTAGAAAGTCCAAATTTACAATATTACTCATAAACTAATTAAAAACACAATCCTTAAATCTCTTGGAAAAAAGAATAACATTACATGTACATATACTTTATTTCGATTACTACTCCAGTTTTTGTTTGAAAAAAAAAAGTTGTTAATTGAAGTGAACATGATGCCAGTTACTCTCTTTGATTTCAGATATGGGATATGTCAGACCCTCATGGTAAGGGGTACTTGGAAAAGACCGGTTTCTTTGTGGCACTTAAGCTGATTGCTTTAGGACAGAGCGGACAAGATCCTAGTCCTGCCAAGCTTACAGTAGATGCACCACAGCCTAACCTTGTATGTACCTGCTGCCTTTATTTTCATTGAACAATAATATTTTCTGTATTTAGAGGGATTTTAAAAGGAAATAAGTGAAAAATATTCAAAATATGCTTTTAGCAAAATACATCACCCTACAGGGTGCATTTGAACAGGGCTTAATAGTTACAGTTAAATGTGTTGTATATATTATTGGCATATAGCTGAAATTAAGTTTATGCCAAATAAAAATACATAAACAATGAAAACTATCAATTTGTGTCACATACCCGTGACCTGTTTTTAAAAAACGCCTTGAGGTGACCTTATAGAGTGAACAATTACAACACAATTATTCATTTGCAGTTAAATTTTATCAACATTTTTCAAAATGAACAACACTTTTATCAGATGTGTTTAATAAAGTAAAAAAAATATTGTTCAACCTACCATGTACATGTAGTCAGTATATGTAGTATATGTTACCCTTACAAAAATAACTTGTTATCCCAAAAGGATGGTATTATAAAGGAAAGTTTGAAATTGTCAGTCTATCTGCTCTAAAGAAATTGGTAATTTAATGGCTATGGGAACATCAATTTTATTTGTGCAACTGTTCAGTAAACGATTTATGTGGATCAATTGGGTTTATGTGGCTATAGGAAAGATAGACCCAGCAAAAAATATCATGTAGGCAATGTATGCTTTCTGAACCTGCATATTTGTCTATGTACTTCAAATTCAATGCACATCAATCAGTTAATATAGGCAGTTACAGCAAAAGTTTAAAAATCAATTCCAACACTGGTGACCTTGACCTTTTGCCCCAAAGCTAGAGGATAAGCGTATGTACGCACCAGATATAAAATACATCAGTCAGTAAACAAAGACTGAAGGAGCAAAAATGTTATAACCTTGACCCAAGTGGCTATTTCCTCCTCCCAAAGAAATAGGACCACTCAAGATATTAACTTACCAAATATGAAAGAATATTAAGGCAAAAGTATAAAAATCTATATTTAGCATTGGTGACCTTGATCTTAGTGTTCCCTAATTCCACTCAATTTAAGAGGACCACCAAAGATATTTACCTATGTGTACCAAGTATGAAAAGTATCAGTCAATAAACAAAATTTGTGTTAGCAAACATGTCAAAATCTATTTTTAAGCATCAATGGCCTTGAGTTTGACCCAAGTGACCAATTACTATACCTAAAGTAAGAAGACACCCGTATGTTTGTACCAAATATAAAAGGCATAAGGCAATGAATAAAGGCTTAATATGCACTTGATTATTTGTAACAAGCATTATTAGTTAAGGGAGAAAATGAAGAAGTCAAGCAAGGTAGCATTACAGTTCTTAGTCAGTGCACTTCATTAATACTTTTCAAGTTATTCTTTCAACAAGCAGTATTTACTAGCAAACATCTTCTAACATTTTATTCATATGTGTACAAGTTTTCATGCATATACCTCAATAGTAAGGCTTTTTGAAATCTTTCTTTTATAAAGTTAATCAAAATAATGCTAAAATCAGAGTTTCTGACATTTTGAACTTACACCCATGTCTTCATTATGAATTAATCATCTTAATTCATTAAGTTGGTCTAGGTTGACTCACCTAATGTGGCATCCTTATGTCTGCATTGAAGAATAGTGACCTTTTCTAGCAATGTGTCTCAGGTGAACAAGTCAGTGCCATCATGGTCCTCTTGTAATCTCTTCATGTTTTAACCAATGTCATAGAATGATATGTCATTGGTTTGAATTAGATGTCATTGGTTTTGTAAAAAACGGAAGATATTGTTGTTTTTTTTCAGGGACCGTATCAAATAGCACCTGAAGTGGAACCAGCTGGTACTACCGGAGCACCATGGGCTTTATCGGTAAGATTGTTTTTATATAAGATTCTACTGTCATAATTACTGAATTACATGTTGTTTAAATCTTCTTTTATGGAGAACTTGGTCGACAAATAAGAAGATGTGGTAATTGCTTTGTGTGATGATTGAAATATGTACATGACTTTAAACGTCCTCTGGCTCATATTTACAGATACATACAGTAAACTCCACTTATAATGATATTCAGGGGATCCCTGAATTTATATCGTTATATCCAGATATCATTATATCCAAAAGGCAACTAATTTGGTAAGAACAGTCTGGACTGCATCAACAGCATTGTTGTAAGCAGTATATTGTTATAATTGGAGTTTAATGTATAGTGTAACTAAGGATAGGATTGAGAGGCGGGGGGGTGTTTAGATTTTTAGCTCGACTATTCGATAAGAATAAGTAGAGCTATTGCAGTCACCCGAGCGTCGGCGTCGGCGTAACCACTTATGTTAAAGTTTTTGTAATAGTTCAAATATTTTCTAAGTCCATAGACATATGGCTTTGAAACTTTGCACACTTGTTCACCATCATGACCCCAACCTGTAAACAGGAGGAGGTAACTGTATCAAGCATTTTTTTTTACTATCAAGCACTAAGAATAGTCGAGCGTTGCTGTCCTACCGACAGCTCTTGTTATATTGTCCTGTCATTATGTCAGCAGACAGAAAAAGTTTTTAGCTTGGCCATAACATCGTTTTACTGTAAGCAAAAACTTTGATACATGGATCTGATGAGATATTCACATATTATAATTATGACCTTGACCCCTAAATGACCTTTAATGTCAAATGTTTAAAATGTCAAAAGAAAATTCAAGTTATTTTATATGTGGAATTTGTATGGGGTATTTGTCTTTTACAAACAAGTTTGTTTCTCTTTTCCCTCTTAATGACTTTGAAGCTTGACCTTTGCCTACAAGGTCAACTTATCAACATTCAGGATATAGCTGTAACATTTAGTTATTTATATATTGATTTAAAACATGTGTATCTTTGTTTTACTACATTTGAACTTGACAAAGACATCTGCCTGTATGTATTTCAGGCTAATGAGAAAGTCAAGTATGATCAAGTGTTTGACAGTCTTCAGCCAGTTAACAATCTTCTTGCTGGTGACAAAGTAAAACCTGTAAGTGAAAAAAGAAATGAGCCGCATCATGACAAAACCAACATAATGGGTTTGCGACCAGCATGGATCCAGACCAGCCTGCGCATCCGCGCAGTCTGATCAGGGTCCATGCTGTTCGCTTACAAACCCTATAACAAGTAAAGAAACTGATAGCGAACAGCATGGATCCTGATCAGACTGCGCGGATGCGCAGGCTGGTCTGGATCCATGCTGGTCGCAAAACCATTATGTTGGTTTTGTCATGACGCGGCTCAAATATTGATGTTACATAAGGTGCTGTAAGTAATACAAAGAGGCTATCTGATTTGTACAAGAAGTGCGTAGAAAGATACTCTTTTTCTCTTTTGAATCTTAGGCAAAAATAAAAACACTTGTCATGTCGTCTCACAAAATGAACCAATGTATGAGCTGATCTGAATATGATTTTTCTATCATTATCCCCTTCCCTGTCATCATTATAAGTAAACCCCAGAAAAAAAAATATAGACCGTTTAATTTTTATCCCGACAGACAGTGTGGTAATTGGAGTGCACTCTCCAGTTAACGCACTGTGCAGTTATACTGGTATACAATTTCAACTCTGACACATTTTCAATAGAAAAAAACTCAAAACTATGATACAAGTGTGAATTTATACTTTTGTTGCTTTTGGTGTAGCATATTAGAGTGGGCATCTTATATGTTTGTGCCATTTTGCTCTTTGATATGAGGAATTATTGTAACTATTAACTTATCCAGGAAAGCCAGTTTGTTGGTTTGAATGCTAAGATGTGATCAAAAATGCATTAAAAATTATCCAAATACTAGAAAACAAACAAATTAACTTGTCTGTAACACAGATTGTTTGCACAGGTAGTCTAAATTCAACATTTAAGTTTGCAGTATTTTGCTTTATCTCTCATTATATTTTTCTCAGTATTTTAATGATATACTTAGAATAGACAGTGTTATACTTACAACAGACAGTGTTATACTTACAACAGACAGTGTTTAGTATAAGTTTGTAAATTGAAAAGAAAAAAAAAATGACAATATTATAAGTGATTTAATATGGTAAACATAGGCTTTATAGTATATGCTATGCCATTGAAAACGAAGTTCATTTTGTAATCATACTGATGCTCGTACAGTATGCCAGAAGTTGTTTTTGGATCATATTGCCATATTCTTGAATGAATTCTGCATAATTTAGTAGTTCTTATTTTAACTACATTCAGGTATGCTGATAATTTGATCACTTTATATTGCCCTTGAATCAGAATGCCTTAAGTAGGACAGACTTTGTTGTTAAAGCTGCATGCCTCCAGATAAGTCAAAATATTAAAAAAAAATTGTACTAAGATCTTCAAAAAGAAAAACTATTCACAATTCAAGTAATGATTTACATTTTGTATGCAATTAATGACTGATTTTGCAATTGTTATCACCATATTTCTACTTTGTAACTAATGCAGTAAGGGCTATTTTTGCATCGTTCAACCTTTATTTGGTAATAATTGTGGATTGAAAGTGTTGTTTGTAATGTGTCAATTACTTTCATTGTTCACTTGACAATATTTTACCTTTAAATTCATTTTCAAATTTAAAAAAAAAAGCATAATTATGCTTCTTTAAACACTATTGTTCAGTTTCAGTTTTAATTCTTACACTTACAGCCTTTAATCATTATTTCCCAAATTTTAGTTGGTTTATGAAATTAAGAACTAACTTGTTCAGCTACATGTCAAGTTATATGAATGATTAACCATTTGCATTTCAGGTACTGATGAACTCAAAGTTACCAGTGGATGTCCTGGGACGTATCTGGGAACTAAGTGACATAGACAAAGATGGTTACTTAGATAGAGACGAATTTGCTTTGGTAACAATATTTACTGTATTTGTTATGAGATACTTCATACTTATATTTTGTGTTATTATTTTACTACATGCATAGTTTTTTATTTGTTGTGTAATGGTTTTCAGCAATATGTAGTCTAAGAATTGTGTTTGCTGGTTGGTTGGGTGTTCTCTAAAAAAAACTATAATTTTTAAACTGACTTCGGAATCTACAAACCCTCCAATATATGAGCCACGTCACGACAAAACCAACATGATGGGTTTGCGACCAGCATGGATCCAGACCAGCCTGCACATCCGCGCAGTCTGATCAGGATCCATGCTGTTCGCTTACCAACTCTATTACAAGTAGAGAAACTGATTGCGAACAGCATGGATCCTGATCAGACTGCGCGGATGCGCAGGCTGGTCTGGATCCATGCTGGTCGCAAACCCATTATGTTGGTTTTGTCATGACACGGCTCATATATCTATAGCATTTAAATGCATGTAAATCTCAGGGGAGGAGGTTGCATGTCCCTGGACCCTTATGATTGGTGTATATCCTCAAAATCCAGGTATGTCCCTGACACGAAAGAATTTTGTAAAGGAAGTAACTAGCTATTGCTCGACCACACAGAATTCAAAACAGAAGTATTGTTTGAGCAAGTGTATTCATTTTTAAAAAGTTACAATTTGGAACTCCATATTAAATGATAATTTGGAACTTATCTTAGATTTACTCGATAACAGCTAGTTTCATTTCATCTTTTGCTTAAATATGTTTATTTTTATTGTGAAAGAAGTTCGGCAGTTTATATTCATCATAATGAAGATGAATCCTTGACTAATCAGTACTGATTATGATAGTTATTTAAAATCATGTAGATGGTTGAAGTCAGCCTCAAGCCTATAATCTTGTGGTTAAGAGGCAGAAACCCGATACCACTAGGCCACCACTCACAATAAAAGGCTAATTTTTTTTAAGTTCCACTTTTCCAAGAACAGGGAGAGTTTATGTACTCACCCAGGTGTTGGCTTCACACTTCAGTTCAGTTTTTGCATGTCAGTTTGTATCTCCAAAACTACATGAAGGGGATTGGTTGAAACTTCACACGCTTGTTTGAGAGCATAAGAGGAGGTCACTGTTCAAGTCCTAGAACACTTACATGGATTTTGACAGAATTATGGCCCTTTTTGAACTCAAATTTGTTTATATTATCCGGGCTATTCTTTTTACTATCAGACACTGAGAATAGTCGAGCATGCTGTCCTACCAACAGCTCTTGTTTTGTGAAGTAATCAAAATGACTATATGTGTACATGGTTGAGCCTGGTTCTCATGGTTACCTTAAACAGTCATTGTGCTTGGTAGCAGAATAAGTACAGTTTAAAGTGTTCATGGCAGAGTGGTCAAAGTATTTGACCTTCATTTGCTCTAATCTTGCCACTACTGTTTCAGATCCTACCTGGGTATTGAATTCTTGTTTGCAAAGAAGCGGGTCAGTTTGCTTTGTAAAGCTGTTTACTATATTGGAACACTACTGTGATTAAATTAATAGAAATGAGTAGGGCTTCCATAAGGTTTCACAATTTTGAAGTGAGAGACTGCAACATTTCATACATTGGAAGTTACATTATATAGGTAAAGAAGGAATGGTATTACATTTTGGAAGTCACAAGCCAAAATCAAGGAGTAAATGACTCCCAGACTTCTACTGAGGGAAGCCCTGAATGAGGAAGTATTCCTTCAACATCAATGATTTATGTTGTTCTGTTATTACTTAGTAAGAAAATTGTGAAAATGACTATTTATTTAATTTACTCAAAGCTTTTTAACATATGAGCTGCATCATAACAAAACCATCATAATGGATTTGCGACCAGCATGGATCCAGACCAGCCTGTGCATCCACACAGTCTGATCAGGATCCATGCTGTTCGCTATCAGTTTCTCTACTTGTTATAGGGTTTGTAAGCGAACAGCATGGATCCTGATCAGACTGCACAGATGGGCAGGCTGGTCTGGATCCATGCTGGTCACAAACGCACTATGTTGGTTTTGTTGTGACATGGCTCATATAATTTTTTCAGGCAATGCATTTAGTACATAAAGGGATGGCTAAAGAGACAATACCCCCTGCTCTACCCCCTAACTTAGTACCACCATCTAAAAGAAAGGGAGTACCAGTAGGTGGTATGCCAGTGTTGCCTGGAGCTGTGCCGGTACTAGCCGGTCTAGGGGGCCCAGGGAGTGGCCGCAACACACCAACAATGAGGTCTGACTCCCCATCATTGAGGGTGAGTTAAAATTAAATTTTAGATTTCTGCTTCTCTTTTATTATGTATGTGTGTTTAAGGGGAGATTACTGTTTAATACTTGCTTTTTTTTCCATTGTGATTGAAGTCCCTTTCCTTCAGGAAAAGGTAACTCCTGAATTCTTGTTACCTCTGCTAGTTATATATTGTGTGTAAGTTTTCCAATTTCAGGAAAAATTAAATTGAAACAAGAACAATAAGCAAATTAGAATTTTTAAAGTTTTTTCTTTTTGAAGTTGATGATTTAGATTAAAAATATTTCATATTACCGGTATACAAAGCTAAATTTCATATAAGTACAATTTCAAGGAAATATGTATCAATTTATCTTATTTTATAACTTGCAAACTTATGTTGATTTACTTTAGTAAATAATCTTCCTGTTATACTCTTGTAATGTTTTGGCATCCAGGGTAAAGATATATGGGTGGTGACGCCGGCGGAGAAAAGTAATTATGACATCATGTTCCGTAAGGCCGACCTTGACATGGATGGCTTTGTTTCCGGACAGGAGATAAGGGATATATTTCTACAAAGTGGGTTACAGAATAACGTTCTAGCACATATCTGGTAAGTGTCACTACAAAAAAAATGTTAACTGGTCGAGGATTACCTTGGGTGCCCTTTGGAATCACCAACAATCTGTAAGCTAGCTGGATAGCTTTGTCACATGAAAGAAACCATCAAACCCATAGCAGTGAGGGGCAATTGGTTTGAAGTAAATTACCTTAACCACTTGATCCAGGACATCACCATATGACTAAATAAGAGCATACAAACAAGGATTTTTGATTTCTTTTTAAGTGACATTATGCAAATCCAAGTGTTAATGGCAAGTGTACAAGTCAAAGTCAAAATAACTTTAGATTTTACCGTAATTATTTTTAAATTTAATTTTTACAGTCTAGTTCATATGAATAATCAATGACCCAGTTGACTGAGTAAAAAATCTATAAATATCCTTGGGAATGTATTATTAACATTACGTTAATAAAAAGAGTGGGGCAGTCATGATATATTTCAAGCATGTGTTAAATTTTACCCTAATTATATTTAATTATCAGTTATTGGTCAACGATCATTAAAAAATAAATCTTTTTACTTACAGAGCCATTTTTGCTCGCCCAAACAACAAAATCATGAGCATAATGTCATTTTTATAATTTATTTCTTCATGATAAATTAATATAAATTTTAACATACCAAACACAATAACCTCTCTCAGGAAATACAAAACATCTTTTTCCTATTGTTTAATTGTATTGATTCTTATTGTATTGTAAATTGTATGTTGCCATTTGCCACATTAACTTGTAATTGGTAAGTTTTTGTGTGTGTAAAAATGTTATAAATTAACTTGAATAAATTTAAAAATGTGGTGATAAAAAATGGTTTTTAAAAAAAATTATAACAAAACAGATTATGTATCATGGAATATAAAGTTAAAGAAACAAAAGGAGAAGAATTTTATAAGACTTAGTCTTTCGTTCTCATCCTTTTCTTTGAATATATTTTATATTTGTATTCTGATTGTATTGTATTATGTATATCATGTAAATATTCGGGAAATAAATATGTTTAAACTAAAGAAACAAAATATGGTATGAAATGATGTAGTTATGAAACATTCATGTGTAAGTCTACCTTGCACTGCTAAGTCAATGTACCGGTTTTATTTTTGCACCAAAAATAGCAGGGGATTTAGCTATTCCTGCATAGTTGTGGACTTGAAAAGTTTCAAGTTGTCTTCTGCAGGGCAGAGATTTTGCTAGGGATTTGTAAGTCCTAAAATCAAGGTCCCCACTGTTTTTGGGGCCAAGTAGTGTAACAAATGACTTGTGTATTAATTATAAACCTCTCAAACTGATTAGGTTTTTGCTGCCAGTATAGAACCACTGGCCAGCTTGTACAACTTTTGCAGTCCAACCTGGCCCTGTGTTCACAAAGAAAAGATCAGAATCAAGATGAAATAATGAAATGGTACATAAACAAATTGTAAAATATTGCTGATTTACAAATAAAACAAAGTCTATTTTTGGATTATAAAGATGAAATAGCATTACAGAATACAAGAATTACATGATTGAAATAAGGATCAATTTTATGATCCTTATTTGGATCATCTGTTAAATTTTTTATTTAAAGTTTTATTATTTTTTCCCCCATAAAATTTCATTATTACGCTTTTTTCAAATCAAGTTTCATTACATTTATATTAAACATTTAATTAAATCTATGAGAATTTTTGAAATTTGATCCTGATCCTTAATTCTTACATGTAGTGAACATGGGACCAGGTTTTCCTGCATGGGGATGCCAGATGAGTCACATGCTATCAAATGGCATGCTTAGAATAACATAATTTTAACATTATGAATGATTTATATTTACAAATTTGATATTGAAATCCCATAAACTTTGAACGAACTGCTCCACAGGGTAAATGAAGCAATCTGAGGTTTATCTCTTTAAAAACTGTTTTTGGATTATGGTTTACCTATTCCAGCAGTATAGAGCCAGGATTGCTGGCAAATATATTACCACTTGACGAGACTGTATCCTTCTGGCTACTCTGTTTTTAGCTTTATAGTATTTATACCCCTGAAAAAAACAATAGACTGTTCTAAAATCAAAGTAGGGCTAGTCCATTGTATTAATTCAGCAGGATCAGGCTTAAATAAAAAATTTTGCTCAAGAGATATACAAAATTTTAATGTACAAACATTAAGGACAATTTCTTTGAAAATTCCATTTTACTGCAAAATCATTATTATTTGTGGGACACAAATCTTTTTCGTGGTTTTCGTGGATAGGTCAACCTATGAAATTAAGATCCAACAAAATTTCATTTTGTCTGCTGTAAGATTATTTTGTATCACATTATAAACATTTTACCACAAATTTAAGTACCCTCAAAAAAATTTGTGACATAACCACAAAATTTCATGCCCACAAAATTAATCGTATTCACAGTATCCAATTACAACAAATAAGCCCCCCAAAAAAAAAAATTACAAAAATATGAAATTAATTACTGGTTAAATTTAAAGGGTTTACAGTACTTTACTTTAAGTTACATAAGAGATTTTTTTATAACTTTTAGTTCACAGCAACCACTGATAAATCTTTCCTCTCGTTATTTCATTTATGTTACTAAAAATAGAATCACAGGAATGGAAATGAAAAGCCGTCTGCCAATTTGTAAAGATGGAGCTGTACTTCATTTCATGAATTGATGTTCCTATGAATTATTGACGACATCCATCTGTCTGACCCTTGGCTTGCATTCCAGTTGCCATAATATACGATTTACTGAGGATAACGCACCATATATAATTTGATTTTCTTTAATCTTTTGGCAGTTTGCCAATATTAATTATTGTCGAAGTTTCAGACATGTTTTTCTAAGTGCTTTATACTGACAGATTCTGGGACATGCATTTTTGCCAATAAGAGTTTGTCTGTATGAAATTAAATTTCTTTTTTTATTTTTGTTTCTCTGTTCTATTGATTTTTAGCATATTTTGTCATTCTTATCCCAAGTAGGAAGACTGGTGTTTTGATAGGGCATTGAACTTCTAATTACATAGTACAGGTCATGGGTGTAAACCCCCATTAGTGATGAGATTTTCACCACTGGTGTGATTTCTGGTAAACACTTTTCTTGCATGATTTTTTTTGGGAGGAGAGACAGGTTTTATGTATTAGGGAAAAAGAAAATCAAAATATAAGCTAACTTCCAAGTTTGCACATAGTACACTGCAAAGGAAGTCTTGATATTAAAGAATTGTTCATTGTTATTTACAGGAACCTGTGTGACATGAAAAGTATAGGCAAGTTGAATTCGGACCAGTTCGCTCTGGCCATGCACCTAATGCAACAGAAACTGAAAGGTATAGACCCACCTCCACAATTGACCCCTGACCTTGTCCCTCCAAGCATGAGGGCCGGTGGTGCTGCAGACACGGCTGCTTTTGGCGTTGCTGTAAGTGTCTTCTTTAAGTTTAAAGGCAGATAACTCAGTTCAATTAAATGAACAAGTTTTTGCCAATAATTATAACACAAGTTTAAGAATATCACACAGTATTATAATTCAGTATATAGACTTGATTTATTTTTACACCATTTTCGCTATTTACAAAAAAAAAATGGTGATAATGTGACAGAAACCTTTATTATTGTCTGAGTCAATGGATTTTGTACACATCTCATTGTTTTTATATTATTCATTGATGTTTTTTTTCCAAGCCTTTTATTCATCATTTGGGAATTCCACCATGTCCTGTCCAATTTGGATAAAAATATAGAGCTGTTAATTGTTTATATTTGAAGTTGTTTGGAAGTTGAATTAACAACACACACGCAAAATGAAACAAAGATATACTAGTAAATCAAGCAAGCTGAACTGTATACTCTTGCTTATCAGGCTGGGGTTTCTGTTAGTTTTACCCATGCCTGAAATTTCATCTTGCTAATGCATGGGGGGTGCCAGATGAGACACGTGCTGTACTAAGGCACGCTTAGGATGATGTAATTTTAATGTCATGAAATCAATTTTCATACACTGTTGTATGAAATTAGTTACGGGTGTAATAAACCAAATTTTCAAAATTGTTTTATTAAAGTAAAGAATTTGAAATATAATGGAATATGGTAGAATATGCAAGAAAAAAATATCTGACACAATCATGTTTGCTGTTCGGATGGGAATATCGGTTCCTAGGGACGGATATTCCGATCTGAACCGCAGTGTATGACCGATATTATTAATATACAACCATTTCCATTGAGAATGGGACTTAAGCATTTGAGATTTTTATGCCCCCACTTATTACTGGAATATGGATTGCAGAAGTTAACTGTCATGAAGTATGCATGCTGGGGTAACAGAATTTCTGTGAGAAGCCTGCCAAAGTTTTTACTATTTTTGTATCTGTTTCACACCAAATTGTCTATGGTTTGGTGAAAGAAACCTGTACCAGTATTGACATTTCTGAGCAGAATTTTGAACAAAGTACATTAGTTTTCTGTAGTCTGTCACATTTTGTAAGTGAGAAGTCTTTGTTGTTTTAGAAAGTCAACACACATCTCTTATCCAGTGAATGATTTAACAAAAAAGAACATTACAATATCAAACAAATGATTCAGAATGTCCATTTTGCACTTACCATAATTCTCTAAATGGAATTTTGATTGTTCATTATGAACTGGTCACTTCTGAAATAGGAAAGTTTTGTTTTACTCTGTCACTTCTGAAATAGGAAAAGTTTGTAAGCTAAATAGATTATTAATAAATAACTGAAATGGCTTTAGAAAACTGGAAAGAAAGCTTAAGAAATCTGGCATCATATTGCTTTTGAAAACAGAATAGAAACTTTATATATACATTTTAAGAAATCTGGCATCATATAACTTTAGAAAACAGGAAAGAAACCTTATATGCATTTTAAGAAATCTGGCATCATATAACTTTAGAAAACAGGAAAGAAACCTTATATACAGCTAAAGAAATCTGGCATCATATAGCTTTAGAAAACAGGAAAGAAATTTTATATACATCTTAAGAAATCTGGCATCATATAGCTAAAGAAAACAGGAAAGAAATCTTACAGCTTTAGAAATCTGCCATGATACTTTACATACAACTTTGAAAAACTGGAAAGAAATCAGTGTAGGTTGAATTTTAGGGATCTAGAGATTGTCGGTGTTGCTCTTTGGTGTATAACTTGTACAAATATGTAAGTTTTGTGGTAATCTCTTAAAATATTGGTAGACATTCGTTTATTTTTTAGATTTTTCTTTTTGTTACATCACTTATTCATGACCTAAAGGATGTTATGCTTTTAAGTCTGGCAAGGCCTGATACTGAGTCCTAGACCAATCTAAAGAAGGGGTAAAAAAATGCTGTGTTTAAAAAGAAAGTTTGAAGTTCGATAAATAATATGTATAGAATGTCAATGTATCCTTTACAGGATGGAGTGACCAGTGCTGGACCTTATGGACATGTTGCAGATTTCTCGGCCATCAAAGAGCTTGATATGATTCAGAAAGAAATAGATGAGATTAAAAAGTAAGTAGTTCTCATATTTGTGTTTTAAGGAACTGAGCTATATGTACATATGATGTTTAGCTTGACCGTTTAAAGAATTGGGAGAGCTATTGTAATCACATCAGCGTCGCCATAACACTTTGGTTAAGTTTTTGAAATTTCAAACACTTGTTTAAGATCATATTAGGATGTCATAGTTCAAGGCCCATATCTCTAAACATTGGTTTTGACAGAATGAAAGCCATTTGTTAATTATAAGAAAATTCTACATCAAGCAATGACAGAAGTCTAGCATGCTGTCCAGCTGACAGTTCTTGTTTTTATGTATGTAATATTATTCATGAAAAACGTTTCAGTCAAGCTTGAAAGTTGAAATACGACATTTGCTGTGTTGGTGCAATGAAAACACAGTAAAAAAATCCTCATCATTATTACCAACATTGTCTTCATCATTTATGTATCTAGTTGAATTATCATCAGTGTAATCATCAAAATCATCCAATATCATTATCATCATCACCATCATCATCAGTTATGTCATCATGATTACCATACCATTATCATTACATTGTTTTTCATTATCATCACCATCCTCATTGTCATTATTATCATCATCACTGTCATTATCACCATTGTCATCAACATCATCATCATCACTTTTGAAAACAGAACAATGGTAAACAAAAGAAATTGAAAATATTAGTATTCACAACATTCTTAGACTTTCAGCATCTTTTGATATCCTCTCATTTACAATTGTATAGACTTTTTTTTGGATCAGTAGTTTATATTTAGCCAGTTAGATCTAGATATTATTGTTGATATTTCATAGATCACCTCCTGAGGGAATACCATATCCTTCACTTCTAAAATGTTGTTTTAACAAATGTAAGTCAGTGCATTTTGGTGTATGTGGCAAAAGCATCACAGCTGAACAGCTGCCTCCATTTAAATGGTATCAAAAGAGTTTTTACTATTACTGAAAAATGAGATCAAATAACACAATATTGTACCATGGTTATTGTTCTTGTCGTTGGTTTTTTGTGTGTTTTTTTGCCTAGAAACAGACTGACAGAGTGTCATTCAATTTAGCTTGAAGATGTAAAGAGTTAGACTGGAGGTCTATAAATAAGTCAGGATTGCCTAAGGGGTAGAAAAAGTTCTGACAATATATATATCTATATATGTATTGTTGAAGCGCTCATCCTTATTGATTTAGGAAAAGAGAGAGAGAAAAAAATCTGCCTCGTTCAGGAGCCTGTCATGGAATTTGTCACAAAATTGTCATAAATTATTCTTTTCAATCCATTAACTTAACGACAATCCTGCATTTGAAATTTGATATATAGTATAACAGAGATGGTGTGAGAATAGATGGAAGTAATAATTGATAAAAACAGCAAGATGTCAGTTTTAGATAATTGTGAAATGAACAAGAGTTTATAAAATTCTTAATTTGAATCTATTCAAAGTTAACCCTGAACATGCTTGAACAAAAAGTGATAGCCTTTGAAACCAGAACAAAGCCAGACCAGCTTACCAAACTCTGTAGCTTTGATGAATATTGAAATCCCTAAAGACTATGAATAGATTGTTCTGTTCTTTTCCAAATTCAAAACAGGACAATTCCATTCAGCAAATCTGGAATTAGATTGAACTAGCCCTTCAAAATCATTGCACTGTTTGTCTGTTTTAGGATTCTATGAAGTTTTTTATCCTAACCTTTAATCTGCTGTCTTTGCCCTTCTTTGAATTTGAAAAAAAAAATCATAAAAATTAAAAAAGATATATAATTATCGAAATACCAGAGCAAAAATGTGAGAAACCAGTATTATAGAGCCTGGTTTAAGACTTCTAGGATGTGTTGGCCGGCCTGGCTCTATACTGGTGACAAAGGTAAATCACTTTCTGTTCCAGAGGGGTTATGGGTTCATTAGCCAGATTTTAAACTAAGCTTCATCCAAATTGTATGACAGTGAAGAGCAGTGAAAATATACTGGTAATTTATATTGTATGCTTCCTTTGTCTGCTTTCAATATTTTCAAATTTTGAAGTTTCTTACAGATAATGCAAAACAATTTTGAACATGGAAATAATGTGTGCATAAAAAATCTGCTATGAAAGTGTGGTATTATAAAGAATTTATGAAGTAAATGACCTTTGATGTGAGTGACACTAACCTCAAAAGCTATCTGGGAATGATTGAATTACCATTTTTGATTGTGACCAGCAACCCAGGCTCTGTTATGTCCATGAATAACTCATTGGGAACAATCTGCTGAAATAATTTATTTTATTACTCATTATTTCAAAGGATTTAGGCCAGATGGTAATAATTTCTTCTTTTCTCGCCAAAAAAGTTTGTAAGGTCATACTTTGCTTTTTTTGTTTTTTTATTGATGAAAATATACAAAGAAAACCCTTTTTTCTGGTGTAACCAAATGTATTAAGACTTTGCTGCCATTGAATGTAAAGAGCCGATGTCGGCCGGTACATTTGTGTAGACGTCTGATCTGTACAAAAGATGTACCACTGGGGACATTTGTCAACTTCACAAAGTCCCAATTTCAATTTCGTGAATTCATGATTGCATTTTCATGAATTCACGATTTCATCTTATGAATTCGCAATTTCATTGACTTTATTGTGAATTCATGAAGTTAGTTATTGTGAATATGTGAAGTTGAAATCATGAATTCATGAAGCTGAAATTATGAATTTGTGAATTCCGTATGTTGAATACGTGAATTCACAAAGTTAAAATTGTGAATTCACCAAGATGAAATCAGGAATTCATGAAGTTGAAATGTCCCAGCATTCTTTTGTAGATAGGGCTTTGATGAACACTAAATAATCTCTTTATAATATATATATCCATATTTGATAATTGGACACTTATTTTTGCAAGGATATGAATGTTCTTTCTTTTAAAAGAAAAGTCAGGTTTTCTTGAACAATAAAAATTTGCTACAAAGATGTATATGCAGTATTTAGTATATTTGTTGGCCTTCAGGAAGGTAGGGCAGTTTTTCTCTTAGGGCTCATAATTTTTTTATAGTTGAATAAACATGTCTTTATATACTTAAAGAGATACAAAAGAAAAGTGTAATCTTGTTAAGCAATCACTTAATACCCAAAAGGGAATAACTTTTGCTAATTTATGGCTCCTTTGATCTGCTAAATGAGTTCTTTTTCCCTTTAAAATCTAAAATTTGATTTAGATTGCCGCATTACAAGAAAATTACAACATGTAAATATATCGTTTCGCTGATAATTTGATTTGACGGCTATTTCCCCATAGTTTGCTCAGTTTGCTCAACAGTCCATTCCAAGTGTAAGGGATTTTACAGACTCGATCAAACCGAGTTTGCAATTTTCATGTAATTTTGTTGTGGTGCTTCCGAGGGATCACTTTGTTTCCAGATTTTTTTATTATAAAGAAAACCTGCAAAAACTTAAGCTTATAACTACCAACAGTATTGTGTTTGGCCCGTGGCAGTGAGACTGCTCAGAAGGGTTTCCAGCATTTACAGTTTTATGTAAATTGGCTAACGCTACACTGAGTTAAAACATAGTCACTGGTCACAAAAGAACATGTGGTTATGTTTGTGCAGTTACCCTAGCAATGAATGAAAAAGACGTGGCTAAAATTGTTCCGCTACATAAAAAAGTTCCAGCAGGTTAAGATTAAAGTTAGAATCTGAAATCGGCGTGCTTAAAGTTATTATAGCCATTAGCCATTTGAATACGAATTAGATGTTTTGATTATGATTCAGTTTAACATTATGAGGTAGATAGAGTCATGATCATCTATTGATCTATTCATCACTCTGAATTTACGTGTGGTTTGTCCACCTTGTGGCTGAGAGGATGTCTTAAAGGTTGAGGCCCACTGTTTATTTTTTAACGTAAGAGGCGACTAAAAGGGTTTGGATTACTGGAGTCTATGCATCTCTTAGCTCCAGCAGGTGAGGTTGTTTTGGCTCTTTAAGCTACCAGCAGACATTGAGATACTTATAGCCTTAATGTAAGTCATTCACACTTCCAATATTTGAAAGATTTAGCTTCATTGAATTTTTTTTTTTACTGTGATTGGTTAAGAAATTTGTACTTATCCAATCAGGTAATTCACTCATGGTTAATAGATGCTTGTATTTATCAACAAATGACAATTGAGTTATAAATCTGGTTCATGCAAAGGCTTGCTCCAACATCAGTATCTTACAGTTACAATTAATGTAATTCATTTACTGAATGAACTTTCAGTATACTTTAATCTATGAAATATTAATGACGAATCAGATGGTCATCAAGCAAGGAACCAATCTGACATAATTATCACTGGTTAGCACAATATGGCCTGCAGTCTGCGACCAGGCTCTATACTGTTTGTACCTTTGTGTGTTTTGATATTGAAATCCCTTATATTTCGAATGGGATTTTCCAAATTCAAAGCAGGGCTATTCAATTACATGAATTCTGTAGGTTAATGGGTTTAAACTAAAGTTGCCAGCTCAGTGTTTAGTATGTTGTTGCTGTATTGATCTGTACGCTGACCCGACTCTAAACTCGGGTGACACTCATAATAGCCGAGTCCAGTCCAACAGAATTTGTACGCTGCGGCCTTACAGGTGACACACAGCGCACTCAGGTCATAATTGCCGAGTCCACTCCAACAGCTTGTGGATTTTGGCTTATTTTTTCATGCTGACCTGAATCTTTACTTGTGACACTCAATAAAGCCGTTGATGTAATCTAGGTCAGGTAAGAAAAGATCATAATATTATAATACAATCAATATGTATCTTTAGTTACTATAATCAATATTATCTTTATGAATAATGTATGCATTTTTGAAACAATAAAAGCATATAATTCTTTATGCATATTTAATCCATCCATGCGTGCCTAGCCTTCTGTTTATAATGTGCAAGAATGATGAAAAGCCAGTTTGAATTATTTGTCTGTTTGAATGACATATTGATTGTGAAATTGAAAATGAGATCAAGGGGAAAAAAACAGAATATAAATCATTGTGTAGTTCAATTTGATCATTTGACATTTATAACAGGACCTTTAGTTTTATAGTACATGTGCATTGTTTATTGAAACAATTGATTAGATTGGTTCTTAAAGGTTTTGCCATTTTGCCATTTCTAAATTTGTACTATAATCATTTAACCTTCTGAATTTTCTTAAATAAATTGTCAAGCTCCTTGTTATCATTTCTATACGAACTTTGTATTGTAGAGTCTGTAGGGGTTGTTGCAGGTGTGTGTGTGGGGTGATCAAAGGCCGAGTGGTTAAGGGCGCTGACTTCAAGCCACCTGCTTCTCACCGCTGTTTAACTAAGGTTCAAATTATGCCAGGGGCTTTGTATTCTTTAATGTGAGGATGCTATCAAGCTAGCTTATAGAATGACTGTGGTTCTTTACTCAGATTTGTGCCTGAAATAATGCAAGGAGGCCAGGCACCTGAGATCTTGCAGACATCCACCAGTAAAGCTTGAAAGTGGCTATATATGACCTCTATTGTGTTGGTGCGACGTAAAACCCAACAGAAAAAAAGTATTGTAGATTTTAATCAAGCAGTCAGAAGAGCATAGAGTCAGAACTGACTGCATAATGGATGAAGTTGCCTTGTTTTATACTGATTGTATGGGCAAGCTGTAAACACTGACTATGTTCAGGGTGTCGCTGGCATATCATATATCATATTTTATTGAAAAAATGTCTAATCTATCTCGCAAACTTTATCGACTTTATGTGCCAATGTTACGGGAATGGTTGAAATGTCAGACTATAGTAATCTAAGGATTGCTGGTCGCATTGGTTTAAAAAATGCCAGGGGTAAGTCGTCCTTTCCTGACGGAAGAGAAATTTTTTAATAATTGTTACGTACTGGTTAGTTCCTAATTAAACCGAAGGACTGGATTATAAGCTTAAAGCTAGTGCTACACAATCTAAGTACTAGTAAGTTCCGTAGAACCAGGTCAGGTCCAACAAACAAACTCTACTTAGTGTAGGTTGGCTAGCTAATTTTAGAATTTTGGCCCTGAAACCTGTAAGATAATAACAATAAACAATGAAATATTGGCTACAAAGCAGGGCATGCACACCCTAAATTCAGCAAGATCATGTTTAGAAGTAACTGTTAGTCATTTGTGGGGCAACTCACAGGTCAAGTGGTGAATGTGTCAGACTAGTAATCTCAGATTGCTAGTTCTGTGGGTTCAAACCCTGTCAGAGGCAAGCAGTTGTTTGCTTTAGCAAGAAACTTTACACTAACTGCTTAGTTGGGTCCTGAGGAACAGATTCAAGAGTGGTGCAATTAACTTATAGCTTCTAACACGATGGGGCTAAAATAAAATTCTGTATAAACTAATTGTTAGTTATACTGGTATTTGAGAATTGAAATGGTGGCTGCGTTAAAATTGGAAATTGGATCAATGCTCTAAAGTTGGGAAAACCTAAATTCATCTTTGAATGGATATTAAACAAAAACGTTTGACTTCTGACTTCAGATAATATTCTCTTCAATGAATGTTTCTCCGGGCTTTAGAGGTGAATTGTAACCACTTGTTTCAGGTGCCAGACTCTGTGAATGTTTACAGCTGAGCCAAATATAGTCTTTTCCAGACATAAAAACAGAAATGTAACAGAAATAAATTGTTCTGTAGTAAATGAAATAGGAATTTAAAACATTATTTGTATTTCAATATTTTTTAATATCATATAAATAAAATCGTTGATGTGAATACTATGTATTAAATAATTACAACATAATTTAAAGGGAACTAATTTTGTGTGTCTCATTTATAGAACAAAATTCATTATACTGACTTTACAAATACCCTTAAAACCCCAAGCCTGCTTGAACCGAAAAAGATCAGTCTTTGCCACCAGTATAGAGCCATGCCAGTCTGCACATCCGTGCAATCTGACCAGGCTCTACACTGTTGGTAAGCTTTATTTTTGTATTTTGATGTTGAAATCCCTTAAAATTTGAATTGACTCTTCCATATTAAAAGCTGGACAAATCCATAATAGAAATATATTAGCAGGTATAAAAGGGTTAATCTTAGAGAGCACATTTAAAACTTAATATTTACTAAGTTTCTTAAAACAGAACTTACAAAAGTGAAAGAAATGTGTTGATAACTATCAAGAGTGATAAAGAATTGAAAGGTATAAGTTCAGTACAACCTCTGCAGATTGACCCTCTGTATAACAACCACCTCGATCCTTACAACAACAGTATCAATTTTTTTTATAAAATAAGACTTCACAATAAGGTGAACTTCTGTAGTGCAACACAAAATTAAGTCTTGACAACAACCAAAATATTTGTCTTCCAAAGGATGTTGCACTGCATGCAGAGATTATACTGTATTGTAAATAAAGTTGGATATTTTATACAATCGGTTCTCCAACAGAATAAATTTTGGTGGATCATAGGGCAAGGGGAAATTTTCATCAACAAAAATTTACAATGAAAAATCTGTAACTTTAAATTGTAGGAAGGAAAAAATATGCTTTTTACAGTCTGTAAATTAAGAAACAAAAGGTCATATTATGTTGCATCATGAAATTTAAAAGTTGATTTTAAGACACACATTTGCATAATTGTTATTTGAGATTTCATACGTCATTTTGCGCGTATCCATTCGTTGTTTGCAATTTTTCTTAATTAATCAGCCTAATGTATTAAATAAAGTCAATTAATTTTCTTTGCTATTATTATAAGTTTGTCTTCTCATATATAACACAGTTTTTAAATTCCATTATTTTGCACTCAATTTGGTTTGACTTTGTAGCACTATATTCCAATCACTCCCTGACAAGTAATTCAATTCAATTATCATCCATGCAAGATTGACAAAGCTCTACATAAAAAACCACATGCAAGTTTTGTGTTCAAGTTTTCCATATAGGTACTACATTACAGTATAACCTGTACAGAGTGACCCCATTGTAGAGCGATTTTCCTCTTTACCACAACAGTATTTTTTCTTCTAACACCATTTATTTAAGTAAACCTCCAAAGCTAAACACCCCTCAGGAGTAACCAAAATCTTTAACTCCCCTAAGTAAACGTCACTCTGCAGAAGCTTTATAATAATTTTGTACTCTCTGTTGCATAACATCGTGTTATTTTTTGTTGAAGATACTGAATAGACACATGTTCTTTGTAATGGACAAAAATATCCTTGTTTGGTTTATCAACTGAACAAGTATAAATTGTGTTCTTTATAATGGTCTCCAAATTCCTGTGTGTTCTCTGTTTTAGACTCTGAATTAATGGTCATGTGTTCTTTGTAAGACACACTAAATAGAATGTGTTCTTTGTTCTTTGTAATTGACACCAAATGAGCATGTGTCCTGGGTATAATGTACTCCAAATGAATAGAAAAATGTGTTCTTTGTATAAGCATGTGTTCTCTGTTAAAGACACATGAATTCAGTTACATTTTTCTAGAATGAGCATTTTGTGTGAGTGAAATTCCATCACTTGTATAAAATGAGCATGTTTCAATCTCTGTTAGAGATTAAAATATTAAATGAGCATGTACTTTGTTACAGTTGCTGTAAAAAATGAGCATATTTTCACTACTAATGTCTCCAGTAGTGAGAGAGTTTTCTCTGAGAGTTTTTTTCTGTTGTCATGTTGTTGTTTTTTTTTGTGACACTTGTTACATTGATTTATCAAACTCTAATTTTCTTTCAGCATGTTTAGAAAACAAAACTTTCCTTTTCACAATCTCTGAACACACCTAATCTGCACACAACTATATGTTTAATCCTGCAGCAAATTTAATTCCATAACACGTGTTCAAGAATTACTCTCTCAATATGTTTTTTAACTTTTGCTAATTTGTCTGTTAAAAAATAAAAAATGTGAAGTACATTGCATAATTTACCACAGTGGAAAGCTCTCGATTCCATGTCTTTGTTTTATAAATAACACATATTGCTTTTGCATATTAGATTGGTACCCCCAAAAAAATTAATAAAAATTCAAGACTTAACACCAGAAATAGCACTTTTCCTGTCATGCTATAATGCAGTTACTTGCATATCATCCATTTCTTCCAAAAGCAATTTTTTTAGGCCCTTTTCGTTGTTCTCAATTACAGCTATATGTCGATTTTGAGAAGAAATAACTTCCTGTTTATTATCCTGAATTTTTTCATCACATTCCAAACTGAAATGAACTCTGTGATTTGAGCTTTCACTTTTACTCTTTTGCACAACTTTTTCAAGAAATTTACCTCCAAAAAGGTGTTTCCTGACCATTTCTTTGTCTATTCCATCAGTCTGTTTGATATTTTCTAGCATGTCATCAGGTTTTACAGTGAACCTGTATTTCTGACAGATGTTTCTTGAGTTAGGAGTGTCAGATTCAGCAGATACCCGGCCGTTTTCGTGTATTTCAACAACTGTGGCCGGCGCTAGTTCTATGTTCATAAGTTCGGTTTCATCAAAAGATTTGGACTCGTCGTTATCACAGCTGGAATCTTTTGAAATCGTTCTGGCAGAGTACTGCGAGTACCTGAATTTTTTGTATATCGATGACAATCCGTTCAGTTTAATATCAACATCTGATATATCCTCGACTTTATCTGTCCGTTTCCGTTTACTTTTCTTTGAGTTGCTACGTCGATCGAGTTTTGAAAATTTTTCATTTAAATTACCGTAGATTTGACTGTGAGGTAAGATAGAGTGAAAGTATCGCAGGTATTCTAGTTCTTTCTGTTCAGCAGCATGTTTTTGCTGACGATGCCTGATAAAGGTGACGATAGCTGTTATAATCATGGCAAAACTTGCAAAAAGCAGGAAGTAAATGTTGTTTCCCGTAAAAATCGAAGACTCAAAGACATTTTTGAAAGTGTTAGCAGTCTGCAAGAAAAGAAACATATTATATTAGAATAAATTAAATACTGTCAGTATGATTTAGATAATTTTATATTATACCTGTAGGAATATGAGTATTACATACTAAGATATGAGAGGCCCCTAAATTCATGCTCCATCATCATGTAGATCTTCTCAAATGTTTATTTTGACATACTAGAGTTACACATTCTATTCTTTTAACTCAAGAAGATGCTCTGCACTGAATATTTCACTGTCAAACATTTCCTTCTTGAATGCAGTAATATTTCACAGGTTGCTGATAGATTTTATCAAGTTAATTCACTTGGAGAACTTTTTGCCTCAGTTCCATCAAAAACCCTGATCGAAAAGGATTGCTTAAAAGACATAAATATTCTACAATGTCAGCTTTTCTAAATGTTAATGATGTTATTTTTAGATAAATTGTTTCATAGCATTGTCAAATCACAAGAATAAAAGCAGAAAATTAAATTAGCCGTTGCTAAAATACATAAACAATAAGGAAACCCCTCGATGTCGCTATATATAATCTACACTGTCTACTCTCTCTATGTAAATTAGTAAAGGGGACGATTCGTTTCCCGATCTCCTATTTTTAGAAAAAATGTCACTGACGCGCTATAAATAGCTCTCAGGACGCTGTTTTGAAGAAGGCTTAACAGTGGTATGATGCACTTTTTCAAGACAAAATTATTGAAATACTTATTTTGAAACAACACTGAATTGTTTTTCCAACAAAAAATAAAAGCTTAAGATCCAATTAAATTATATTGATTTTAGTCTGCTTTTAAATATCAAAACTTTTTGGCCCCAAAAAAAAGACTAAACGCAAATTTTTTAAAAACTCACAAAAAATAAATTTGTGAGAATTTAAAACCACAAAAATTTTATTCCCCCCGAAAATGTAATTAAAAGAAAGCCCGGGCCCAAACTGCAGACAGACTCTATATTTCTTTTACCCGGAAATTTAAATTAATTTTTATTTTTATAAACCCTAAAAAATTTATAATGGACAGTCCAAAAAAGGAAAAAATGAAAAAAATTTAATCTTTGGCAGGCCAAAAATTTGAAATTTGGGTTTGGTTTAAAGGGGTTAAAAGGAAAACCTTTCTTGGGTAATGTCCCGATTATCCAAATTTCTTTCCTTTAACTAGATTAATAGTAACACAGGGGGGAAATTATGCAATATCAGATGACAATTTTAAAACGGGTTTTCCAAAAAAAATTAAATTTTAAACCAAACGGCTCTCTGAACGGCAAGTGTACTGTTCATTCTAAATGACAAATTTTACGTCTACTTTTCACAGTAAATTGTAAGAGTCTAAGACACCAAAATTGAGAAAAATTGAGAAAGGAAACTGCTCGCACTAAAAAAAAAAATGCTTTCTTTATGGAAATAATATTGACTTATTTTCTCTAAAAAAAAATTCTAAATACTTGTTTATGTTCTAATATGCCGAGTCACTTAATTTTATTTTATGTACAAAAAAAATGTTTGGAAGCGTTTCACTCTGGGAGATCATTATTTTACAAGATAGATTTTTAGATATTTTTTGTCGGAACAATCTCCTAGAAATAAATACCAATACAATTGTATCTTATCCATAAAATGTGGGCTTTAATCCTATAATTCAGCGTGCAGGGCTTTTTTTCAAAAGTAACGGAAAGGGCCCTACCCTTAAAATTGTGGGGAAATAACATGTATTTTATGGAAAAGGGGGAAGAAAAAAATGGGTGTAAATTGAATTTTAGGGGGAAAAGGCATGACTTTAAAGAATTTCCCTGAGGGGAATCAGGCTATAAATGGCACCTTCTATTGTAAGCAAAAAAGTCTTTTGCAGTTTCTTTTCCTCTTATTGTACATTAGGTATACAGGCCTTCAACCCATGCTTAATTTTGAAAACACGTTTAACCCAAAGCCTAGTGAGTTTGATGGATTTGCACATGAACTGTTCTGTAGATAAAAGAGTCCATTCTCTGTTGTGCCTTTAAATTTGAGACATTCCAATTCAAAGTTGATGGGATTTCAATATTGAAATATAAAAATTGTGCTACTAACAATATGGTAGCCTGGTCTGATTGTACAGATATTCCGGTTAGCCTGGCTCTATACTGCTATAAATTACTTTCTATTTCAACTGGGTTAAATATTAAAAATAAGAAACAAATTTTATTCAATGTTACATAATGCATTGACTGAAAAAAAGATTACATTTCATTTTTTGTATGATATTAACTTGATATAATTATATTCAAAACTTTAATACTACATTTTATTGTTTGTAAAGCCATATAACCGGAAACAAAAATGGAAAATTGATATTGATTTAAAGGTACATTTATATTGTAAATAACCAAATTCATTGATATCAAGCATTTAAAAGACATTGATCATTATATTGATTGGAATATAATATAAATGCAAACTGATCCATATTGTATAAAAAGAAGAAGAAAAAAAAGAATTAAAAAAAATGTAAAATTGATTTATTATTTGTTAACTTTTTTCACCTACCTCGATTTTTTCTCCGTCGCTCACGAAAATTTGATCATGTTCAGTCAGGGTTTCATTCGATATATTATTTCTACCTTCAGTATCCATTTTTCTATCCAAATTTTCGTGCATTTTTATCAGAATATTATTTCCACAGTGTTACGCCCAGTGTCACCTTATACTTTAAAACGTATTGTAAAGCTTTTACATTATTCAGTATTTTGAGCCTTTGAGATCACAGAGAATCTTTTAAGTTAGTTCCATTTTCTATCTTGTAACAAACATCCTATCCTGTTTGTAGAGGTATGACATTTCCATGTTGAAATTTATTCACTTTAGTGTACGCATACAAAGTAACATTGGTCCTTTTTTTGAATTCCCTTGGTTCGAATGGAAATTCGTTTTTCGAGTTTTTTCCCTGAAAAAAAAAGTTTTCAGGAAAAAAAAAAATCACTGAGAAATTTAACTTATTTGGTTTATTTTTCTTTTGTTCATTTTTCTAATCTTTTTCTCTTATTTGTTTGTTATCCTATAATCTTTTCATCAGTCTTCATCGGTTCTCTGTTCTGTGTGTTATTGTTCTAATTAATAATTGATATTTTCTGTGGTCTTCTGTGTGCTCGTATGACAAACTCTGTGATGTTGTATTAATAATACATAACATATACCATCAAGGCTTCCTTAATTATACATGATAGGTTTTCCAGTACCGTCATACTACCATATGGGAATTGGCTTGTCGTAAAAACTGTTAATTGACTGAATCTGTCATCAGGGAGAATTAAGCGTACCCCCTCGTGTTATTGCAATCACTTATTATTAGGAGACTGAGGGAAATCGGGCATTGATATGTCATACACGAGGCCAGGGGGTTCGAATTATGTATGGTACATTTCATGAAGAATTTTTATTTAATCAAAAAGTTATAATTTAATCATAAACAATTCATCTCAGTCTCTGATAATAGGCTTTATGTTTGTATTTTCGGGCATTTATTATACATGTATATAATTGTAAATTTTAAGACTGCTTTCAAACAGACAAAAAAAGACAACATTGTGACTTAAGTAGGATTTGATACAAATGCTATGTGTAATTTTTTTAACTCTTCAACTTTGCTTGTTTTTCTTGTAACTTTGCAGAAGATTATGACATATAATTCATGAAAAATTATATTTGACTGTACAAATGGCTTTTTGTCATTAAAGCAGCTTATTTTATATCTCTCAATTTTTTAAAATTTTAAATTTTTTTGAATAATTTTGATCCAACTATGGTTGAATAGCTTTACATGTAATGACACAAAGATTTTTCTTTCGACTAGTATTTCGGCTTTTAACGGAAATAAGTTACAATTTCATTGACAAATTTCATTGTTTATCTTGACTGTGAAGAATACCATTACATACAATTGCATTGATTTATCATGAATTTCCAGGAAGCAGCGTACAAATTTGAGTGCAGTATAAGGCCTAAAAAAAAGTTTTGTTTCTGATAACTGGTCACAAAATGTAGGTAGATATATAAAGGATTTTTTTCTATAATATATAAATTTCATATAATTTTATCTGGTCAAAAAAAAAGATTTTAAAGAAATCAAAAGGGTTAGTAAAAGTCCTGGAATGTCTGGCAGGTCTTCCATGGAAGTTTTTGACTCATTTGCACCAGTTTTTGGCCAGTGTGATAGATACTTTTATTTTCTTCTTAACCTATCCCGGGTGTAGATTTTCCAGGGTAGCTTGGAAGAGCTGGTTAACCCTGGATAACCATGGAAATGCATGGAATTCCATGGAAATTCATGGTTATAATTAGACTTCCAACACAGACATTTTACACTGAGTCTCTGACTCCCAAATTTTTTAACTTAATGGAAGCCTAGACAGAGACAGGCCTGAATAGGTAGCTAAATAGAAAGCAGGTACTAGGGAGACCTAAAACAGAACTCTTTTCTTTTGGCCTTAGATTAAATTATTTATCAAATTAAAGGGAAACAAACCAGAATAAAGAGGGAAACCGATGGTATTTATTTACACTACGCGACTATGTACTGATTAAAATGGAAAGCTGAAATTGGCTACAACAGAAATTGATTGTCTGATTGTATTTAAAGAGTGTTTGAAGCAAATTATTTTTTAGCTCGACTATTCGAAGAATATGAGAGCTATTGTAGTCGCCCCGGCGTCCGCGTCAGCATCCGCGTCGGCGTCTGCGTTGGTTAAAGTTTTTTGTAAAGTCAAATATCTCAATTATTACTTGAGATATTCAATTGAAACTTACAATACTTATTTATAGTAACAAGGTACATCAGATTGACAAGTTGGATAACTCTGCCTACAATATTGACAGAATTATGCCCCTTTTTAACTTAGAAATTTTGGTTAAAGTTTTTTGTAAAGTCAAATATCTCAATTATTGCTTGAGATATTCAATTGAAACTTACAATACTTATTTATAGTAACAAGGTACATCAGATTGACAAGTTGGATAACTCTGCCTACAATATTGACAGAAAAATGCCCCTTTTTAACTTAGAAATTTTGGTTAAAGTTTTTTGTAAAGTCAAATATCTCAATTATTGCTTGAGATATTCAATTGGAACTTACAATACTTATTTATAGTAACAATGTACATCAGATTGACAAGTTGGATAACTCTGCCTACCATATTGACAGAATTATGCCCCTTTGGAACTTAGAAATTTTGGTTAAAGTTTTTTTGAAAAGTCAAATATCTCATTTATTGCTTGAGATATTCAATTGAAATTTAAAATACTTATTTAAGGTAACAATGTACATCAGTTTGCAAAATTGCATAACTGTCTGCAATATTTGCAGAATTATTTGCCCCTTTGAAACTTAGAAATTTTGGTTTAAGGTTAACGGTCTTCAAAGATATTTACTTGAAACTTTACACATGCACTTAGGGTCATAATTGGAGGGTCATAATTGTATGTCACTGACCAAGTTCCATAACTCTATCTTGCATTAAGGCTGATTCATATCCCCTTTTCTACTTAGTTTCTTGGTTAATGTTTACATGCAAGTTTTACATATCTCAATAACTATTAAAGATATTTATTTAAAACTTCACATATGCATTTAGGGTCATAATTGTAGGTCACTGACAAAGATCCATAATTCTATCTTGCATTTAGGCTGATTTTTCTCCCCTTTTTCAACTTAGAAATTCATGGTACAGTTTTGCTTGTAAGCTGTTATCTCAATAACTACTGAAGGGTTTGTGCCTTTTTTGGGACAATTTTATGCATTCATTATAATAAAGCAGTGATTTACTTGATAAAACATCTTAATAAGAAACCTTTGTACCTTTTTTGTCAAATTTATGTATTCATAGGTAATTAGTATTATTATACTCAATAAAAAACCCTTGTGACATTACCTTCCGAATAGTCAAGCCAATTCTGTATAATTAGACTCTCTCTAAGGCCTATAACATGAATTTATAAAAAAAAAAATTAGCCCTTTTGTGAACTTAAAAAATTTAACAATATCAAGGCTCTTTTACTATCAAGCACTTAGAATAGTCGAGCATGCTGTCCTACAGACAGCTCTTGTTTTACATGACAATACTTTGAAAAAATGATTGTATTTGAAAGCTGCTTGCCTGCAGATGAATGAAATTATTTTCAAAATATCAAATTAAAGAAAATTATGCTTGTAATGAAAGAGTTCTGAATTATAATAATATTTCTTTTACATGATGATACATGTACTTTGAAGAAAAAAAATTCTGTATTAAAGCTGCTTGTCCCTGTATACATAAATAAAATAATTTTCAAAATATCAAATTACTGTATGAAACCTGTTTGGTCCTGTATACATGAATAAAATAATTTTCAAAATATTAAATTGAAGAAAAATATGATTGTAGCTTAACAGTATCACTCTTAATATCTTAAATAGACTTGTCCATCTTTGAATCTGGGCAAAACCACTCATCAGTTTTAGGGAAATTAAATTTCAAAATATGTACAGTCACTGATAGCTGTCAGTGCAGACCATGACTAGACATTGATCTTTATATAATTGTCTGTACTGGTCGCATGGGTAGAACCCGTTTCCACCAGCAGGGTTAAAAAACAGATATGGTAAATATTCACAAGGCATGGAAAACTTACTTTGCATTATAATTATTACTTACAGAATAGTGCAATTCTGCACAATTAAGCATTTTATATTTGTTTATTTATTTATTTATTAATTTCTAAATACAGAAACTGCATTGGGCAAGGTTAAAGCACTTTGTACACAAGCCAACATGTTTTATTAATAATGGTGCCATAGTTAGACTTGCAAAAAACATGGAGGCAGAACAATGTCTTGCAGGGTCTGTGGGCTGCTTCTAAGACTCTGTAATATTAGTGATATTATATCATTATGAAAATAACAAAGTTAGGTAATAATTCTAATAGAAACAAATTATACATGCGTCACTTTAAATGACACTGAGTTGACCTTACAGAATTAGTAGATGTTGTACTTGGTACACTGTTACAAGTGCCCAGGGTAGTAAATAATTGACCTAATATTGTATGCACAATCACATGTAATTACGGGCATGTGAAAATTCCCCAATGAGATTGACTGAACTTGTATAAACCATATTGAGACAATTTTTCATGTAACAAGTGTGATTATTGGTTTATTTTTGGCAAAAGAAGTGTGCCAGTGATCTGTATTGTTAATTTTCATTAGTTCAATGAAATTTGCTTAGAAGGTCTAATTAATTAAGGGAACCTATTGATTATGTAATGTTGACATTGTGTACTTTGTGAAATTTCCTGTGCTGTCTTGAGTGTACTAATATTAGTTTCTTTTTTAGAATGTATGCACCACTTGTCCCTCACGGCTGTAGGTTCAAATCCCATCAGAGACTTTTGATTCTTTCATTCGAGGAATCTATCCATGCATGTCAAGCAAATAGAAGTTAGAAAATAGTCACAGTAATATAACTAAGTTTTTACAGAGGCTTGGTAAAGTTAATGATCAAAGGTTGTTTATTAAATAATAAGTAAAGCCCCTGACTGGGGATTTGTTCAAGGGACAATACTTGTTAAACAGTCTATTACTTATGAATTTGTTATTTATAATTTAAGCACAATTAATTAAGTTTGAATGACTATAGTTATGTTAAAATTACATAATTAAATATTATGTTAAAATTACATACCGGTAATTAAAATTACATGTCAAACTATGCAAAATAATCCTAAATGTTACAATTTAGTGGGAAATATATAATTATATAAAGACATTTCTACAAAAGCTAGAGCACTTCAATGGAAATGCTGCAAGCATCTATTGGTGTAAATGTCTTATGGCTTTTCTAAAGATCATTGACTTAGCAAATTGGCCAAATAGGAAAAACAGCCCAGCAAGTGTGTATTTTTGCGAGTTTTTTGTGAATTATTAAATTTACTCATAGATGAAATTGAGCTAGGAGAAAAATATTGATGGTTTGTTGACAAAGAGAATCTATTTTTAACACAGAAGATTCGGTTCTGTGTTGAGACCATGTGAATAGTTTATAGAGCCTGTCATACTTAATTTCCAGGGGTAAAATTGTTGTTTTTCTGACTTCATTATTGTAAACTTGAATATTTTGGGACTCAGAAATAGTATAGTTTAAAGTAGATATTTGTAGTGATCTTTATTGATGTTTATGGTAATTTAGTATTAAATGTGCTAATTAAGTGAAACATTTTATATAGTTAAGAAAGTTCAGGACTGAATTTTACAATAAAAACAAAACAAGACTTTGCTTAAATTAAAACATTATTTTGGTGAATGTCATGCTTTGGAGATTATAAAATTTTAATATAAACTAAGAAATTTTATCAGCTATTAGTTTCTAGAGATGTCTTTCTCATTAGAATGACTGGCGCATAATTTTAATAACTGATGAAGTTTTGTAATTTTATAGCTTTTCCAAGATATTTTGATTTTTAAGTATAACAGGAAACTTAAAGGAACTCCACTAAGGTCTAAAGACATAAAAATATAAAACTTGAAAATCTTAATATCATGTGAAGCACTTAAAATGGAAAAAAGACCCTACACTATATGTAATTGAAAATCAATTTTATATGTGATTATTAGCCAAATTTCATAGAAAAGCGTTGCAAAAAATACTTATCATTTTTGGATATTGTTCACAATAAAAATGATACATATAGAAAAATAGGATGAGGAAATGAGCTAAAAATTTGCACACAAGTTATTGGATATGACCTCAATCAATTCAAACACAAATCTCGGAAAAATATTTCATCCCTGTCATGTCAGAAAAACCTAGATTGAGTCCATTTAATATTGTTTTAGATACTAAAAAGACTCAAGACTGTATGGAGTACAAATACACACTGTACCACTATCCGCTTTAAACCTAACTTATATAAATATCTTTATCTTGACATGTTCAATTTTTCAATCTAAACAAAACTATTCATCATTTCAAAACTTTTACTGACTGAATAGTTAACACTGCATACCATGATTAAATGGTACAGATATGCCCGCTGATCTTGGTCTGCACTGGTTGTATAGGAAAGTTTAGCCACTTCCAGCAGGCTCCAGGATAAAACATGCTTGCCAGAAGGTTCTGTTTCTGGGTTTGTTTGTTTGTTTGGTTGGTTGGTTGGTTGGTTGGCTGGTTGGTTGGTTGGTTGGTTGGTTGGTTTGGTTTGGTTTTACAGGGCACCAAACTAGAAGCTTTGTAAATTTTCAGGGAGCAATTAAAACTAGAAGCTTTGTATATTATGAGGGAGAAATTGAAACTGGAAGCTTTGTATATTTTCAGGGAGAAATTGAAACTGGAAGCAGACCAGCAACAGCAGACGGCAGATATCCGGATATGTCAAGGAGAGGTACAGATGTTAGAGAAGGAATTAAACAGTATAACAAGCACACTACATCAATTAGAGAGTCAGAAAATAGAGGCACAAAAAGTTCTTGATGAACTTGATGAAAAGGTTTGTTGTTACATCATGTTATGATGAATTATTACACTTCAATTATAAGTTGCGATTTTGCTTTAAGAAGGAAGTACTTTTACTATAAATTTTGCTGATTACATAAAAGGCTTTAATTATACCCTTAGTCAAGTAGATATCTTGAATGGACTTGTCTTCGGTAAATCTGAACAAGACTATTCAATTTTTTTAGGGAAATTTTTGAAAATGTAATATACTGACTGAATGGCAAACAGTGTAGACCATGATCAGATGGCACAGACATTCTGGCTGATTTTGGTCTGCACCACAGGACTGTTTGGCATGTTGATTGGTCACTACCCACCATTAACTGGCACCTGAGTAGAACCAACTACATTCAGTTGCCATTAACAGTTTAGGGTTAAAAGCTTTAAGTTATAGCTTTAGTTATGAGTGGCTGCGTGGCTGAGTTGTTAATGCGTCAGACTAGTAGTCTAAGGATTGCTGACCACGTGGGTTCATACCCTGTCAGGGGCAAGCTGTTGTTGCCTTGAGCAAGAAACTTTACTTTCATTGCTTAGTACTGGTTGGTTCCAGGAACGGATTCAAGAATGTTTAAATAAGCCTATAGCTTCCAACACAATCAAACTATATTAAATTTGTATCAACTGTAAAATATATATAAGTTATAGCTCAGTTTAATTACATTGATTTGTTAAGCCTTTTATTGAATTCATGGAGCGGTAAATATTTAAATATTGATTGCTGTTTTATTTTGTTTGCTGTTTTTTTACTGCAGAAATCGGACCTTGAAACAAGTGTGAGAGAAATCAAGATGAAATGCGATGATGAACAAAGACAGGTTTGTATAAATAATTGAATTCATGTCTTTAAACATATAGTAAATATATATTCCTTAATTTTGTATATATTACATGAAAAATGCTAGTTTTTGACATCTTGGCATCTTTCATTAAATTTAAACTTGGGATGTGTTTTGTGCACGTAAATAAACTTCTGTCTTGAATGAATGTAACCATGACTTTCCTGTTCATTTTTCAAGGAACAGCCTTCAAATGTTCACCTGGTGACTAATTATAAATTTTCAAGCTATGACCTTCAAATTTTGACAATTTGAACAGTTCTGAAGGTTGTATTGAACTATGACCTATGACTACCTCAATGATGATCTTGTGACCTATAACTGTATTTTTTTAGCTTCAATCTTCAAATTTGGGTTACTGGCTGGAACATGTTTGTGTGTGAATTTGATATTTGACTTTAGTTAACCTTTGACCTTAAATATAATCCAGTGACCTTCTTTCACATTGTAGAAATAATGACTTTGTCTGCCAAAAGTTCTCAGGTGAGCAATCTTATAATGCCTATAGTGAGCCTGATATATGAAGGACTGTCACTAAAATATGACCAGTTGAGTGGAAGTACACTTTTATTACATAACATTTCATGTAAACAGTTGAGAAAATGAATATTTGATTTACCTGAGTAACTTTTATCTCTTTTTCACATTTTCTGATTTAGAATATTTTCTTTATTACAGATTGATATGTTGAATGCCCAGATTCAAAATCAGCAAAAATCAGCAATGGTAATTTTTTTGTTGTTTTCGGAGTGTGGGAATTAATATCAGTCAACACTCTTTGTTGATTTATGTTTTATTTTCACACCTGGTTAATAATTGATATACCACTGTCAGACCATCTATAACAAAGTTATTGTCTCTGTCTACAGCATGTTGGGAAGCAGTAAATGATAAATAGCAATGCAATATACATTAGTTCTCTACTCTGTCACTATATTTATCTTGTAAACAAATGGTGCATTCAGATAGAAATCTTGTGACAAATTGCAAGGTTGAATGCTGCAAAATGTTTAACACTATGAGCTAGTTACGCAGTGATAAACGCAGATTATGAATAAATAAATAAATCATTTCAACTGCCATTGATTCAGAATGTTAAATATCTTTCACAGTTTATAACAATAGGCCTTTAACTAAGCAAAAAACGCATGAATTTACGACAACAGTCTGTTACCCTTTAGCCAGCTGGTGGCGACTATGGCAACTGAATCTAGCCATTCAACCAGTGCAGACCAAGGCAAGCCATGCCATCTGATCATTGTCTGCACTTTTTTGCTATCTAGTCTGTACATTTCTTTGAAGTTTTTTAAAAAAAAAGGATTGTATTTGTGATTAATGATGAAAAAAAAGTGTATTGATAAATTTGCACTTTAATGCAGTTATCAATCCATATTGAAAAGGTGGAAAAGGTCATTATGAGTTAATAGATGATTTTTTTTGTCTCTACTGACCATGGAATGGGCCGTCTAACTCCAAGACTGAATTGCAAAAATGTGTTTTTTGGAGTTAGAACCCTTTGTGGAGTTTTTTAAAAAATTTTTTACATACCAAAAAGATTTAATCCATTGCAAGAAGTAAAGATAGTCTAAACAGCTTCCACTGTAACCGGTTGACACACATTGAGTGGTTATTTATTAATTTTTTTCTGATTTATGTTGATTTCAGTGTACATCCTTGTTTCAGTAAAGTACAATTCTTGGAAGAGCCCATTTGGGAAAAAATTTAAAAGGAAATTAATTTTAATTTTAAATTTTTCAATGGTGGAACAGTACTGTTTTAGGGTAGTAAAGTTATATAAAGAAAAAAAAAACATTTTGTAGCATATTTAAAAAACAATGCCAATTTCATTATCAGTTTCAGCAACATATTTGCCCCAAAATTTTCAAAATGAATTTTGGACAAGTATAAACTGGCTATCTAATTAGTTTTATTTAATAGTTAAAATGGATTTATTTACTTACAATGTCTTGAAATTGATATGTGTAAATTACAGATAAATTTGCACTAACCAGTATTACATATAAACCAGCTAGCTCTGTCTGTGTGAGGCCCCAAAAGGGAAATGTAGTTGATAAAAGGATAACTTTTCACTGTTATAATTTGTAGGAATATGATGATGAGTTGAATAAATTGCGTATAGATCTTGGAAACCTCAGAGAAGAGGAAAATAAGCTGGAACAGAAAGTCGAGAATGGTAAAACACAACTAGAACAACTGGCAAAATCACAAAAAGATGTGTTATTGCAGGTTAATCAGGTAAATAAACATGATTTGATAAAGATTGATTGTGAATAGATGTATCAAATCCTTAACCATTGCAGGAATTGTGACTCTATAACCTAGAGCCTTCATACGTTTTAACTAACATTTCTATAGACAACAGATTTGTTTTGTCAAATTGTAAAATGACATTTACCCTTAGGTACTCTTGCCCATTGAGGTAATACTTTGAAAAATTCAGTCATTTTCCCAAAATTTTGTCAGTTATTCAAAAATTTTGAGTAGGGAATTGTGTTTTAAAAGCATAACATGTTTATTTATTGTTGTTTTTTATCTGTTGTTTTTTTTTTCACAGACAAAAACACGGGTACAACATTTACAAGACCAATATAGAGCTATACAACAAGGTGTGACAGAATTTTCAATACCACCTGATCCTGGGACATTTATGTCTACACCTTTAAATAATAGTGAAGATCAGACAAGTACGAGGGCTACCGTAAGTCATCTAATAAAGGCACCAGTACTTGTTGCATTTCCCGCATAAATTTTTTCATTCCCCGCTTAAAGTCAAATCATCTTGTTTTGGACTCACTATTTTTAATATTGTTTTAACACCATCATAGCGCTTCATTTTTAAGCATGGCATGTTTTGAAGAAACTATCTGCTGACATAGTAAAAATATAGAGAAGTGAACAGTAACTCTATTCTAATAAAAACCCTACTGAAGTAGAATTTTAATCCGGCCTGAAAATGTGAAAACTTGCCATATGATATTACATGAGTATATAAACTGCATAAAGATACTGAAATTATGAAAGTTAAAAAAAACAAAGGTTGAAGAGCCAACAGAGTGGGCTGCCTTTGTCGAAGGCTGCCCTGAGCATAACACATGGAAATTTAGGCTGCCCTGATCAGAGCACATGGAAATATAGGTTGCCCTGGCCAAATGGCTTAAAAATTACGCAACCATGGTCTGAACGCATGGAAATGTAGGCTGCTCTTGCTCTGTAATGGTGACGAAGGCCTAACACTACAGCTACTTACACTTAAATGATTTTTTCAGCAGTTTTGAACTCTTACCCTCATGTATTGAAAAAAAAGCACTTATATTTATATGAACCAAATATATATGGTTGATTAATTGTAGGTTGGTAGCCCAGTTAGTACTATAAGTGATTTTAGTATGGGCTCAGCATTTGATGAAGACCCATTTAAAACTAAAGATCCATTTGGAGGCGGTGGAAGTCAGCCAGATCCATTTGCTGCTGATGATCCATTTAAAAGTAGTAAGTGTTTAAGAGGACTGTTACAAAATAAATGGTGCTTATTGTGTTTTTTTTTGCAGTATGAAACTTGCTATGTGATCATATTAAGGGAATAATTGATTTGGTAAATAAAATGTTTTCAAAATGTTTCAAAAGGGAAATGGACAAAAGCCCTCCCGGACAAAAGCCCTTAGTCCAAATATGACAAGTCCGCCCAGTTATTTTTATGGAAGGGTTTTGGTCCGCCCTGTTATTTTTACGGGAGGGCTTTTGTCCACCCTGTTATTTTTACGGGAGGGCTTTCGTCTGCCCTGTCATTTTCACGGGAGGGCTTTTTTCAGCCTTGTCATTTTTGTCCAGGAGGGCTTTTGTCCACCCGGGAGGGCTTTGTCCTACACTCGTTACAAACTGCTAATTTTAATGAAATTAACTCATTTTTGGATTTCATTTAAGAGTAACAACACAAGTTGCTAAATTACTGAATCAGAATATGAATAAATTTAAAGACCTTAAATGTCATCATCTTGTTTTGGTTTATAATTTATTTTAGTCCCATTGTGCTTATAGACACACACTCAAATCTGTTCCAGAAACCAACCAGTACTGAGCAACGAGTATAAAGTTTTTTGCTCAAGGAACTGCTTGCCCCAGATGGAGCTGGAGATCCTTAGATTACTAGTCTGATGTGTTTTTACTCGGCCATGTCACCACGTCTTGTGTTATTTCATAGTTAAACCTGCTAGCTATGTTTCCAACAATTTATACTGGATCATATAACCCATCTAAAGTCTATAACTAATATTGTAATACTGCACATTTTTAATGTAGTTTGTCATTGGATAATCTTGACATTTATTTAACTATATACACCGCTGCAGTCAATTTATGACTTAACTTCATTTTTTTCCCTTATAAAGAAAGTTTGCGGTTTTATAAATTCGTAATAAAGATTCTTGACAGGTTATATGGTCTTATATAAACTGTCATTGGCAATATAACCTGAGTCTTTATATATTACAAACAACCAGTTAAATAAGGCCATTATCATATAACCACTCCAAAACTTGTATTACTTATGATGTTATATGTTATTTTCAGGTGATCCATTTAAATCTGAAGGTTTTACTTCAGACCCTTTTGCTTCAGATGACCCCTTTAAAGATGCTTTTCCATCTAGTAACACAACTAACACTTCTAAAGTAAGTATTTTATCTTTACACTTTGCTTATATATCAATTGGTAATTATATACATTTTCTAAATTGGCTTTAGTGTGTAAAGGAAGCTTTTGTTACTGACAATTTAGTTATTTCTATGGCTACATTATCTTCACCATTTGATAATTTATTGAACTTAACAAACTGCCTATGAAGTCTATAATGAACCTTAATTTGATTTAAGTTGAAATCAAGTTATTTTTTGTGACTGCTTGTTTTTATAATTTACACCCACTTTTTGAGCATTCTTGACCGAGTGTTAAGCATTTAATGTCAATTAGAATCAGTTACCCCTCATTGTTGTGGGTGTGAATCTTATAATGGGTGTAAAATGCATACATATTAAGAATTTAGCCAGCTCATCTTTGGAAAGTCAATGGTACAGTCTTTGTTCAAGTTCGTGCTGGAAATAATTGCCCTTAGGTTATCTTCCATTACAAGAAAAACCCGGACGGTCACCCATCTGAACCAAATTGTTTTGGTTTGAGTTTAAACCAATTTTTAAGAAAAAATATGTTTAAGTCATGCCAAGGTTAAATAAGGTTTTAGCTATAAGACTTGAAATTGATTAAAGTTTAGTGAAAAAAAAAATTACAAACTGTGTTACAATTGTATAGGGATATGTGACAAACACTATACATTATAGTAGCTTTATTATTTTGTTTAGTTGGGATTTTTTTATTTCAGATTTTATGGTGTACTTTATGAACTAAGTAGGATATAATTCTCCATATTGCTCCATAATTTTCTTATAGAAAAAATACTGAATTAATGACATATTTGTATGTATCCCAAAGGGACCAGCTAAGGGTGGTTATAGTTTTGTTTTGTGGAGTTTAGTCACAGAATATTGTGTCATTTCTAGGCCAACTTGACTCGTTTTCTCATTATTGTCCATCTATAGATTAATTTCCGAGACAGTAGATTACTTTGGTAGAATAATCTGAAATGATAAGGTTGATTATAAACAGACAGAACAAAGTCTAACAGTAGACTTCATTCCTTTTCAATAGAATAAGGGACCATAGCACTTTATTGAAATAATATTAAAATAAAAGAAAATTACAAAAAAAATAGCCCTTTTATTATATATATGCGTGTTTTAAATGATTTTAAAGATGGAAATTACGTCAATTTACATTTTACATTTGATTTATGATAAAAAGAATCAGTTTGTTCATGATGATTTATGCTTTTATCGTTCATGATCAGCAAAGAACTATTTATCTGTTTGATGATTATCTATAGTCTGATCCACCCAAAGAATTATGTTTTTCTAGATGACTAATTTTTTTATCCATTATGAATATGAAGGTTTTTTATGGTTTTAGATGATTGAACTATTTATACCATATTTCATTTCTTACAGTGTGATCCATTTTCCCAGTTTTAGACAAATGAACTATTTACTATATTACATTTGTTACAGTGTGATCCATTTTCCTGGTTTTAGACAAATGAACTATTTACTATATTTCATTACACAAATGAACTCTATTTTATTTGTTACAGGATGATCCATTTTCTAGTTCAGATCCATTTGGCAGTTCATTTGGATCATCTAGTTCTACTAGTAAACAATTGGATGCCTTCGATCCTTTTGGTACCTCATCTAGTAAACCTCAAGTAAGTTGTAATTTTTGCTTCATACACCTTTCAGATTGAGCTTAATGTTTGAATTGCCTTGGCCTAAAACTTGTTTAAAATTTGCTCAATAATTAAATAGCCTTGCCTTCAAAGTTGTGTTAAGTTTTGATAACTAAAGGCTTAGGACACCCAGCAAGATTTTTATGTGGATAGCGATTTGGCATTCATTTATTAGATATAAACACCTTTTGAAAAAGTATGTGACTTGGGAAATGAAGTGAAAAATGTTGCATTACTTAAAATGATATGTTTTGGGGATTTAAGGAACACAGTACAATAAACAAGGCTATTACAGAAATACCATTTGTTGTATGTTACAAATTATATGGTATATCTAGATGATGTACACGATGCCTTTAAATCAATTTGAGAACATTTTTTGGCCAAATTCAATATAATGTGAAATAGAAAATAAATGTTGGATGTTTTACTTTATACAAACATTATCAGCTTAAACAAGTTAAAATGTGGGATAAACATAAAGCCTATTTTTATCTTGAATAATCCTATATTTGTAAAAGTCACATTTTAACATTTTTCGAAGATCTGGTAGATTAAATATTTCATTATTTGTAGAGTAGATCTATATCTTTAAAGTCTGTATAATTGCAACAGTGTCTGGTAGCACATGAGGGTGTTTTTTTAATTATTTTTATTTATAAAGGTATTATACCTTATTTCTAAATATGGTGGATGTAAATATTTATTAGATTTGAAAGTTTCTTGTAGAAACACATCGCTTGTTTACCTTAGATGACCTTGTACTAACATTAAACTTTGCTTGTCTAGAGTGTATTTTGACAAAGTAGATTTATTTCTGGGACATTTTTGAATACTTTCATCTCTTTATAACAATCTAATGGGTTCAATACAACCCTGTTGTTTCTTGATTAAAGATTGAATTAAAGAATGAAATGATGACAAAGTTGTATTGAATCCCCTATGCTCATGACCCAACAGAATGCATGACAGTTTACCCATTCATATAATGCCTGTTTATATTACAGAAATCTAGTGGCGATTTATTTGGTAGTGATCCCTTTGCTCCTTCCCCACCCGCCAAAACACGTTCTGAATCCCCGCGACCAGCTTTACCCCCAAAACAAAAGAAAGCTCCCCCACCTCGGCCTGCCCCTCCGAAGGGAAAGTCGCCGGTATCAAGTCCATCAAAGCCAAAGAAGCCAGACCCATTTGGAGCAGGTGCGTTTCCTAACGACCCGTTTGGAAGCTCGGACCCGTTTTCTGGATCATCTACTACAGGGGTGAGTGGTGGTCATGGTGGTGGAGATGCTTTCGCTTCTAATTTTGCAGACTTTAGCCCTAGCAAGGTGAGTGGGCTTAAGTTTGATGCAATATCATTGTTATTGAATGCCATCTCGGGGCAATAACAGAGTTATTGTACACGTCATCATATACATGTATGATGTATATGTATGTAATATCTTCATATAGTCTTCTTTTACATGTAGTTGTCTCATCTCTGATCACTTTTTGTTGTCTCTTTTATTGCATATATCTTTAACATTACTGTAGATACATAATCTTTAACATAGCAAAATATATATACATGTATAAAGTAGAAAGTATGTTATATTTCTTAACCTGTAAAACTGCTGAATTTGTGTAATGTTCACATCTTGCTTTGAATTTGGAATGATCTTATGTTTTAAAGGATTTTTTATCCAAAATAATAACAGTAAAGAGTCCAGTCAGACTGCAGAGTTGTTAAGAATTAACTGTCAAGCTCTCTGTTTTATCCTAAAACACTGCTTTATACTGTTGGCTGAAAAACTGAAATTTAATTTTTTAATCTTGATGTCCTCAAAATTGATAATGGACATCTACCGGTAATTCCAACTCTGGAAGAGAGACAAGTCCATTTAAGAAATTTAGAAAGGTCAGGTTTAAAAAAATACTAAACGAGAAGTGATACACATTTATATTATTTATGGTTTTGACCTTGTCTGAGCAGAGAGTCGGATAATTTTATTTATAGCAGAAATGTGTCTGTACATTTCTGCATTCTGATGTTGGTGTAAGTTTAGATTGATTTATCGAGTTTTTGATTACCTGAATGAAAGTGATTATAAGTAAAGTCAAGTCGGTTGATTTATTCAGTTCATACAAAATGTAATGTTTAACAGGTTGTGTCGTAATTCATGACAAATTCTTAATACATTTGATTATCTTCTGTGCTAGAGAGATCATGAGGTGGTTAATACAAGCAGAAATTTTCCACAAAATTAACATTTCATCGTAACAATTTATAAAAGATAACAAATTCAGTTAATTCCAGAATTACATGTATACCAGTTTTGTAAATACCAATTTCTGAATATTTGCTGTAAATTAAAAAACCCATGATATTCACAGTCAATGTGAAAAGTTAAATAAGATTAAGAAAAAAGTTGCAAAAGCATTTTGGAAAAGATTTTGAAAAGCTTATTGATTCACCACTGTCCAGTATAGAGCCACAGGTTGGCTTTCACATCAGTGCAGTCTGGCTGCTGGTAGTTCAAATTTTTGTATTTTGACTTCAAAAACCTATATTTTTTTCTATGAACTATTCCAGAATTTTAAGCTGGAAAATCCATTACACAAATTGAGCAGGTTTAAGTTTTAGGTAAAGTGCTTTGGAGGAAAGGTTATTTGTATTAAACAAGCACTGTTTCATTTAAACATATATTTGATCATCCTGTAACCGTCAAAGAGCCTAAATTTGTGCTTATTAATTGCTTATACTTTTATAGAAAAATTCAGATAAGTTGAAATAACAAGAATAATATTAGTTATGAAGATTTTTTAACAGGTTGTATGGCCCCATATAAATGGCTGTTTGTAGCTGCTCAGGTTATATTGCAAATAACAACTTACATACCGCCTTTATTATAACCTTTCAAGAATTTTTATATTAAATTTATAATAACAGCAAATATTCTTTTTAGAGAAAAACATGAAATCACTTCATAATTTCACACCAGCTGTGTACATAGTCTATATAAATATCTTTGTTGTCCAATGAAAGTGACGTTACAAACGTGCACATAGTAAGGACACTTGTATGATTATTATTCACTTTGCTCGTAGAATAAAAATTTTTAATAATGAACAGTTTATGTAGTGTTTCCAAGTAGACCTGCATTTTAAAACAGTTGAAATTTTCAGAAAATTGAGGCTCAGATATTTTATGATACAAGAATTTTCATATTAAGGAATAAGTAATTTTCATTTTAAGGAATTAAGTAACATCACTCAAAGAATTTGGGATCAGCATAATTATGACTGTTAAAATAATGAAAACGATTTTTTTGTTCTGGAAAAATGTTATTTTGTATGGCTTAATAGAAATACTTGAGAACTGGACAAATGTGGGTTTTCCCTATCTTGTCTGTGGGTAGAAACAAAATTTTACAGTAACAACTTGATAAATACATGTATACCAATAACGAGCACACGCCTTGGTAGTGCATAGTGAGGCTCTATAGCAGTGAAAGTTTGTTTGTTATTCCCTGGGATTGGATGGAAAAAACCCTTATTTGTTGAGTTCAGGAAAGATATAATCTGGAAGTTTGCTTGGCTTAAAACTTTCTTTTGAATATTAGAATCAAATATAATATTGTTCCTTGACAATTTGGCTAATTTTTTCAGTTTTTTGACAGAATGGTAAGTTATTAAGAGTGCACATAATACTCAGAGGGCGTGCAAAAAGCTTAAATTATATTTAATAAGTATATCTAGTAGTAACTTACAGTGTAAACATTTATGAATCACCAGTCAGATGCAAGGGAGGTAACCTCTTTCCCAGCGTGTCAGTATTTACGATAGTTAAATGTTTTTATATCTGTATTCATATTACGTCCCAAAATAACATTTGTTATGACCCCCTATCTGAAATTTGAATTTTTTGAATCTGTTACAAGAAAAAGAACAACAAGCAAACAAACATTTTAAACAAAGATGAACACAAAATGAATGGGATGAATGTATTGTGAGACTTAGGTGTAATTTCAAATATTTTGATCAATTTAGACTCTTTGTGTAAAATGTACAGGATTGTTGATATATGTTTAAATGGAACAGTTTTCAGTTTAAAATTATAAAGCATAAAATTTAATGTCATATTTTCATAATTAATGATTTCTCACAACAGTATGTGTAAAAGGCTTTCTGCCAAAACTCTGATATTTAAATTTCTCACGTATTAATGCCATAAAAAACATTTGTGCATAATGCCTTGGAGATGTGTGACAAAAACATATCTTTCAGCAACCATGATTAATTAGATTTTTGATAGAATATTATTATTGACTTACCCTGCTGGAACGAAAAGTGATTAGCTTTCAACCAGTATAGAACCAGACTGAGCCTGCACATCTGTGCTGTCAGATAAGGCTCTATACTATTGGCTTACTAACTTAAGATTTTCATCTAGATATCCCCAAAATTGATAATGGATGGTCCCAGAAATGGAAGCTCAGGGCCAGTCCCATTTTATGATTTAAGAAATTTAGCAGATAAAAGGTTAAGCAATACGATTTGTGTGATATTTATATTTATAAGCAAACTTAAGTTGTTGCCAGTCTTAAAAAAAGCGATAGTTTTGGTATAATATCTTTCTTTTTATATTTCATTTGTCAATATAAAGAAATTGCTACAGAAGTAGTTTTTCTGTTCAGGGGTCACACTGTTAAAGGTCATTTGAAGCATTGTTTGAAAGTTTTCTTTTGAAAGATTAGTCAAACTTTAATAAAACATAAAGCACTTATAATGAAAATTTATGAGTCAAATATATTTCTTGTTTTCTAAATTATAATACTAGAAAAATGTTTTTAACAAGTTTGATCCCTGATTTTCTTCAAATAGTCAGGAAATCTTTTTGATATTAAACACGTACATGTATTATTAAAATAATTGATAAAATTTGGTTTCCCCCTGTTTGTACTAATCTTGTTTCATAATGATTGTAAAATCATTTATATACATTTATGTTCTTCACAAAAGTTGTAAAAACCTGTAAAATCTTGATAAAATTTATAAAATAGACTTGTTCTACTTTGAATTTGGCACTGTTCATTGTAATTGTGAGGGGTATTGGCTGTGTATAATTATTGTTAATGTGAGGGGTTTTAGCACTGTCCATTGTTAATAAGAGGTGTTTTGGCACCATCAATTGTTAATGTAAGACTTTTGGCACTGTCCATTGTTAATGTGAGTGAGTTTCACAATGTCCATTGTTAATGTGAGGGGTTTTGGCACTGTTCTGTTAATAATGTGAGTGTTTTGTTACTGTCCATAGTGAATGTGAGGGGGTTTTGGGCCTTTTGGCTATGTCCATTGTTACTGTGATGGGGGGTTGACACTGTCCATTGTTAATATGAGGGGTTTAGGCACTGTCCTTTGTTAATGTGAGGGGTTTTGACACTATCCATTGTTAATGTGAGGGGTTTTGACACTGCCCATTGTTAATGTGAGGGGTTTAGGCACTGCCCATTGTTAATGTGAGGGGTTTTGACTAGAGGTGCGCGGTTTAAACGGTATACCGGTAAACCACGGTCTGAGACATCTGCGATACGTACCGCGGTACAGACCTGGAAAACCGGTACTTTTAGCTCTAATTTAAAGCAATTACAGATCCGTAAAATGTACTTAATTAAAAACTTTTTCTGTTGTATATGTTAATGTTTCTTTGAGTAAACCTTTTTGCAAACAACTTTGGCCGACTATTATCATTCTTCGATAGTTCTTAGCAAAAATTGAATGCTTTATCGTTTACCGCATGTAAGCCAGAATTGTCGACTGGCATGATCACAGTTGAAGAAGCAAGAATTGTTGACTTACATTTACTTGTCCAAATATCGCTTATTTGATACGAAAACTAATCGTAAAGATTGATAATTCATGAAGGCATTCCTTGCATAAAATTAGGGTGTTACTATTTTAAGTATTTATATAAATAGCGACCAATCAGGCTAGGGGTTTTCCTTACGTCACGCACATACTGCATGCGCATGGAAATTAACTAATTATAGAATGGGGTAGAAACTGGATTAAAAGTAATGTTCGTACCTGATTGAAAAAAGTTAAATGAAGCTTTGATTAATCAGTATTTTCTAGATCTGCTTAAATTTAATATTTGAAATTCTATACCAGCCTACCTTAATTGATACTTATTATTAACCTATAGCATACAATGAAAATCCGTGGTATACCGCGGTTTATACCGTGGTTTTTAGGAAAAAACCGTGGTATACTGTGGTATTTTCTTTCTGGCGGTACCCAACTCTAGTTTTGACACTGCCCATTGTTAATGTGAGGGGTTTAGGCACTGTCCTTTGTTAATGTGAGAGGTTTTGACACTATCCATTGTTAATGTGAGGGGTTTTGACACTGCCCATTGTTAATGTGAGGGTTTTGACACTATCCATTGTTTATGTGAGGGGTTTTGACACTGCACATTGTTAATGTGAGGGGTTTTGGCACTGTCCATTGTTAATGTGAGGGTTTTTGGCACTGTCCATTGTTAATGTCAGGGTGTTTTGGCACTGTCCATTGTGAATGAGAGGGGGTTTTGGCACTGTCCATATTTAATGTGAGGATTGGTTGACACTGTCCATTGTTTATACAAGGGTTTTGGCACTGTCCATTGTTAATGTGAGGGTGGGTTGACACTGTGCATTGTTGATACAAGGGTTTTAGTATTGTCCATGGTTAATGTGAGGGGTTTTGGCACCATCATTTGTTAATGTAAGACTTTTGGCATTGTCCATTGTTAATGTGAGGGAGTTTCACAATGTCCATTGTTAATGTGAGAGGTTTTGGCACTGTGTGAGTGTTTTGTCACTGTCCATAGTGAATGTGGGGGGTTTTGGCTATGTCTATTGTTATTGTGATGGGGGGTTGACACTGTCCATTGTAAATATGAGGGGTTTCGGCACTGTCCATTGTTAATGTGAGGGGTTTTGACACTATCCATTGTTTATGTGAGGGGTTTTGACACTGCCCATTGTTAATGTTAGGGGTTTTGGCACTTTCTATTGTTAATGTGAGGGTTTTTTGGCACTGTCCATTATTAATGTGAGGCATTTTGACACTGTCCATTGTTAATGTGAGGTGGTTTTACACTGTCCAATGTAAATACAAGGGTTTTGGCTCTGTCCATTGTTCATGTGAGGAGTTTTGGCACTGTCCATTGTTAATGTAAGGGGGTTTTGATACTGTTGATTGTTAATGTCAGGGGGTTTTGATACTGTCAATTGTTAATGTGATGGGGTTTTGGCACTGTCCATTATTAATGTGAGGGTGGGTTGACACTGTCCAATGTTAATACAAGGGTTTTGGCACTGTCCATTGTTAATGACACTGTCCATTGTTAATGTAAGGGGGTTTTGATACTGTCAATTGTTTATGTTAGGGGGTTTTGTTATCAAAATGCAGCAAATTGGGTAGCAAATGTAATAAAGTCTAATTGAACTGCACAGATGTACAGGCTGGCCTGGTTTTATGCTTGTGGCATAGGCAGATTGATATTTTAATTATTGGATCTTGAAATATCTGTACAAAAAATACAGGATAATAATGGTAAATATGGCTTTAAAAACAAGCAAGGTTGTGTGATATAAATGATTTTACAATGAGTTTTATATATTTTTTCTGTCTCAGTTTGAGGATGACAAGACGTGGGGCCAGTAGTTCTCTTACAGTTTATCTTAACATGGTCTGTTCTCTTTCTTATTCTCCATCTTTTTTCATTTCTTAATCACTTTCTTACGAGGACTTGAAAAATCGTAAAGTATGGTGTGCAGCATGGGCCAAAAATGATGATTAAAAGTATTAATTGAATGAGTTTTTCAATATAATTGTAGTATGTAAACTTTTTAAACAAGAATTTAATTGATATGGTAAGGTTGCATTTTAGTTGTTTCAAAGAACAATACAGTATTGGTGTGCAAAAGCAAAGAACATTACTGGAGTGATAGCTTAGTGTATATGGTTTAATGCCTCTTAACCAAGGGACTATGGGTTTGAGCCCTATGGAGGCAATTGCCATATATTCTGACATACAGTCAACACCTTAGAATGCAATGCACAATTTTGACATGCATATTTTTCAAGTCCTTTACTCATAAATTTTAGTTGAAATTTTCGTTCTCTTTGCCAACTCTCCTTTGCTGTCTTTAGTCTTTATCTAATGTTTGTTTTGCCTTGGTCTGCATCTTACTGTTCATGCATCTTATTGTTCATTAGAGGTAACTGTCAGGCATTGTCAACAAATTTTCTAAGGGCATTCATTTTCATTAATGGGTCATCCTGATTACAAAAACTTTTTTGAGAAAATTGTTGAAATAATGTTTTGTTATGAGGCAAAGAATATCCAAAGCAAATTGGTTTTATTTTTTTTTTTTTTTTTTTTTTGTATGAACAACTGAATTCAGCTTCGCTTTTACTTTTTGCTTTGTTAATTTTATATATCTATGCATATAATAATTTAATTTGGACAATCCTAAAGACTCTGATGAAAGGGTTTAAGTCTAAGTAGGTTAAGGTTACTAAAAGACAAAAAAACTCGGGTGTATGATATCCTTAATTTGCTATATCGAATATATGGAATAATATTGATCTACAGAATGACGATTGGCCTGTGAATGGACAATAGATATAATTGCCTCCTGTCATTGTTCGCGGAGATATTTTAAATCCAAGTTTCAGTTTCATTCAGCAACTTTGGTTTTGTACATAATTTCTTAATTTGTCAGAATGATATTGTATGCTCTTATTATAGTCTAAACTTAAACGCAAATTGCTGTTTCACTAAACCATATTGTTCGCCATTTAGCACCCGGGGCTTGCATTTTTTCAATCTGCAAAATTTGGTGGCACTAATTAGAGGGGGCGTTAAATGGAAGACAATAAAATACTTGATGCACTCTTGATGCCCCAATCTTCAGTGTCAACATTCTTGAAATATACACTAACGTATTTAACCGTTTACGGAAGTTGAAATAAATTTTATTAATCATAAAAGAAACATGCATGTTGATAATAAAGTGACTGATAGATTGTAAACCACTAAACAAAGAAAAAACACTATATTAAGCATTTTCAGGGCCGTCCGGGTTTGATGGTTGTCCGGTTTTGGTGGTCTCCAACCAGTATCCAAAGCAAATTGGTTTTAATTTTTTTTTTTTTTTGTACGAACAAAACTTGAAATAAGCTTTTGATTTTATTTTTGCTTTGTGTAATTTTATTATATCTTTATGCATAGTAATAATTTAATTTTGGACATAATAATCCTAAGCCAGCTTCTGATTGAAGGGGGTTTAAGTCCAAGTGGTAAAGGTTACTAAAAGATCAAAGAAAAACTCCGGGTGTATGGAATATCCTGAACTGTGCTGTATCAAAATATATGGAATAATATTGATCTACAAGAATGACAGATTGCCTTGAATGGACAGTAGATATAATTCCTTCTCTTTGTCTATTTTTAGTTTCTGCTGGGATTGCAATATTTTTTAAATCCAAGTTTCAGTTTCATTTCAGCTTTGGTTTTTGTGACATAAAAGTGTTCTAATGTTGTCAGAATGATATTGTATGCTTCTTTTATAGTCTAAAACTTAAACGCTTTGCTTGTTTCACCTAAAACCATATTGTTCCCATTTAACGCCCCCGGGGGCTTGCATTTTTTCAAATTCTGCAAAATCATTGGTGGGGGCACTAATTAGAGGGGGGCGTTAAATGGAAACAATAAAAATACTTGTTAAAAAAGTGTTTGCCAATCCTTAACCTGCTGGAACCAAAGGTGATCAGCCTAATTGCCACCAGTGAAAAGCCAGGCCAGCCTACACTACAGTGCAGTCTGACCAGGGCTTTATACTATTGGCTGACTAACTTTTAAACTTTCGTCTTTACATTTCCAAAATTGTTAATGAACATTTACAAAGTTGGTATTTTATAAACTTAGCTGGTTAAGGGTTAGCTTTCACCTTGGTTTTACATCATTGGGTAGAAAGACATAATTATTCTTTAGTTTAATTTTATTGTAGATAATTAACAAAAGACAATGTCATTACACTTAAAAAATGATATTGATCTAAAGCAGGCACAGTATCCCTGATGTTTTAGAGGTCAAAGGTAAAGGTCACTGTCTTTTGCAACTTAGAAAGAGTTTTATTGTTTTGAGTCTGCCAAAGTCGGTTTGAAGCCTGTTTCTATATGATCTATATATTGTCACCTTAGTGCAGTAATGAGTTAAGTCCTTCTAAATTTAATAGGAGTTAACTAGTTATTGCACTAAGGTGACAATATGGTTAGTAGGTCAAAGGTTAAAGGTCAAATTAGTGTGAAAGAACAGTTCATGCTTGAGTGATTTTAGAAAGCATTTTAAGTGTGTTAAATTGTTTCAATGATTGCATGGTCTCTCTCTTTGCAGACTAATTAAGGTAATGAACTAAGTTAAACCTTTTATCAGAAGTGAATTCAAGATAACATGCACTTGCAGTTATAAAAAAAAATCCCATATTTTCTTGCACAAAGATACAGTTTGTTGTAATTTTCAATCCTGTGCAAACTACATTTAATTATGAATAAACCTTTATACCCACTACTATGCATGTATATCAACTTTATTTGCATAGTAAATTACCTTATTTTAGCACCTGCAGAATATAATACAGTATTATATTTACCCTAAAAATAGCATTAAATATAACTACCTGAAAATTACTACTGTCCTTACTGCCCATTAGAAATTTTATAAATGTATGCTGCATCACAAATCCACAATTACATATACAATGTACTTTAGTCTGCTTTGATAGAAATGAAAATTAATTTGATGTTTGAAATCAAAAGATTATGCAAAACTAGCATTGTTTTAGAACAGAACTATTTGATAAAATAAATAAATCTGTATTTATATGTGTGCATTCCAATCATAACTATTTGATTTGTTTTGTTTTCTTGAATTTATATTTTAATTGTATAATGTAATGAGGTTATTATACACTGCTGAGTACAATACTGAATTATATTGGACTAGTACACATCTGTCAAAACTATATTCAGGATGAGGCATTATCATCATTTATAGTATGTTGTTTGATGAACTGTTTAATTATTTTATTTGATTGTCTATTATTGTATTTCCAGACATCAAGTGCGTTTAGTGACGACGAAGTAGCCTGGGCGTTTACATCATCTACATCACCTACGCAGTCATCAGCTTCTAGTAAAAAATCGAGCGTTAAATCGCCAAAATCTAAATCAAAATCGAGTAGCAAATCTAAAAAAATGACGCGGGAGGAACAAGAAGAGGCCGACTATCAGTTAGCGTTAAAATTGAGCCGCGGAGAAATCTAGTGATAGTTGTGAAATTTTAAAATTGTTAATATGAATCCAACAAAAATTGATAAATTTAGTACTGTTGTAAAATTGTAATATGTTAAAATGGACCACAAGAAAAATTGATAAATTTGATAATTTTTTTTTTTTTATTTGTTACATGTTTAAGCATCACACTCAGATGTATGGTAATTTTGTTGAGGAATTTTTCTTTTCATGTTGAAACAGAATTTTTTGTCTCAAAATCAACAAATATATTATGCTACAGATTAAACAAAAATTTTGGTCTTGAATATGTATTTTAACTAACATAACCTTAATTTTTTACAAGTTTATCGATTTGAATCATAGCTTAATTATTTGTACACATCAGGTCTACAATTAATCAAAGCAAAAAAAAAATGTATCTGAAATTCTTGAAAGATTTCACCTTCTTACAGCAATACTCTGCTTGGGTGTTGGAAGTTTTTATGAATTTGATAACTTTCAGTGTTGTCGATATCAAGCTGTGTGCTTGATTTAAGGACTTCAGCAAATTGATATTTTACCCGCAAAAAAAATATTTTCTGAAAATGTTTCCCTGGAATAATTTATTACTTTGATATTTGTGAAAATGCATTTAGTTGGTTGTATTTTTAGTTTTTTTTTACACAGGATTATTAATTTTGAATCGATAGCGTTGTGGTTTGGAAGATAGGCTAACAGTTTATTGGTGATAATTAAGTTTATTATAACAAATTATAAAATAAAGTTTATTTCAACAAATTGAGAAAATAAAATTGATTTTTCTCGTAATGATACTGTCACGATATTTCTTTATCTCCCCGAGGTCAACCCTTAATATAGATAGACCTATGTGACCTTGAAAGAGTCCGGGCTGAATTTTTAGTAGGCTGTCGCCCAACTATATTCAATTTTAACATTTTGATATTTGACACCCTTACATTAAAACTAGGTCAGTGTGACACACATTATCTCCCTTAAGTAATAACAGTGGCTTTTTTTAGAATACATGTATTATGATTTTAATCAAAGTGGTCTGAAGATAGGTCTCATGATTTCACAATATTATATAACATGTTGAGAAGTTGATGGGTGCTTGTGGAGATGAAAATGAATGTGAAGTCTGTTAGATAATGTAATTCAGGAATGAATGATATAATGTTAGTCAGTGTAAGGTCCTGATGCCATTTGCTCTTAATATTGTTTAAAATGGATTTGATACCTCCAATTTCCTAGTTTAGAAATGTATTTAGATTGCAGAATTTTACTATTAATTTAATACTCTCTAGTAAGTTTACATTATTCCTAATTGGGGAATATTACTGTGGTAAGAACAATAGACTGTTTATCTGAATTTGTTGTGTATTTCATCTGTGGTTATTGCAGTTGAAGATGAGATATTTGAAAGAAATTGTTAACAATATTGAAGATTGGTGTATGTTAAGTGTATCACCGTAGTTGTACAGTAAGTGTTATGTTTAATAAAAATTATGTAAATGTGCAATATTATATTTAAATGCATGATGGCATATTGTAGAGTTGCTTTTTATCGACCAAAATACAAAGTGTGTAATATATTTGTTTTAGCAAAAATGATAAATTGTAAATATAAATATGCATATAGAGGAATTATGTTTGTTTTTAAGGGAATATGAATTATATTTCACTGAGAAATGATATTTTTTTTTATATTTCTATGTGTAGCACAAATAAGATATATAAAAGATTTAACTTTGAATAAGATATATTTCATACTTGTGTATGAAATAAACAAAAATTTAGAAAAATGTATTCCATATTTATGTATGACATTTTAAAAACTAATAAATTTAAGACAGATATAATTATGTTGAAAATGTATGAAATATAAAAACAAATTTAATTTTACACTTGTTAATGATCCATAGTGAGTGATATAGAATATATTTCACTGTGAAAGTCTGCTGCATGTTTTTATGCTGTGGTATGGAATAAAAGGTTCATGTCGAGACATAATACAATTCAATGCCTGAAATTCCGAAAGCGTGCCAAAATTATATACAGTTCTGAGGACATTAGGGCTTTTTAAAATTTTCAACAGTTAAAACAATATCCGATAATAGAACTTACCAATGTTCCAGATTAATGGAAAGAATGAAATTGTAGGGGTAATGGTAGATTTTCAAGAAGGGTTGCTAGTTGTTATCCCTTTTTAATTCTGTGCCTATTTAAGATATAAAAAATAAATTATTGGCACGCATTTTACAGTAGTGATTGGCAGCTTGCATTTATACATGTATGTTCTAAAAATAGAACAATCTCAGCTAGTCATGTGATACAATGTTTTCTTCCATGTTTTATAGCACTTACACAGTACATGTATGTGGTAAATATTTTATTTGAATGTTATAAGAATGTAGCTAGAAATAATTGCATTTAAAATATTATACGTATGTATATCCATGTAACATGAGTATAGCAGTGTACTTTAATATATTCTCTGTTTTAAAAGATTGCCAACGTTTGGTTGCGTATTTTGATGCAGACTTTGTTGTTTGGGGTTTTTTTTTCTTCAATTCTTACCTTTTAAATTATTTGAGCCATTTCTTCTTATTTTGACTTAGTAATAGCTTAATTAACACTTTGAATTTCTATTAACACTACTGACTTGTCTATGGCACCATCATCATGCCAGGAAATCCCGTAAATCCAGTCAGAACACAATTATGTTGGTGGCTTGATTAATACTAACGTGATATTTAATTGCGCAATAAAGTCCAACTGTTCAAAATCCCAGGTAAACTAGTCCACTTAATTCAGCAAGTAATGAGTTATTAAGAGGACAAAGGTTATTATATGGAATTCAGTATACAATTTTGTTATTTATAATCCTTTTGTATCCATATATTTTGCTTAGTAAGTAAATCAATTTTATCTATTGCTATTGCTCCAATATGTGTCATGTCTGTGCATTAGTTTAATGAATATGATTTGTAATAAATTTTCAAGCGTAATGAACATAAGAAGTTGTATTAATGGTTTTATATTACAAAAAATGTACGTTTACATCGGCTAAATTAGTCAGTGAGGCCATACCTCGACTAATGTGTTATATGACATCATTCTGAAGATAATTGCAAGCACCACTTTATATCTCCTTTGATGGAGAAAACAGCTGTAATTATTTTATTTTTTTCATCAGTTATACTGGTCTAAAGAGCATGCTAAGCATAACCTCATCTTATAATCCTCTTGATAAAAAATATTTCTCAACATTCTGGGAAACTATCAGAGTGAATGTGCTTTTAATGATAGCATGCATGATAACAATCACAAGCCTCGTTACTGCCCAATGGACAGGTACCTGAGGGTCGACTATTTCAATCCGAACCACAAAATATGACCAATATTATTAATATTTGAAGCAGTTTTTTTCACAGAATAAAAGCATATTATTCTGCTTACGCTTCTTGTGAAATGATGTCATGGATTGCATGGTATGGTCACCACGTTTTTGAAATTAATGAATAATTTTTTTTTCATATTCATTGTATGCTAGCCTGTTGTACCTGATAAAAGAAATGATTTTATTATATATTCACACATGATCATTCAAGTCATACCTCATTACACTGCATGTTGAAAACATTTTACATAGTATTACACCATTTATGATTATTTATAAGCAGTATTCCATTATATATTGCTCTATGTTATTGGTAAATAAATGTTCAGATATTGAAATCTTGTATTTGTTGTACTTATTTCCCTAGTGAAAGTCATTATAGAAAAACAATTGTGAGTGACGTGTCATATTTTTGAGTTCCTTTTTTATTGGATTATACAACACCAGTGTTGATGGTATGAAAGCTGTCCTGGTGGAGAAACACCCAATTACCCTTGTGTGCAACACTAGTGGCATGGACACAAATCTAAATCTTCAATCTACTGCAAGGTACCTCCATAACTTCCATCTTATAAGAGTGCGTCCTTCTGGGCAGGGATTTGAACCCAGAACTGTGAGGGGGCAATTGCTGAGCCGCAACACTGACCATTAAATTAGTCAAAAGCGTATTAGAATGTATCTTTGGTGGATTAGATTTCATAAATAGAGTGGTTCATTCCTTTATACCTCCTCAGTTTCTGAAGCACTGATTTTTTTATTTATTTTTTTTCTGTTTTTTTATCAGGTAATTTCTGTAAACAGTGTGGTCTGATAAATTGTTCACCTTATTGTACATTTTGGTAATTATTCATTTCCACATGCAATTTTGGATTTTATTAAGTTGTATTCTCCATACATCAACAACTGCAAACTTGATATGAATCAACATCTGTTTTAACACTGGCAAAAGGTACACCAATAACTTTTTTGGAATCTTTTGTATACAACTGATACTTTATTTATATTAGTGATCTTAAAATTTTCGTCCTCTTTTTAGCTCACCTGTCACAAAGTGACAGGGTGAGCTTTTGTGATCGCTTTTCGTCCGGCATCCGTCCGTCCATCGTCCGTCCGTAAACTTTTACTTTAAACGACATCTCCTCATAAACCAGTAAGCCAATTTCATCCAAACTTCACAGGAATGTTCCTTTGGTGGTCACCTTTGAAAATTGTTCAAAGAATTTAATTCCATGCAGAACTCTGGTTGCCATGGCAACCGAAAGAAAAAACTTTAAATATCTTCTTTTAAAAAACCATAAGAGCTAGAGCTTAGATATTTGGCATGAAACATCTTCTAATGGGTGTCTACCAAGTTTGTTCAAATAAAAGCCCTGGGGTCAAAATTGGCCCGGCCCTGGGGGGGTCATTGATTTTCCCTATATGCATATAGTAAAAACTTAAAAAATCTTCTTTTAAAGAACCCAAAAAGCTAGAGCTAAGATATTTAGCATGAAACATGTTCTAATGGGTGTCTACCAAGTTTGTTCAAATAAAAGCCCTGGGGTCAAAATTGGCCCCGCCCCAGGGGGTCATTGATTTTCCCTATATGCATATAGTAAAAACTTAAAAAATCTTCTTTTAAAGAACTCAAAGAGCTATGGCTAAGATATTGAGCATCAAACATGTTCTAATAGGTGTCTACCAAGTTTGTTCAAATAAAAGCCCTGGGGTCAAAATTGGCCCACCGCCCAAGGGGGTCATTGATTTTCCCTATATGCATATAGTAAAAACTTAAAAAATCTTCTTTTAAAGAACCCAAAGAGTTAGAGATAAGATATTTAGCATGAAACATGTTCTTATAGGTGTCTACCAAGTTTGTTCAAATAAAAGCCCTGTGGTCAAAATTGGCCCCGCCCCGGGGGGTCATTGATTTTCCCTGTATGCATATAGTAAAAACTTAAAAAATCTTCTTTTAAAGAACTCAAAGAGCTATGGCTAAGATATTTAGCATCAAACATGTTCTAATAGGTGTCTACCAAGTTTGTTCAAATAAAAGCCCTGGGGTCAAAATTGGCACCGCCCCGGGGGTCATTGATTTTCCTTATATGTGTATAGCAAAAACTTAAATAATCTTCTTTTAAAAAACCCAAATAGCTAGAGTTAAGATATTAAGCATGAAACATCTTTTAGTGAGTGTCTACAAAGTTTGTTCAAATAGAAGACCTGGGGTCAAAATTGGCCCCGCCCCGGGGGTCATTGATTTTCTTTATATGTGTATAGCAAAAACTTAAAATCTTCTTTGAAAAAACCCAAATAGCTAGAGTTTAGATATTAAGCATGAAAAATCTTCTAGTAAGTGTCGACAAATTTTGTTCAAATAAAAGCCCTGGGGTCAAAACTGGCCCGACCCAAGGGGTGTCATTGTTTTTAATTCTATGTGTATAGTAAAAATTAAAAAAAATCTTCTTTTAAAAAGCCCAATGAGCTAGAGCTTAGATGTTTAGCATGAAACATCTTCTTATGGGTGTCTACCAAGTTTGTGCAAATAAAAGCCCTTGGGTTAAAATTGGCCCTGCACTATCCTCCGAAAAATAAAATGACTAATACTCTTCTGGGGGCTCGCCCATATGGGCAACCGGTGGCGAGTATAAATAAACGCAAATACACACAAAATTGGCCCTGCAACGTTGGGGGGGGGGGGGGGGCTATATACAGGTGAGCGACCTCAGGGCCATTATGGCCCTCTTGTTTTAAAATAAAATCATGATTCATCAAAATATTTAAAGTCTAAATTTCATACATCATTTTAATGTTTAAATAAAAAAGGTCAGAAAACAGTGACTTCAAATGTTTATTTTCAAGTTTTAAATTTACAAAATCAAAACAACAATGTTTATTTTTAATCAAAACAAGAGAATGTTGATATTTTAATATTATACAGTAGAACTCTACAAATAAGACCAGTTGTAGTTTTTCCAAAACCATGGACTTAATAGTGGAGTGGTCTTAATTTTTTCGGAGGTAGTAAGGTTGGGGTTCTACTGTAATTCACTTCTAGATTTTATTTGCTCAATATAAAATTTCTGTAACATAATTTCACATAACCACAAAAATTATTTCATACAAAATGTATACTGATACAGCAATAAATACCCACTGAACACAAGTAATTGTGATGTAAGACTACAATTGTGTGAATTTTTTGGAATGTTTATTAATTCTCTAAATTCTAATGATTTAAATGAATTGGCTGTATATTTAGTATAGAACCAGCATTCTGTCACACCAGATTCAATACTTAATTTTTGGACTTTGACATTGAAATTTGTTGAATAAAAACTGCAAATTTTCAATTTGAAGCAAGGCATGAGCGAAAGAAGCCAGTGTTCGAGTCTAGTAAAAATGTAAACAATGCAAAAGCGCACAAAACTTATTTCTGTTGATTAAGAATTTAATCTTTTATTCACTGCAAAAAAATGGGTTTTTTTGGGTTTTTTTCAGTTGATATGCTTTTCTAAAGAAAACTGACATTTGTTTTTATAAGTCTTATTGTTTGCATAGCACACATTAACTATCATTTAAACTTACAATATCTTTTATAGATGACCACCCTAGTTTAAAAATATCTGATTATATGTGTACTGGGTACAATAATGAATAGCACTTTTTTTTTACTGACAATACGAGTACTGGGTACAATACATAATAGCACTTTTTTAATTTGAGAATCGGAATATAAATCAATCAACTAGATAATTTAGCATGATACAAATGTTACATAATATTTTCAACCAAGGCACCTTGCACAACATTGAACAATTGGAAATTAAAAATTTGCAAACAATTAATGCCAACTGAAATGAAGATGTTATAATGGATTTAATTAAATGATGTATCACTTTCCAAATGATGCCATATTGTCTAGCCACAGCTTTAATCAAGATCACAAGTTGCTGTCTGTCTGCAAGCCTTTGCTGATCAAGAATGGTTCCTGTATGGGGTCACGACCTAAGAAGTTGCGCAACATCACATCAGCGTCCTGAAATACAAGAAAAACTTTAAAAAATAAAAAAAAACATTCTTATTGTTTGTTTGGATTTTACTTCGCACCGACACAGTATACATGTAGGTCATATGGCTACATTCCAACTTTACTGGTGGAGGAAGACCTCAGGTGCCCTTCCGTGAATTATTTCAGGCACAAACGGGCACCTGAGTAGAACCATCAACGTTGCCTAAGCTAGCTGCATAGCTTCCTCACATGAAAGAATCCAAGTCCCAGTTGGGATTCGAACCCACAGAGGTGAAGGGCAAATGGTTTGAAGTCAACGACCTTAACCACTCGGCCACGGACGCCCCAAAATATTCTTAACTTAAAAATAAAACATGTGATGTTTTTATTAATTCTATTTCTTACATAGGTCATACAGAACGACGACATTTGTCAAACTGATTTATTTGTTTGTCCCATTGTATTATATGTTTATGTCACACAACATATTTTGTCTTTTTGTCACTAGACGTTTGTTTCATACTGTATTATCTGTTTATGTCACATGACTTTTTATGTTTGTGTCATACTGAATAATCTGTTTTATTATATGATCTAAATATAGCTGCAATCTCATTAGTCCAAACAGTAGTCAACAGAACTTTTTTAAAAATATTCACTGGGTGTAGTATCATATTCACTGACTGAATTGGATTTTCCCAGTCTAAAAATAGATTGAGACTCATATTCAATAATCATACACCGTAGACTGTTAATTATGCGTATTAATTTAAAAATAATTGTTGCGTTTTGTTCTTTATGGCATATTTCTTGATTGACATATCATTACTTACTATTATACTTAAAGGCTAAACCGCAATTATGAGTATAAACTTGAATTACTTTTGTATGCGCAGCGTTCGCGTAGTCGTTGAACGCCTAACACGTGCGTCTTTTTTCCCTCGCTTCAATGAGGCAAAATTTGTACATGTACATAAGGTTGTACTTTTTTATGATTTTTTTAAATTCTTAGCCTATTGATATAATAAAACAATTATTGACTAGAGGGCCATGAATTATGATGTGATATTCACCGGCAGAAAGTCATATTGACCATGGCTATTGCCTCGGTCAATATGTCATCTGCTGTGAATATCACATCATATTCAATGGCTCATTAGTCAATAATTGAATAATGTGACACTTCTTACAAGATATTAGATATTCATTCAAATTAACATGTTATTCAGAAAGATGAAATTCTGGCACATAACACTCCCAACAGAATTTTTGTACCATCTAGTATAGAAAATTAATGCTATTAAACAATAAATATCACCCTTTTAAGCCACATAGTACAGTATTCATTTGTTAACACTGTCTGGAGTATTTCAAGATAATTAAATTTCTCCAGTTTACCTTAGAGTAAAACACATCTACCCCACCCTACTCATGCTTCCCATGTACAATATTTCAGGTACAGATTATATGTAGACCACTGCTAAATTCTCTCCCATTCAGAAACTACACAGAAATTTAAAACCAGTACAAAAACATACCATCCCTATATTTTAAACTTATACTTTTCCAAACTTACCAGTGACCCTCCAGGTTGAAGGATGCACCTTCTGTAATCGGCTCCAGTCTTCACATTCATTACCCCTTCTTTCTTAAATCTTGATGCAAACATGTCCATGCAGAAAACTTCGCTCCACTGAAGTAAATGATTGATAAAAAATTTAACGCTTTTACAAACTAAATTTGTACAATCAACTCTTCCTGCTTTGCATATATCTGGCCTGACTGAATGGAATTGTTGCCTTACCTAGCTCAATACTGGACAGGCTAGTAATACTTTATGACCATTCAAAAATCTAAAATTCATTTCTTACTCAGAAGCAATATACATTTAGTTACTTCTACTGAGTGGCACAAACAAGTTATTGACATAACCAGCATTCGGGGGAGCTAGAGCTCATTTCTTACAAATTAAATGTTGATAAATATACGAAAATACAGATATTACCATATAACCATAATACTGGGCATCATATCCCCCAGCAAGATGGCCAAAGGAAGCCGCCATATTGGTCCCTGGAGTTGATGAAAATCCCATCAGCTCTTTTGTCAACCTTGACAATGTTGCTGCAGTATCTGCCTGTAATACAATTTCTTTTTCTTAATTAAACAAATACTACTGGCATGTGTGTTTTCTTTAATTAAACAAAAACTTTCTGTTGTTTTCTTAATTAAACAAAAACTTTGTAATTTTCTTAAATTAAACAATAACTATGTACAGTCTAACTTGCCCATGCGACCATGTGTATTAAGCGACTTTTGTCTTAAACGACCACTTTAAATTCCCCCCGATCTTTTTCTCTCTATATCTTTAATGTATTAAGCGACTTTTGCTCAACGCGACCAGCGACCGCTAATTAGTCACCTAATTGAGATCAATCTTTTCGTTAAACGACCACTTTTACCTGTCAAGTAATTGTGTTTTTAGAGAATGCCACCTCGTAACGTCACAAGTGTCAACAATCAAAACACAACAAATAAACGTGTGAAAAATTCTATTTCCCAAACCATTTTAGCGTATGCAAATGAAGTTAAGTATACCTGTGACGTGTATTATCCAATAATATAGGATAAACAATGCAACGCTTCACCCCTACTGAGATGGTGTATACGCTTCGCTTGTTGACATTTAGACTGCATTGAATTGACCTTGAACTTGATCAGCAATTAAATTAATCGTAACAATTAGATGGAGTTTGTTTATTTCAAATGAAAAAAAAACACAACAGAAAACATCTTCTCTAATAGGGTTTTCGTGTTGAGGACAAGGAAAAACAACGGAGAAGTTAAAAAACTCTGGAAAAAATGTCAAACTTGTACGTAATTTGTCAATAAATATCAGAAAGTTATGTTTTACATTTGCATCCATTTAGATTATCGGAGCGTACAAATTATTCAAATTATTCAACATTTATATAAAAATGAAGTTGAAAAACATTCCCACTTCATACATGTCATAAGAAAGATGTCATTTATAAATTTTGACTTTTATATCATGCTGACTGTCTTAAGAGACCGTTTCATTAAGCGACCGTTTTAGGTGTTTCCCTTGCGCGGTCGCTTAATACACGTTTGACTGTATACCCTTCTTGAACTTAACAAATACTATGGATTAAATTAAGGCTTGAATGTAAAATTGACCCATAGTTTTTGTTAAATTCAAGAAAAAATACATAGTTTTTGTTTAATCATTGAGATGCATGCATTTAATCCTAGTCTAAAATCAGGGTTGTAATATCAAGATCAAATTAAGATCTTTTTATTTACATTATTTAATTTTTTCCTTCATAAGCAGCTTTAAAATAAAACGTCACAAAAAGTAAGTAACTTTTCTATATGTTAAACAGTTTGTATTCGTAAATCTAATTACATATATATACATGCATTAAAATTGATCTAGACTATCACAAACCTCAGCACAAGTGTGAATGGTCTGATCAAATGTTCCTAGAAGAATCTGTCTTGTATTAAACACACCAGCGTTAGCCTTCCTACTCTGTATGAGCTTATCAAGGATATCTTCCGGTATAGCGCTGCCGTTCTCGTAATGTTTAGACATCCTGTTGAGGGGTTCACGCTCCCAGCACCAGTTCTCCAACATCTGTGACGGGGCCTCAACAAAGTCTCTCTCAACATGTGTACCACTAAAAATAAAGCATTGATATAGATGGGATCTTTTTGTTTGATTGACATGGTTATAGAGTCTGAGTATGTCCCACTAAGATGGGAGCAATTACATTTTGATTTGTGAAGAACAAGTGCCATATCATTTGTCATGTAACATGGTGAGCCATATATTTTACTATTTTACTATTTTATCTTAGATCTGTTTAAATTACAAACATTATCACATACCCATGCCACTTTTGCAACCTGGTAAAAATGGTAGTGCATTTTGACATAAGGATCTCATTTGCATTATACTAACATAGTGTAAAGACGAGATAAATGTGTGCATTACACTATAGGCGTGTCAATGTAAAAAGATTCTTTGTCAATTTAGAAAGTCTTTATTTTTAGTGGATGATGAAAAGAGTATTATATTCATGTAGGTTAATTCCTGAATTTATTGAACTCTGAATAAAACAATATAAAGCATGCCAGAGGCTACATAATATAATTTCATTCAGTACTAAACTTACACTCAACATCCTCTATTTATTGAGAAAAACTGAAAAAGTAAATTTAAGGCTTTTCTTTTACAACTTTATAAAGATGATGCAAAATTATGAAAAGATTAAAAATTACACCTTAACTTGACCATATTTACTTAGATAAGGGAATTTATTCTTGCACCTTACCTGAAGAAAGCTGTCTCGGTCTGAGCACAAATTTGATGCATCACATGACCAAACTCATGGAAATATGTCTCTACCTAGAAAACAAAGGACAACCAAATAATGAACATGGTGTCAGTGTTGGTAGTGTATAACAAGTTGTAGTGCGAAAAATGATCAGGCGGAAATTCAAACTTGTCAATGAAGACAAAAGCTTCCCTAAATACACATGGTAGCAAGTTAGGATGCCAAACAGGGCCTAAATGACTTGGTGGTAAAATCCTAATATCACTTGCTTCTCAATATATTTAAATCAAGTTACAAACTCTGAATAAACTTCATGTGAAGGAGCTATCAAGGCCGGACAGTGGAGATGTTCAAAATATACTGATTTGTCCAAGATAAAGACTACTTTTGATTTTCAGAACAAATAAGTGCATTCAATTTTCTCATGATACACTTTACTCAATTTTTATCCGACTTAACTCCTGTATTGTTACTCACTGTACCATATTTGCCCTTTACACATAATTATATACTCATTTTAACAAATCCATAAAATGATTTGACAAGAGCACCGCTAGGCGGAGCATTATATGCCCGAAAGTGTTTTTTTTTTAGTAAGGATGAAGCATTCATTAGACATGGGAATTAGCTGTTCATCCTATAAAATTTTACAGATGTAGGTTGATTAATACTTAAGTCATTAATAATGACCTTCTTTGACCTTGTGACCGCTAAAATATAGGGGTCTTCTCTACCTTATATGGACAATCATCTATGAAGTTTTTGAATATGTGGGTCAAATGGAACTTAAGTTATGCTCCGAAAAACTGTTTTCAGTAATCACGGTAATAGTGAACCTTGACCTTTTGAACCTTTTGATCCAGAAATCAATAAGGGGTCTTCTACTTAATATGGACAAATCAACCTATGAAGTTTGAACATTGGTGGTCAAATGGAACTTAAGTTATGCTCCGGAAACTGTTTTCAGTATCAAGGTAACAGTGACCTTGACCTTTGACCTTGTGACCCCAAAATCAATAGGGGTCTTCTACCCAATATGAACAATCATCCTATGAAGTTTGAACATTGTGGGTCAAATGACTTAAGTTATGCTCCGGAAACTGTTTTCAGTATCAAGGTAATAGTGACCTTGACCTTTGACCTTGTGACCCCAAAATCAATAGGGGTCTTCTACCCAACATGGACAATGATCCTATGAAAAGTTTGAACATTGTGGGTCAAAATGGAACTTTAGTTATGCTCCCAGAAACTGTTTTCAGTTTTAAGGTAATAGTGACCTTGACCTTTGACCTTTTGACCCCAAAATCAATAGGGGTTCTTCTACCCAATATGGACAATCATCCTATGAAGTTTGAAAACATTGTGGGCCAAATGGAACTTAAGTTATGCTCCGGAAACCAAAAATTGCTAACAGATAAAATTGCTAACGGACCGGAAAACTGTTTTCAGTATCAAGGTAATAGTGACCTTGACCTTTGACCTTTTGACCCCAAAATCAATAGGGGTCATCTACCAATATGGACAATCATCCTATGAAGTTTGATAATTGTGGGTCAAAATGGAACTTAAGTTATGCTCCGCAAATTGTTTTTATTTTTAAGGTAATAGTGACCTTGACCTTTGAGCCTTTTGACCCCAAAATCAATAGGGATCTTCTACCTAATATGGACAATCATCCTATGAAGTTTGAACATTGTGGGCCAGATGGAACTTAAGTAATGCTCCGAAACCAAATTGCTAACAGACAAATTTGCTAACGGACGGAAACTGTTTTAAGTATCAAGGTAATAGTGACCTTGACCTTTGACCTTTTGACCCCAAAATCAAATAGGGGTCATCTACCCAATATGGACAATCATCCTATGAAGTTTGATAATTGTGGGTCAAATGGAACTTAAGTTATGCTCCGCAAATTGTTTTTTAGTTTTAAGGTAATAGTGACCTTGACCTTTGACCTTTTGACCCCCAAAATCAATAGGGATCTTCTACCTAATATGGACAATCATCCTATGAAGTTTGAACATTGTGGGCCAGATGGAACTTAAAGTAATCGCTCCGGAAACCAAATTGCTAACAGACAAATTTGCTAACGGACGGAAAACATGTTTTCAGTATCAAGGTAATAGTGACCTTGACCTTTGACCTTTTGACCCCTAAAATCAATAGGGGTCATCTACCCAATATGGACAATCATCCTATGAAGTTTGAACATTGGGGGCCAAATGGAACTTAAGTTATGCTCCGGAAACCGAATTGCTAACGGACAAATTGCTAACGGACGGTTGGACGGACGGACGGACGGACAGACGTTCTCACAGGACAATAATTATGTGGCTACTCTATTGTTCTCTCTATTGTTCTTTTTAGCCACGCAAAAGAAAATAGCCACATAAAAGCATTACGGAATGAATGACATCAAAGAGAACCTATTGTCCCTCTAGCCACATAATTACTCTCCTGTGAGTGCGGACGGACGGACGGACGTATAACATAATATGCCCTTTCGGGCATATAGAAAATTATTTGCATGAAAATGTAATTTCCTTGCCATTCTTCATAAACCCTTTACCTGTTGAATTTATTTAACTTCCAAAGTCAACTTTCTTATAATTTTAGAACCATCATTATCATGCGGTGGCTGAACTGTACACTGGTAAATTCAATGTGGCTTACTGTTGTGATCAGGAGGTTAAACTACCAACACCGACACAATTTTCATTACCAATTTCAGAATTATGAAGCTGAAAATTTTAAGTGAGTCAGCCGACTGAGTAGAACCTTGGCAGACTGCATGGATATACTAGCTCTATAATGGAAGGACAAATGACAAGATATATATATATCTGCTTACCTCATCATGTGATAGTAGGGATGGTTTATCAGCTGTGGGTTTAGTGAAGTTGGCTACCATGGCTGCCACACTGACCATTCTTGTACCATCCCCATATAAACATCCAGGCTATAATTGTCATCAAATAAATCATATATATCCATAAATTAATCAATTTACAAACCAATAAATTAATAAACCAATTAATAAAAAAAAAAAAACAATAAATTACATTTGTAATTGGCCAAAATTCAATAAATTGATCAGTACTGATATAGAACTCAATATTCTTCACATCTTATTTCAACATCTTTATACTGAAACTCCCTGGAGGCTTCACGCATTTATAGTCAGATTATGCAAAAGGTAATATGACACTAATCACTATCAAGACTTTAAAAACTCTACTTCCTAGAATTAACAAATGTCATTTCAGGGAACAATGTTGTGACCGAAACAAGTCCCATGTCTTAAACTTTTACAATTGTACTATTGCAGCCATTACATCTTACAGAAGTGCTGCAAATTTTTATTTTAAACTTTTCAGAAAATTTAGTTGTCTAAAATGTTTTCTAGTGCTGATAATAATAAGTTAAGTAGAAAGTAAATTCACTAACTGCTAACCGAATCTGGTCTGAATAATTTCATCATTTATTCATGTAAGCAATGTGAAAGGTAGATACCTGTAGTCCAAAGCAAGCAGCGTGCCCATACTTTCCTTCCCTTGGGAAAAGATCTAGATAGAAATATCCTAACAGATCCTTTGATTCTTTGTCTGTCACACTATACTGTAAAGTGTAAGATTTTCATTAATTTTCATTTACAACCAAAACAGGTAAAAGTTTTAAATATTAAACTAGAACTCCGCGAGTCAGATGTGTCGCCTTGTGAACAATGTAGTTTAGGAGAAATGGCCAGGAATGGCAAATGAAATTTGAAAATCAACACAGGGCAATAACTCAAAAAATAAGAAATGCAGAGCAGCAGTTTCTGTGCACTGCACTTCTTATCAATAAGATCTATCATCCTATTAAGTTTCATATCTAAAGCTTTTATAATTATTGAGAAATGGCCTGGACAAAAATAAAGTATGAAAATAAACAAAGGACAATAACTCAAAAAATAAGAAATGCAGAGTACCAGTTCTTGGGCACTGCACTTCTTCTCAATGAGATGTATTATCCTATGAAGTTTCAAGTCAATAGCTTTTTAAGTGTAGGAAAATTGGCCTGGACAAAAATAAAGTATTATAATAAACAAAGGACAATAACTCTAAAATCATGCGGTTCTTATGCACTGCACTTCTTCTCACTGAGATCTATCATCCTATGAGGTTTCAAGTTCATGGCTTTTAAAGTTTAGTTGAAATGGCCGGGACAAAAATGACATATGAAAATTAACAAAGAGCAATAACTCAAAAATCATGAAGTTCCGGTTTTTATGCACTGCACTTCATCTCAATGAGACCTATAATCCAATGAAGTTTCATGTCCATAGCTTTTATAGTTTAGGAGAAATGGCTCGGACAAAAATAAAATATGAAGATTAACAAAGGGCTATAACTCAAAAACAAAAAGTGCAGAGTACCAGTTTTTGTGCACTGCACTTCTTCTGAATAAGATCTTTCATCCTATGAAGTTTCAAGTCCATAGCTTTAATAGGTTAGGAGAAATGGCCAGGACAAAAATAAAGTATGAAATGAACAAAGGACAATAACTCAAAAATTAAGAAGTGCAGAGTACCAGTTCTTATGCACTGCACTTTGGGTCATTATAAGAAGCATACATACCAAGTTTGAAGTCAATCCAACTTATAATGACTGACTTATGCTCCGGACAAGCTTAAGGGGACGCCGACGCCGACACCGCCGACAAAAGTAACCCCTATATGTCGCCTTTTTCAAGGCGACACAAAAAGTATCTTAATAGCGTATTATTAAACCAGTTGAGTCAGATGAGATTAATAGTGAATATCAGTAATGGTAAAGCTACATAATATTTAAAGCGACATTATTCCCATGCAAGTGTAAATGGTAATTGTTTAGGTAAAAACCAAACTAATCTTACTACTTGTATTTAATTTGATATTGAACTTCCCATGAAAAATCAATAACCTTACATCACTCCCGACCTCACACAGGCCTTGTGGGAAATTCTATAAATACCTATGGCATGTATAGGTTTTAATTGATAAAAGAGTGGGGCGACCTTTTTATATTTTATCCTAAACCTTTTTTTTCATTTTTTTTTGTAAAATTATTAAAATATTAACAGAAATAAGTGACCTGCCAAAGGACATGTCTCTGGTTGTTTTAACTTATCACCAGGGACTGATATAGGGCCCCATTCCCATAAAAAATAGTCGTCTTTTTTTTCAAATTTTAACCTAACAATCCCAAAAGCAGCCTAAATAATAAAACAGATTCAAATTCTTTGATGTTTTTAAACCGTTTGAACTGTTTTGACATGTTTCTTAAAAGAATTGTCAGGTTATATGACCATGAGAGTCATCTATGATGTAGACTGAATAAAACTCAGTCCAATCAATAATAAATATCATCAAATATCTTGTCTAAGGCAGTTTTTATTAAAATAGCAAGCTATGGTTTCAACTTCTTTTAAAACGCACACTTTTTTATCTTAATGTTACTTTAGGTAAAATTGAAAAGAAGGAAATAAGACTATATTACCATGGTGACATCTTCATGCCAGACATCTGCATCTTTTATGAGAACAAATTCTAAACTCAGTAACTCCTGAAATTGAAGAAGATAATTTGACTTAGGTCTCACTATATATATATGTTAACATACATAACAAAATAGGTATCATATCCTCAAGGTTCCTTTACTTTACTTCAAGTTAAGCAATCATACAAGAAAACTATCCTAAAAATTTAATCTCTGAATGTGTTTACTGTTATAAGGTGTAAATGAAGTTTCAAATCAAATCTTTACAATTCAATATGCTAGCCATGCGACCGGTGAAGACCAGGATTATCCAACACATGAATGCCATCTGATTATTGTCTGCACTGATCACTATTCAGCAAGTACTTGTTTTTTAATTTTCCTTAAAAATAATGAATGGCTTTGTCCAGATTTAAACATGGACGAGTCCATTAAAGATATCTAAGGGGTAAGCAGGTTGAAAGATAAATCACAGCAAGCTATATACCTGATATATATTCAGTAATCCTTCAGTTACAACTTTCATCGGGAAATATTCCTTCAGTTTATTTTGATCAACAGTGTATTTCTTCTCCTCAACTACAGTCATATAGTAACGGTAATCCCACATGTTTATCTGGTTGTCAAACTCATAACCATACTGATCACACTATAAAAAAAACAAAACATGTTTATCTGGTTGTCAAACTCATAACTGTAAACAAAACAAAACATGTTTATCTGGTTGTCAACCTCAATAACCATACTGATCGCACTGTAAAAAAAAAAAAAACATGTTTATCTGGTTGTCAAACTCATAACTGTAAACAAAACAAAACATGTTAATCTGGTTGTCAACCTCAATAACCATACTGATCACACTGTAAACAAAACAAAACATGTTGATCTGGTTGTCAACCTCAATAACCATACTGATTGCACTGTAAACAAAACAAAGCATGTTTATCTGGTTGTCAAACTCATAACTGTAAACAAAACAAAACATGTTGATCTGGTTGTCAAACTCATAACCATATTGATTGTACTGTAAACAAAACAAAACATGTTGATCTGGTTGTCAAACTCATAACTGTAAACAAAACAAAACATGTTGATCTGGTTGTCAAACTCATAACCATATTGATTGTACTGTAAATAAAACAAAACATGTTGATCTGGTTGTCAAACTCATAACTGTAAACAAAACAAAACATGTTGATCTGGTTGTCAAACTCATAACCATACTGATCACACTGTGAACAAAACAAAACATGCAAGAATTCTAGAGTGCAATCAACAATTATAATTTATCTATATGTATGGGACCAGTATATAGTCATTTCAGTCTGCACATTTTATGCAATCTGACAATAGGCTTAAGTTATTTACCCTATAAACTGAAGAAGAAAATAACAGCAGAACATATTTCCATACATTATTTTATTTCATGAATCTTTTTTTATCCGGCTCTGTGCTGAAAACTTAAAAAAATTTGGTATAAGCAATACTGAATAACTCATAATTTAACAGAACTGACTTCAAAGCAGGCCAAGTCAATTTCACAAATCCTTGAAGAATTAAAACACATAACAATTTTACAATGAACATTTCAAAATATTCAAACATGACCAGTTAAATAAATTTTTCACTTACATCTTCTTTTTTGTATTGTAAGAATAGTTCCATATCTTTGTCTTTCAAAGGCTTCAACTTCTGACCTAAATCTTTCAAGAAGGAGCCAACTTTCTCTGCTGTTTTTGCCATTCTCATGTCCAGTACAAAAGCAGCATGGGTTGGAAAATCTAGTATCTGTGCTTTCTGGAAGGCGAAAGAATTAAGATATAACAAACACTGTTCAACTTTCCCAGCTTTTTGGACTTAACAATAATTCATGTAAATGTTGTGCATGTATTTATAAACAATTTATGCTGTAAACTTATATGAAACTCAAAATGTGTCCACAGGCTATGGATGTCCCCACCCTCTTCTGTTCAGTCACTCTACAGGCAGACAGTGGGGCAAACTGATAAAGGTAATCTAAATTCCCATTCTTACATGTATAAGAGAGAGCATAAAAGATGGATATGTCAGAGCTACAAAGTGTTGTTTTTTTTTCTTGTTTTTTTTTTTTTGGTTAGCTTTTATGTTGCACCAACACAGAATAGGTCATATGGTGACATTCAAGCTTTACTGGTGGAGGAAGACCTCAGGTGCCCTTTTTTGCATTATTTCCGGCACAAACGGGCACCTGAGAAGAGCCACTGACATTCTGTAAGCTAGCAGGATAGCTTCCTAACATAAACACTTAGCCATTGACAACTCTTGTAATTATTTTGTTTGTTTGTTTGTTTCATTTTACGCCTTTTTCCAACAGTATTTCAGTCATATAGGCGGGTATTTTCCTAACCATCGTTCCTGGAGAGTTACACCAGTACTAGACTACCTTCCTCTGTAATTACTTTATATTGATAGTTTACGTGTATATGCAGATCGAGTGAAGTTTAAATCGAATATATGTAGAAGGTATTGTTACTTTATGTATACTGGTATTCATAAATCATCTAGTAAAACTTTATAGTGTTATAATTACCTTTAAATAAGACAGGCACACATAATTTAACATTATAACAACTATTTCATATACGTTAACTTATACATATGGAAATGAATTCTTTATTTTCTTTCCATTTAACATTTAAACAATTAAAAAGAAACTATACCTCATGTCTTAGCCTGACTAACTCTTCAAGAATCTCAGTATTTTCTTTTACACACCTGGAGAATAAACAATTACATGTTACTCCTTTAATTTCATCAAATCTATTTTGATAAAGATCCATATGAAACTTCCAAATATTGATGGTTAAAGCGACTCTACTGAGGTATTTTGACATGACGGTACTGGAAATAATTTTTCAAAATTTATGTTCCATTTAATAAAGGTCTGGAGTAATTACTTGTATGCAAAATCTCAGATCATTAGCTCACTCCGGTTTTCCAAAATAATCATTCTGATTGTGGAAAAAGACCAAAAATTAAATCGGGCTAAGAATAGCGCAAAAATACAATTATCAAATTATTTCTGAGTATATTTCTTAATTATCTTTTGCCTATCATTCTGTTTAAGTGCCCAAGGTGGTGTATGTAAGAAAACAAGCAAATTCGTTGAATTTATATCCCCCGCCGAGTACTGGTTATTATTAACACAACAACTGAAGACATAAGGCTTTATTTATATATTAATCATGGCATAAACTGTAAAATTCTTTGAACTTGAAGCCTTGTACCTTCAAACAAGAAGAGTTTTTAAGTTTTCACTATATACATATAAGGAAAATCTATGACCCCCTGGAGTGGGGCCAATTTTGACCCCAGGGCTAAAATTTGAACAATTTTGGCAGAGGACCTATATGTTATATCATATACCAAATATCAAAGCTCTAGGCCTTGTACTGTCAGACAAGATTTTTTATTTTTGCATTTTTGAAACTCCTTTTCTGGCCCCGTGTGACTGATGATTGTGATTGAAAATTACAAAATTTTACTAAGTCAAGGGCAATAACTCTAAAAATACTAAAAATATCCAGACGAAAATACCCAGGTGCACAACTACACATACTGATCAACATTCCTGTAAAGTTTCATGACTCTAGGTCAAATACTTTTTGAGTTACATGCGACACAAGTTGTAAATTACAAAATTTTACTAAGTCAAGGGCAATAACTCTAAAAATACTAAAAATATCCAGACGAAAATACCCAGGTGCACAACTTCACATGCTGATCAACATTCCCATAAAGTTTCGTTGAATTCCAGCCATTAGTTGCAGAGAACTACTCCGGAAACGAAATTCGGACAAAATTTTACTGAGTCAAGGGCAATAACTCTAAAAATACTAAAAATATCCTGACGAAAATACCGAGGTGCACAACTACACATACTGATCAACATTCCTGTAAAGTTTCATGACTCTAGGTCAAATACTTTTTGAGTTACTTGCGACACAAGTTGAAAATTACAAAATTTTACTAAGTCCAGGGCAATAACTCTAAAAATACTAAAAATATCCAGACGAAAATACCCAGGTGCACAAATACACATACTGATCAACATTCCTGTAAAGTTTCATGACTCTAGGTCAAATACTTTTTGAGTTACATGTGACACAAGTTGAAAATTACAAAATTTTACTAAGTCAAGGGCAATAACTCTAAAAATACTAAAAATATCCAGACGAAAATACCCAGGTGCACAACTTCACATGCTGATCAACATTCCCATAAAGTTTCGTTGAATTCCAGCCATTAGTTGCAGAGAACTACTCCGGAAACGAAATTCGGACAAAATTTTACTGAGTCAAGGGCAATAACTCTAAAAATACTAAAAATATCCTGACGAAAATACCCAGGTGCACAACTTCACATGCTGATCAACATTCCCATAAAGTTTCGTTGAATTCCAGCCATTAGTTGCAGAGAACTACTCCGGAAACGAAATTCGGACGGACGGACGGATGGACGGACGGACAGACGGACGGACAAAAGGACGGACGGACAACGCCAAAACTATATCCCCCTCCCGATTCCATCGGCGGGGGATAATAAGATCTTATGTTTATAGGCCTTTAAACCTCAGTAGAGTTCCTTTAAGTTCCTGAAAGAGGTTTCAACCTCAAAACCGTCAATATAAGTTATACATGCTGAATCATACACTTCATACATTAACAAGCTCATTAAAGGCCATGTACATTTTAAATCCATTTTATATGTCCAACAAAATTAACCCATAACCTGTTTAAAGCACATTATGCCTCAGAAATCCATATTTTTTTAATATTCTTTATAAAATGCGAGACATGTGTTTAATAATGTCTTAATAATGGATTTAGAGAATATTAGATGTTTAACAACTAAAGGAAGTTGCGCTGAATGTAAAGTAGTTTGTCGTAAAGGTAGCAAAATGTCAACTGAGTAGTATTTTTACTTTCATACAAAATACTCATTCACTATGATAATACAGATTGCAAAGAGAACAAAAGAAGTAACAGACAGTTCATCTATGTGGCAAATGAGTTTAGTTTTTTTTTTGAAAACTGTAAAAAGATAACAAAAATAAAATGTTTTTGAGAAAAACTATAGCATTTCTGAGGCATAATTAGCCTTTGTCCATTCAATAATGGTTCTTTGATATAACCCACCCCTTGCAATGGGTTAAATAAGCATACAATTTGGCCATTAAACCTCTTATATGTGAAACAGGTAAATATTTCCAAGGACTGAAACTTGTTTATGTAAATCTATAGCTTAAAGGCTCTCTAAGTTACATATACATTATGTAAAGCAAGTTATACCTGGAATTAAAAGCAGTTTCAAGTTTTCTCCTTGTTTCAGGATTGCGAGCTTTCTTCATACATGGGAAGTAGTGTGGATATTTCAGGGACACTTTACACTTGCCATCTTCAGTCTGAAAAAAAAAAATTGAAAGAATGTAAATTTACATAAACTCTTTGAAAGTCACTAGCAATAGTTACTTCCCCTGGTTCACTAATACAATATAGAGTAAGGACAGAAAGTGCTACATCTCAATCTTACAAGTCCCTATACAACTGGCTGCTAAATTGTGTGGTTATTTTTATATTTTACCCTTACCGTCCTAAATATCTTCAACGAATTAGCCATTCTTTCAATCAGGACCAAACCATTCAACATTTTTAAAGCAAAATAGAAATAAAAAATGCACTGACTGAATAGCAAACAGTGCAGACTATTATCAGACATCATGCACACTTAAGTAAAAACAGATGCCACTAGAATGCTAAAGGTTAAAATCCCTTAAATAATCACCAAAGGATAGTTCCACATGTAAAATCAGAAAGTTTATTACATACCTTAAAAGTTTGCAGGGCATGGGTTGTTATTACGAAATACCCTTACTAGACCCAACAAAAAGATTTGCAATTATTATTCCTCTGTTTCATGTTAAGGTTTCTTTATTGTCAAACCTCAAATGATGAAAGAACAGAAACATGACTTTTTCATATGAAAAAGTATGCTTAAAACAACACAACGGGTAAGTTTAGTCTTTGACAATATATATTATTAAGTACATACCTTATCAAGTGCTTTGATGAAGTCCTCTGGTAGTCCAACTAGTAAAAGAAGAAAAATTAAAACTTTTATTTTAAATCATGTCTAGCATTTCTATTTTCTAAATGAGTGATAAATACACCTTTCATATGTGAAACTTATTTTAAAAAACACAAGTGTCTTCAGTTATTTAGGGTTGTTAAACTACCAACTATGAAAAGGTTTTGATCAATGGCCAAAACTTATCACCATAAAGACCTGTCTCAAGTTTCTAACGAATATCCTCAGCAGTTAACAAGAAATATAGATGCAAACAGAAACTGTAACTGGTATACAAACAATGCTGGCAGAAGCAATATACCATAGTTCCATTATTCTTTGAAAAGTCAAATAGAACATAGCCTACATGTTTAATCCAGATATAAAACTTTTTCTCTTTACCCAACTCTTCCTCTGTGAACTCTAGAATTGTATTTTCTTCTCCCAGATTTTTACTGAAGTCAATCGACAGATCACTCATTCTCTTCTTAATTGCCTTGATTCTATCTTGTTTATCCGTAGGTAAATGTAAACCTGTAAGTAAATATTTCATCCAAAAACTGCTGAATTTATGGAATGATTTGTCCCAATTTTGAATTTGGAACAGTTCATTCAAAATATGAGGGATTTCTGTATTTAATAAGAGCTGTTGGTAGAAAAGCATGCTACACTATAGTAAAACAACTGCCTGAATGTCTTAGTCCAAAAAGGGCAATAATTTTCTCAAAATTGATGTTAGAGTTATGTACACAGCTGTGTGACCTCCAATTATGCTCTGAAATAAACATGTGAAGTTTCAATTCATTCATTTTAGTAGTTTTGGAGATACCAACTTAGTTTAAACACAGTTTAAACATATTTATTTAAGCTTGATTGCAAAACGAGTTCTGACATCTGATATTAATCACTTTCGAGTCCGCTTCCTGGAAACAACCAGTTCTGGTGTCATATGAAGAAACATGGCCCTGACCTGATTAGGGCTCAAACCCATGATTCCTGTGTTGAGAGGCAGACACCTTAACTACTAGGCCACCGCTCCCCATTGGAGACACCAAGCTGCATGTAAAAACTTAAGTTACTTAACCAAAGTTTGTTGCCAACACCTAGGCGAGTACAATGGCTCTCCCTACTTTCTGAATAATAAAGATAAAAACTAAAATTTAACTAGTGACAGTACAGAGCCTAGTCAAAACTGTGTTGATGTACAGACTGGCCTGGCTCTATATTGGATGCCAAGGATAGTCACTTTCAGATCCAAAAGGTTAAATATGAAATCAAACCAAAAGGTAAATAAATCTAAGTGTCCTATAAAATACAGGAACTTAATTTTTGATAGACTTTCTCTACAATTTCAAGTTCAACAAAAACTTTGGTAAATCAAGTGTTTTTTTATAAGATTTCTTTTTTTATAATTAAGCCAATATTCAAACATATTACATATTTCAAACAACAGAAATAGATATTAAAAAGTAATAACACTTTGAACATGTTGAATGTTGCAGCTATAAATCAAGACAAAACAATTTTCACTTTCTGTGATTTTTTTCACACTTATATTTCCAAGCATCCTATGCTTTGCATAACAAATACGGTAAATTTAGTATTGTAACTGTTAAAAATTGTGCAAAATGTCGAAACAAAACCTACCGTATTGTTTCCATTTATCGCCCCCAGGGGCGTTGCAAAAACGGAAACGGGGGCGTTAATTAGAAGCACATTTGCATAAAATGAAAATTAATTTTATGTTTAAAAATATCTAACAATCTCCCAACTATTTTCGTCCTATTTATAAACCCCTTGTTCACGTATGATAAATAAGCAGCACAAAATTATTGTAGAAAATACGGTAGTCCGCTGACCGAGATAAAGTTTGTCAAGTATTGATTTTTCCTGCTCTGGCGGGAAATTATGACGTAACACACATCAGTTTACCTGTGTGTAAAAAAACTTGATTTAATGATTTAATCAATACACCACAATGGGAGGTTGCACTTCTAAGAAAACGTACATGAATGCATTCAAACTGGAAGTTGAATGTTACTTGGAAGTTACAACAGTTAGTTTTTTTCTGTTTATTTTTTTAAATACACTTCGGATATTAAAATTTTCAAGTCAGGTAAGATTTTTTTTTTTCATTTTTCACCCAGGGGGCGCTAATTAGAAGCGGGGCTATAAATAGAAACAATACGGTATAAGCTAAATATTCACTTATCAGTAAAAACACACACTTGCATACATGTAATGTTCATTATGCTGATACAACTGTACCAGAAAGACAAAAGCAGGTAAAGAAATCTCGATATTGACAAGTTTCAAGATTTAACACTGCATTTTCAATATTTTTTCAATTCAGAAAATTCATGTGTTAAAACTGTCTCACATTTAGTTTGATACATACCATTTCTCTTTCCCAATTTGATTTGTCTTTCAACATAGCGTTTCACCTCAGCTGATAGTCCATCTGTACCTTTCTTCTCAAATGCAACCATTGCATCAAACACATCTTTCCTCATGCTGTTGGAAATAACAATAATTATATACGTTTGTAAAACCTCGGTCTCACTTACTCCCGGCAGAGCCCAGGACCATCCCGGTAAGTTACTGGGATGATCCGGGACGATCCGGGATGAAATTATTTTAGCGGTCACACTTACCCCGGCAGCACTACGGTAGTTCCCTACAAACCACCCAGGATGCGCTCTGGATCATCCAGGCAGAGCCCAGGTGAAGCTACGGTTCATGCCGGTGCTTCCCCGGTCGTTCCCGGATGACACCGGAAGAGCCCCGGTTGACCCAGGCAGATCCCCGGTCGATCCAGGCAGAGCTCCGGCAGAGCCCAGGACGATCTAGGCAGAGCCCCGGTGGAACCCCGGTGGATTGAAAACACCCGAAAATGATAACTTTGATACGTAATTTTTATTTAATATAATATTTATTGTTCCAGAATAGTAATTCATGATGATTTTCTGAAAAATCCTTATTCCATACTGGATAGAAGGGAAATGGGAAGGCTTTTAATCAGAACAAGTTCAATCATCAAAAATTGTCCTTATTTTTTTAAATGATCCGGGCTTTGTCGGGGCTCTACCGGGATCAACCGTAGCTCTACCTTTATCCTCCGGGGCTCTGCCTGTAGTTACCGGGGCTCTGCCGGCATATACCGGGGCTCTACCGTAGCTCTATCGTAGCTCTACCGGCTATATCATACCCCGGATCATCCCTGGTTTGTGCCGGTAGAGCTACGGTGCTTTCCCGGTATCAGCCTGGTCGTTCCCGGCAGAGCTAAGGATGATGCCGGCAAAGCTATACCTTCCCGGATCATCCCGGACCACCCCGGTGATATTAAATATTTTATTCCATCCGGGGTCGAATGCCGGATCTTCCCGGATCATCCAGGATCATCCAGGACGTTGCCAGCAGAGTTACGGATGTACCCCGGTTGTTCCCGGTCGTACCACGGTCGTTCCCGGATCACCCCGGACGTCTACCGGGGCTCTGCCGGGATGTAAGTGAGACTGTAGCTTTATACCAGTTGCATTATTAAAACATTTGCATCTACATATAATATACAGCAAACCCTTCATCAATGTTTTGAAGCAAACAAATTGACATAATACATTTGAAAATCATACATGTAGTTAAGAATATCAAATTAAAAAGGTCCAAACCATCTTCACAATTCTCAGGCTGCATGATCATTTGTTAATTGTTTTACAATAATTAAGACAAGGCTAATGGCTGCAACCATAACCTTAAAGATACTTGGTGATTTTTTTGTTTTATCATTTTAATATTTGAATAATAAAGACAATACCATGTTCAAGGCAAACAAGGCAAGATTCTAATGGTATGTAACTTTCTGTTATAGCTATTTAATCTTTCCTCTTATGTTTGCAGATATTTTTCTCTATGCCGCAGAATTTTGATGAAATTATGTGAAATCATTGTGTCATAATTTCTGCAAGCATGATGGAGAAACTACAAAAGCTATATTATAGGAACAATATTGGAACCATTTAAGAATTTTGGGTTAACAAGGGATAGCAGATGGGGTACAGTGGACAACAGACACTCCTCAGAACTGTATGTCAGAAGAATTCACTCATTTTTCAAGAGACAAGTCACAATGACATTTATGTGACAAATCAATTGTCATTTGTGGACATTTATAAATTTGTTAACCTCTAAGTATATTTTCCATAAGTTTTACATCATGTCGACTTTGTAAGGCTATAGATCAGTCCTTATAGTCTTGTGAATAAAAATATTCATCACATGACATTGTATTTAATTATATACCCATCACATTACCTCATCTCTACATCAAATTCGGATAGTTTCTTGTCAGCTGCCACACTTGAATCTCTGAGAGCTTTGTCAGCATAAACATGTTGAACAAAGTCTATGTTGTTTCTTTCAACTGCATACTCTCTATCCAAATCCAAAAGAGGCTGAAAAATAAGTTTTCCTGTAATTTTATTAATATGTTTCAGAATGACTTTAATTTTAATGTTGAAATTAAGCTATCAATTCTAAATTGATTTATTATTCATTTAAAAGTCAATGTTATTTCTTTCAAGTTTCAACTGCACATTCTTTTTCTAAATCCAAATGAGGTTATATATAAGTTTTTTTGTCATTTTTTTAATATTCAAAGAATGACTTTTATTTTCATGTTGAATTATAATTATCAATTATAAATTGTTTTATAATTCATTTCAAAGTGTTATTAAAGCAGTTGCATTAAACCTTAGATTACCTTATGTTATTTTGTCACGTAACAAAATTGGACAAGTAAATGCTGGAAAAGAGGCATATTAATCAAAATTGCATTAGAAGTATCCGAACAAATCCCTATCCGAAATCATAGTCCAATATATTAGACGTTACAGGCTTGTTATAGTTTTTGTCGGTCAAGCCTGACGTCTAATAGTTATTGCTCAAAAACGCGTAGCATCATAAAGAATTCCAAAAATGTCTATTGTCTTGCCTTTCAAGCTTTATTCAAAAGCTTATCATGTTTTCTTTCAATTTCATGCTCAATCATACACAAAAAACTTTCAAACGATGTACTTATCAATTTAAATAAAATATAAACATCAATCTATTTTTGTCTATCAGCCATACTGGTTAAGCAAGGTGCTTTACAGATTGATTCCAAATTTTTTTGAACGGAAAAAAATATATTCGAACACACTGACGGTGCATGGGCAATTATTTCGTTAAAAAATATTCCGTTAGATTGTTCTGACTCAGTGAAACGCTTGCATTTGAATTAGCCAATCAGATTTCGCGCACTTTACGGCCGCCATTTGTTTATCGGCTGTAAAAGGAATTGAAATACATGAGAGGATTTAATAATGATTTTTTCGGATGTGACAGTTTAATTATTTTGACAAAAGGTATTTATTTTTTAGTTTTGTTCATAAATAGGTCAAAAAATTATGTAAATACACGCTGTCTTTTATTGTTTTTCGTTCCGCCCGATTTTCTGGCGGAACATGCTATGGGTTTTTGAGCAATTTCGATATGACGTTGCTTTGCCCAGAAGCAGAAATATCTCAAAGCGACGTCATATTTATAGGACTATCCGAAATCACTGCATTTAATTATTGAAACAAATGTATAATACGCCATTTAATGATACCTTGACAACATTTTCATACGAAGCATCATTGGCACTGACAGCACCAACGGTGTCGTATATAGCTTTGTTCTTTGTAATGAGTTCTTCGGCAGACTTTTCGATCTTATCTGCGGTGATTTTCCAACTAAGCCGGTTACTGGATGCTGTCGTCATTCTCAAATATTTGGCCGATAAATGAAAATTTCTAGAAACGATTTGATTAAGTCTGCTAAACAAACAATTTTTAGGAGATCCGAAAAACTTAACACGACTGACAGACGAAAAAGTCTGTAAATTTCGGTGTGAAATGAGACGCCGAATGGATGTTGCCATAAGATGGTATATTTGATTAAAACAACAACAACAGCGGAAGTATGTTCTGTGTCTTAATCGAACAAACTTCATAATCTCATTCAGTTTGAAAAGAGCTATTTTCGCAAATTTTCAGATCATACCGATTTCACTTCTTTATTCAAAAAATAAACTAAACTATCTTGTTTTACTATTCATACCGATACTGTGGATTAATCAAAAGTTTTTTAGATAGGCAAGCGAGAAAAATTTAACCATCAAGTGCTACTTTCTGAAGAGCTCTGTATGCCTACATACAGTATAGCCTACAGTTTGAAACCTAACTTAACAATTTCAAGTTTTATAACCACTTCCCTAAAATAAAACATCCACATGATTTCCTTGAAAGCCATTAGACATTTAAATGAATTGTGTGTTAACATATCTATCCCGGCCCAGTTGATTAAGGAATTATTGATATACCCTACTATATATACATTTGCATTCGTCCTGATAGCAATTCCTTTCTATCAGGTGGTTTTCATTTCATTTTGGATTACATGTTAAATTAAATGTCTGTTGATCCGAATTCAATTGCTAAATCTTCTCGTATAGAATAATATCATAGGAACATAATATTAAAATTCCGTCTGCGTTCTCATGCATTGTTATAATAAATATATAGTTCTTGTTTTTGTTGTTGTTGTTTTTTTTACTATTTTTGTCTCAAATACAGTTTCATATCGTGATCAAGTTTTTTAGAAAATGAAAATAAACAAGCACATTAAACAGTATTGAAATTCAAAGAAAAAAAACGTGCGTGATGACCTTTGTTAAGGTCGTGGTCCATATTAATCAATGAATAATTATTTGTTTTTCAAAACAGAAACTGTTGGAAAGCTAATAGGCCAGCGTCTCAAGTGGTAGATACTATCTAGGACAGTAAATTACCATAAAGTCGCGTGCCTATATATACGCCTACGTAATTAACGAGTATTACAAAATTAAATATATAAGCCGCGTCACAACAAAACCAATATAGTGGGTTTGCGACCAGCATGGATCTAGACCAGCCTGCGCACCCACGCAGTCTGATCAGGATCCATGCTGTTCGCTATCAGTTTCTCTACTTGTAATAGGGTTTGTAAGCGAACAGCATGGATCCTGATCAGACTGCACGGATGCACACGCTGGTCTGGATCCATGCTGGTCGCAAACGCATTATGTTGGTTTTGTCGTGACGCGGCTCAAATATATTATACCAAGGTTATTTGTGAATAATGTACTTAGATAAAATAAGATGGACGCACTTAATATCAAAGCATTACAGCTATTAAATCATTCATTCATTTTTTTATGTTTATTTTTGTGTAAATATTTATTTTCCGTATTTGTATCCATGTTATATTAGTCACTTGAAATTTCAGTATTCTTGCAAAATAAAATAATGTTATAAATTTTCAATTTCAAGAAAATCAAAAGAAACATGCACAGATTTTTGTTGGAAACTCCGGATAAGTTTATCCCAATTTTAAGGGAAATTGCAATTATGAAATGTCATTATATACGTTCTTTATGGCACGGTACACCCATGAGAATAATCATCCTTTGTCAGTTCAATAATTTGCACAAGTTTAAAATTTAACCTATTGACTTTCAAATAGACTTGTCCAGCTTTCCATTTTTTTTATTTTTGGAACCGTCCATTATTAATTTGGGGATATCACTATAAAATTTGAAGTTGATTTCGGCTGTGTAAGGTTAATATCGCAAACAGATATACCTTAAAGAATTACATAGGGTTAAATACTGATGAGATGAGTTAGATATTCGAAATAATTTCGTTCAATATAGTTATTGTAAGCTCATGCATATTCGTTAAAATATTAGTATTCACAAAGGTAACCTGTACTACAAATATTTATATCTGCAACATACATTTTTTACGTTTTTAAAAACGGTTCAACAAAACAAAACCCATGTTAAGATGATTAAAAAAACAACAACACGTGTTTTGAGCGACCACTATGTCATAAGATGCTCGACGTCCAATTTTGTTTTGCTCGTTTAATACTCAGTCACACGAGATTTGCTTGTCATCGGAAAATGAGCCACGTGATTTTAGTAATTGCGGAATTCCTATTGCGACGCAAGCCCTTTCCATCAAACTAAAATTTACATCTTTTAGTTTATTGGAAAAAGAGTCAAGACCAATACGGGCATCTGACAAATAACAAGAAAAGTCACATGATTAGCAAACAAGAAAAAGTTATTAACAGTGCGTAGAGGCTGAGATTTTTGAGCTGAAATGAAATTATTTGAAACAAATCATGAATGTTATTAAATAAATGGTTATTGGTAATCTGCAAGGTTATCGGGATGAATACGTAGGTGGTTTTAAAAGTTGAAAATATTCAATTACACATGTAATGTTGTTAATTATCGAAAGCTCATTCGCTCTGACCGTTTTCCAAATCTTAAGGAATAATAAAGCACTTTGCATATGCAGGGGCGTAGTTAGCTATTTTTCAACTGGTAGGCCAATAGAGTGGTGATCAAAAAGAGCAAAATGCTCGTTCCAGATAATTATCAAAACAATTATTGTAAACTAGAAATTTGATTCGATGTAAGCTTAAGTGCGCATGCGTAAACCTTGTTAAATGTTAAACTAAGTCGAAGTTTCTGCATTTAACAAATGTAAATTTGTTTCTAATAACATGAACGTCAACATCTTTTTTTGTGTTCGATATCCGAGAGCCTTTTATCCGTCATCGTACGGCTTGATACGGCGCATAGAACTAACCGAGCCAATATGTTGCCGCTAAATACAGACAGTGCTTTTTGAATCCCAGGATATGTGGCTTTAGGTGTGCTGTCAAGTAGAGACAGATAAGTTGATGACCTTGGACTGCAGTCACCTTGACTCTTGACACGGAGTATACAATTGAAAACAAACCGCCAATTTCCGTGCTTATTAAGTACACTGGATACCCGGAAAGCATTGTTTTGTTTGTGTTAAAGAGACCTATTGATATTTGTATATTAAAGTGATCGATAAGCTTAAGACATGTGGAATAAGGTGGAAACAAGTTATTCCGTATGATTCAATTTTTAAATAACTATGTATACATACATTTGTATATATCAAAAGCACCAAGAAGCAAAGGTACATGAAAAAAATGACATGCTGCAAAGTTATTTTCATTGGCTACACGAGAAGCTCGTGCACTGTTTAGTGCAATTCTCAAAAATATTTATTACCACCCAATAATAAATTCAACAAAAACCATCTTTACTTTCAAACCTTGTACAAGTACGTTTTGTTAGTAAACAGCTAGTTGGTCTGGAAATTTTACACACGCAGTGCAATTGTTTATAGAAATGTACGTCATTGCAACATTTCAAATACATGTACTCACAACTCCCTACTAGCAATAATAATAGAAAATGAAAGTAAAATATCACTTAAGAAAAACCAACCATTAACCCGGATACTGAGATGTACGAAAAAATCACTTTGAATGAACAAGTGTAAAACTCACTCTAAAAGTACAGTTGAAATTATGTGTGACAAGGACACACACATAGCGTCTGTACGCCATTTCCTAGAGGGTTTTCTTTTGAAACTACATGTATTCACAACCCATTAAAACAGTCAGAAAGATGATAAATTGTTGAAAGTAAATTTCATACTCGGCACGTATGGTGTAAGACAAAGTTGGAAACGACACATTGACTTAAAGGATAAAATCACCAATTCACTCTTTATATATAATCAACTCAGTTAAGTTATCATAAATTTCACAACGTACCTTCAGAAGGAAAAATATGAAAATGCATAAATGCATCAACTACCATTAAGAAAAATGCAAGGCTAGTTTGTGTATACTCAACACTTTAAAGAGCAAAAGTTTAGATTGTGTTGACACACAGAATCTATTGATGTAAACTTATGTAGTAGAGTCATAAAGTCACTTTTGTCCAAACCTGGCATGTTAATAAGGAAAACAATAATGTTTTAGATCTGTACACAATTGTATATATGACCTGCAGAAGCTAAGAGATGCTCATTAAGTCACCTCAGGTAGCGTTAAACGGTGACTGCAATTCTGATATCTCAACCTGTTTAGGGAACCCTTCAACCATAATGGGTTATATATTTATTGCCGGGTTTATATTCTCAACGCGAACGAATCATTCTATTGGCCAGAACATTAACCGCAGAAATATAGTCAGTAAGTGTCTTGGTCTACACAAAATATGGTCATTTTCATATAAAAAATCAAAGCAGGTGTATCTACACAATCTACATCTTTGCTTTTCAGTGGTAATATATGTCTACACTAACTAAACTTTTTCTCTTTTAAGTTGTAATTTTATAAATGCGTCTTCACAAACTAAACTTTTCTGATCTTCATGACAGTTGCATGCGTCTAGTAAACTACACTTTTGCTATTCTTAGTAATAGTTTTATACGCTCATGGAGCTAAATATGTTTATACAGTTGACTCTCAATAAGTCAAAATCGCTTAACTCAAAATTCCGCGTAAGTCGAAGAATTTTCTTTTCGACTAAACAGGAATCGCGGTAAGTCAAAATTTGACCTAAGCGGAGTTAAAATACAAAGATAAAGAAGGAAATTTGACGGGACTTAAGAAATTCTTCGACTTACGCGGAATTTTGAGTAAAGCGATTTTGACTTATTGAGAGTCAACTTTGATACGCTTACTCATTTTCTTACTTGTGTCCCATGTGTCAACACAAAACTTTACATTTGCTTTCTCAGTCTTTAAGCTGCCAGAAAAATTCCAAGTAAATCATTTTTACGAAAAATGTACTAAGATATACTAAAGGGACTCCTATGCGTAGTTTATAGTTTACCGAATTGTGAAGAGGGCCGAAGAATTGATAAAGTCCAATGATTTGGCGGGAAAGTAGAATGCACGCTCGTCAGTCCGATTAATTATCAGATTAATTATCAGATATTGCTTAGTATACATACATGTATGTGATTAATAGTTTAGCAAAAATAAAGTGTGAAAGAAGTGTTAATATATATGACTGACCCCCTGCCCTTTCTTCTTAAGTTCTCACATCCATTCTTCAGAAAGAAAATATACATGTTAAAAAAATTAGAGGATGTTAAAAAAACTAATTAGTAAAGGATCATGGATAAAAAAATACATAAAAATCAACACTTTTACAAAATAAAGGAATTAATAGTAAAAACATCAACTAAAAACGGAACTGACGAAAAAAACGTCAAAAATGGATGAGTAACACACTGACATCTTCCCACGAGTGTTAAACACTTAATATGCCCTCATTTCATCAGTGATCCTTTTGCGTATTTAATAAATTTAAGCCTTTACAATCTTCCATATAATTATATTTCTAAAGGTTTTCTCATCATGTAATAAGTTGGAAAGTTTTATTCATCACGCGCATTTTTGTCCAGTCTTCATCATATGATCCTTTTAATATGTTTCTATTTTTATTTCTTCTACTTTCAGTCTCGAGTTAGAATTATATATTAGTATATATATTATATTCATATCGTAAATGACAAAATTTAATTACAAAGTCAATAACAGTGAACATCTTTTAATGAATGTATTTATTTTTTTAAAAATAGGTATAGTCTAAATATTCGTATATTTTTACAGTGTTATATTTGGTAATTCAGGAAGTGACTTATCCTGTATTGAGGTTGTTTGACTTCACAACAATTCGTAAGTATATATCAATATATTATATACTATTAGAATTCTATGATTCTTTACTTTCTTTCGTGTTCCTAAGATTTAATAACAATAATAATAATAATAATAATAATAATAATAATAATAATAGTAGTAGAAGTAATAATAATAATAATAATAATAATAATAATAATAATAATAATAATAATAATAATAATAATAATAAAAATAATGAAATTGAGATAATCTTAAGTAGTCGGTATTATGAATTGACGAGCACACTTTATGCCAAAGAGCCCCTTGGTGATAAAACACATTTACGTTTTTCATTTAGCAGCCCAGATGTCGTGGATTCGAGCTTGAGATGGATCCGGCTCACAGGGAAGTTTATTTTAGAAAGACTCAATAAAAATTCAATCTCAGATCAGATTTTTATTTTATTTTGTGTTGGTCTTTCACCTTCTGCGGTTTTAACGTTATTAAAGGTATTATAACATATGTGTTATTATTTTGTCACAATAAGATTACAATTTTATAAATTTCATTGATGCAATCATCACTTAAGGTCAAATATGTAAAATATCAACCAACTGTGTCTTTTCTTGAGTTCTTTAGAATGATACAGGCGTAGGAAGTGAAAATACTGTCGTTGTAGGCAGTTATGTATTTTCGAGATTGTCCATGATGACGGAAAATGCTCTTTAACTTGCTAACATACGGACAGAAAATCAAGCTCATTTTATTCGTATTGTACCTTTGTTAATAATGGGGGCTTTAAACTATCATATGTTAAAACATCCCTAATGACAGAAACAATGTTAATAGGAAAATGTCGAAAAAGTTTTTTATTGACACGGAGTTACGGTACGATCAAATTTTCCTATATGTTAGGTCTCTCAGTGTTGAGTTCATAGACGTTGGGTCATTCGTTATATTTTCAGGTAATATGAAATGGCATTTAATTGATGGAGTCCGTGTGATTTGAAATTAAGTTTACTGTGTGTCCTTAAAAAGTGTTGTATTATCGCATTGGTTACTTTTCCATCTTGAGAAAATATAACAAATGAAATTTTAAAGGCATAAGCTACAGTTACGTAGGCATAAAAGCAGATTGAAAACGGTATCAAAAAAGTTGAATTTGGACTTTGAATGAATAATTGAGCCGCGTCACGACAAAACCAACATAATGGGTTTGCGACCAGCATGGATCCAGACCAGCCTGCGCATCCGCGAAGTCTGATCAGGATCCATGCTGTTCGCTTACAAACTCTATAACAAGTAGAGAAACTGATAGCGAACAGCATTGATCCTGATCAGACTGCGCGGATGCGCAGGCTGGTCTGGATCCATGCTGGTCGCAAACCCATTATGTTGGTTTTGTCGTGACGCGGCTCAATTGTGTAAATATGACCACTGTTATCAACACTGAACCTTTTACACTTCTGGAACCGAAATAATTTTACCAGTATATCACCCATGCAGACTCAACCGGCTCTGTACTTATGGCTAACTTATGAATTTTCTATCTTGATATGCCAGATTTATAGACAGTTCTGAAAAATGGGAGCTTTGAAAAGTGAATTTTAAAAATTCAGCGGGGAAGGTGAGACTTGCAAATATATACAGTCTTACCAGTTTCAGAATTGTCGGCTGCTCAAGTTTAATCTATTTTTTCTTGCAGCCTATCACATTACCTTTTTATTACAAGTAGAATAAGTCTAATATAGAAATGGAATGTGTACTTTGGCAAAAATGCCCCCCAGGTCAAGCGTTCATATTTGAAAACAAAGTGTGAAATATACCTTCAATATTTAATGCAATATAAAACGTTTCTGAAACGTCCATGTTTTGCAAAATTAAAATAATTGTGTCATACACAGAGAATTAAAAGTAGAAAAAACTTTAAACTCAAAATTTCCCAATAAATCAAATATAATATTTTTAACATTTCAAAACGGACTTAAAAGGACTTAAACTGATACCCCGCTTGGTTTGCATAACTATTGTCGTACATAAACCACTTCAAGACAAACTTGTTAAAAAGGGGCCTCCGTGGCCGAGTGGTTAAAGTCGTTGACTTGAGATCACAGGTCCCTCACCACTGTAGGTTCGATCCTCACTCGGGTCGAAATCTTTCATGTGAGGAAGCCATCCAGCTGGCTTACGGAAGGTCGGTGGTTCTACCCAAGTGCCCGCTCGTGCCTGAAATAATGCCCGAAGGGGCACCTGGGGTCTTCCTCCACCAATAAAGCTGGAAAAAAATCGACGAAAAATCTCGGCGGGACGCTCTAGGATGACCCGACTTGAGTGTACGGTCGCCCATATGGGTTTCCGGCGGCGACCTTAAATAAACGCCTCAAAAAAAAAAAAAAAAAAAAACTTGTTAAAATAGCCACCTTATCGATAGCAATAAGGCGTTGGCATTATTTTAAAGTCTGCCCTTTATCATAAGGGCGGACAACTCTTTGTCCCTTCTCGTAAGAGGAGGGGAATCCTGTGATGCGTGTATGTGGTCGCACGGTCACTTTCTTTATATGTTCTCGATGCATGTATGTGGTCGCATGGTCGAAAATTACAAAAATATAAACGAATGCAATGGCGTTTAGGTATGGAACCGTCTTGTGCAAAATCTGTTCTAAATGTTCTAAAAAAAAGTTGAAATCGTAATAAGGATTTTAAAAGCCTCATTGCCACTTTTTTCACTTCTTTTCTTTTTTTTTGGAGTTTTTTATACCAAGAAAAAATAAGAATTTTTTATTCATTAAGTCCTTAATAGTTTCTAAACATTGAAAAAGTCCTTAACTTAGACTTTAAAAACCACCTAACAGAAGTAACAAAGTCCTAATTAGGTTTTTATAACTTTTTATTACGATTTCAACAGTTTTTAAGAACATTAAGATTTTGCACCGGACGGTCTCATACCAAAACTCCTTTAAAAACGTTGTCAATAATTGAGCTGCGTCACGACAAAACCAACATAATGGGTTTGCGACCAGCCTACGCAGACTGATCAGGATCCATGCTGTTCGCTATCAGTTTCTCTAATTGTAATAGGGTTTGTAAGCGAACAGCATGGATCCTGATGCGCAGGCTGGTCTGGATCCATGCTGGTCGCAAACCCATTATGTTGGTTTTGTCGTGACGCGGCTCATATATTAGAGATTTTCGACCATTTGCATACACAGGATAGTGACAGTGTGGGCAGATACACGCATCACAGGATTCCCCCTTCTCTTACCAGAAATGAACAAAGAGTTGTCCTCCCCTTTTTTACAGGGCAGATTTTAAAATGTTCATCTCAAGCTGATGTCGTAGCTCGAATCCACGACATCTGGGCTGCTGAATAAAAAATGTATACAAATGTGTTTAAACACCAATGGGCTTTTTGGCATAAATTGTGATCGTCAATTTGTAACACTTCGGGATCGTTGATGCCAGCACTATTAAGTGTTGAGAGTTGAGAACCGCTCAAGCCGGTGCTAGGGGGCATGGGGGATGTTGCACGTATTCATTATCCCGCATGTACAGACTCAATCAAACCGAGTCTGCAATTCTCTTGTAATTGTTGTGATTAATGCTTTTGAGGGATCGCTTTGTTTCCAGATTGTAATACCGACTAATTTCATCCAATTACTTTGTACCTTCCTATCTGATAGATAGCAAGTACATAACGTTTATATTGACATAATACGAGTTCTTTAACACGAATTTAGATATTGCGACATTTAATGGTAGTGTTAGACATGTAACGATAAGGGAAAATGGTGCGACATTTAATGTCATCATTGCGACATTTAACGGCATAATATTTGAGACATTTAGCGGCGTTTGCGACATTTAGCGACAATAGTGCAATTTGGCGGCAAGTGCGACATTTAGCGTCGTTGCGACATATAACGGCGCCACACATGCGTTCCTATGGATATATACAGACATTTCCTTAAACCACGTGATTTATTTATCGTTCATGCAAAGTACATTATAAAATTAAAAGGAATTATGGCAAAATAAAAGCTTATTTTGACTTTCACCTTTTAACTTACTATATAACCTTGGATGGGCATCACGTCACTTTAATACATTTCTTTTCCAAAAAAAAGTTAATTATTATTGATAGATGTTGGAAAATGTCCTCATATTGAACTTAATGATGAGTTTTCAATAATTTTCATACTTAGGAGGATGTCAATCTAATATCGATCTTGTATGACCTGAAGCAGATCCTATTTAGTTTTGTTGTACTCATGGTACTGTTAATTAAATCACTAGATAGTTTCACAGTTGAACAGCATGTGTATTGCACTATAAAAATGTAATACGTTTGAAATTTTGTCTTGGTTGTAGATTTGTTCTATCTGTTATTATTTCTTTGGCTCGAATTTAATTATGTATTTTCATGTGACAAAAACATAAGCCAATGTGATATGATGTCCCTATAGAGCTCCACATTTATCTTATATTACTAGATTACTAATACATAATTAGTTTAGATATTTGAATTTAACACAATCCGCAAGTTCAATTACATTTACATATATATAGTTAGTCAATCTGAACGATATCCAACGATGAAATATAGCTGGTGTTACTTTTTACTCCCGCGTATGCAAATTTTCAAAATTCACGAATACTTTGCGAGAAATTATTACGTAACATAAAAAATGACACCAATTCGATGTCATAGTGTTTTAAAAATAAAACAATTATGAATTGCATCCATTTAATTTGCGTTTTTGTTTCTACAGTCAAGATCATAAATATTTCACTGTATCAATATGAGCTTGTACAAAAAAAAGAAAAGAAAATTAAACCTCTAGTACAACTGCTTGTAAATTTTAGGCTTTTTACCGCTTTATGATTACATAAATAGAGGGTATTGAATGAGAGTAAGTTCAATACTGAATTTAATAAAAATGCGAGCATAATATTTTATTCAACGAGTTCAATAAATTTAATAATGAACTTACACGACTGCGAATTTAATATTCTATTTATCACAAACCAAAAACAAAGACCGTTTGAAGTGATAAAGAAACATTTTACATTGCAGCGCCTATAGTATAACACTAACATTTAGCGCGTCCGCTATATTTATGTAACTGAAATGATGTCAGGTCATATATGCACGACCGTGCAATACCATTTTTACGGGGTCGCAAAATCTGTACGGGTATGTGATAAATGACTTAATCATTGAATATAAATTCACATTAACATTTTTTCAGACATAATTTTAATATGCTTAAAGCCAATTGTGACCCGCGCTGTAGAAAGAAATGCTGAATTTAGCAAACCGGAAGTGATACTTGTCTTTAATTTGATTGGTCGATGGGGCAGTGACCGCATAATTAAAAGCTAATAATGCGTTATAATTCAGCGTCATCAAGTACTTGATACACACTTATAGATATTGATTTCTAGTATTTATATTGTAATTCTAAAACCGACACTAAATAGTTTTGAAAAGATATACCGATACGTTTTTTTCCAGGATATATGCGGTATCTAGATATTGACATACATGTACAGCTGATGCCTATCAATGTTTATTTGGTTACTCCAGGATCCATGCTGTATCTAGATATTGACCTACAGCTGATACAGATCCATATTCATACGGTTTCTACAGGATTTATGCTGTATCTAGATATTGACATGCAGCTGGAAATATCAAACAAACAAACAAACAAACAAAAAAGGTTAAGTTGTATGAAGGTCTTGTCTTCAACAGACTCCGTTTCATTAAAGCAATCATGGCGGGGCTGTCATTGAAATATGCAATCGAAATAAAGCAATTGTCAAGCAAACTTAAAATGTTTTCATGTTCCCCGGCTGTTAATTTTCTTAAGAATTTGTAAATACTTTTGATCTTTGTTTATATTTCATATGCTTAAAAAGGTAACAAGTCATATACATTTCTCATAAATAATTGTAGCATTCCAAATCCTAAGTCTCTAAGAGTATCACAATTATGCACTAAATGTATATTAGACTGAATAAACAATTTTGTTCAAAAGTTCGCAATAGAGCCTCTCGCAGAAATGGAAATTGTATCACTATTTCATGTTTTTTATAATTCAAAATAAAGGTACAAGGACAAGCACAGAAGTCAAACATTTATCATACAATAATAATGATCATTTGTTTTTTCCTGGGTGATATTTTTGACCGGCTTGAGTCATACCGTGGGGCATGTGCCCCGTGTAAAATAGACATTCCAGCCATTTAAAATATATGTAAGTGTAGTTGATTATAACGATTATAACAAAGTCATCGATGCACTTAATCATCGTGAAGCACAGAGCGCGCTTGATTCTTTTTACCGGGCTCTGGCACCAACCGTTCCTCGGGATTCTGCAGATGTTTTAACACGGAAAAAAGTGCGTTTATCCTATATTACTATTATTTTCATTAACGCATACTTTGAAATAAATCTTTTTGGACCATAATAACACTTCTTTCCATATGAATTTGGTAGAAATCGTGCATTTTGTGAATTCGGTAAATTCAACTTTTATTTTTTATTGTTAGTAATTTTATTGTCTATGTAACTGATAAAAAATGCAAATAAAAGTCCGAGTTTATTTCAAAATCATAATGCTACTGATGATGCTAATTTTCTTGAAAATTGGTTTATTATTTCCAGAAATATGAACATTTATGTAGGTGTAAAATTGGCAAAGAAGATATCCAAAATGGCCGTCAAAATGGCTGCCAAAATTTAAATAAAAACCCCGTGTATTAAAAACTATTATTTTGCATGTATTTAACGTTTATTAACAATTTTATATTGTTTACTTGCCTCAGTCAACTCGTTATTTAACACCAAAGTTGTTGAAAAACCCATGCAAATCATTGACTTGCAATATTTATACATACAAACTTCTTGAAAATAATTGGCGAAGTGCGTCCTTAAAATTGGGGTCAGGTAGTCCAAATATTTTGTAGCAAGACATAATAAGAAGTACTCAGACAAGTGGGTTTTAAAAGTGATCCAAATATTGAATTCCGAGAAAGATCAATTTGTAATGCCCGTAGTTCTACATACAGACGAGGAAGTGTTTACATATCCCGGTAGTTATATACTCAAACTAAAGATATTTAAGGCTTATCATGTCCCAGAAAGGCTTTTATTTTTATTTCTCAAAATGTTTTAAGTATTGATAATGTTTACAGTTTCCAAAAAAAAAACTGATTTGCTACGTAGATGAATTAGCTTTTGCTAATTTTGCTCAGTTTGGAATTAGGATAACTATAGTGAATTAATATTTTACATGGAATTCAAAATTCTACTTTGTTTACAATTTGCTACCTTAACAAACACATTTCAAGCCTACTTTCTTCAGTTGTTAAGCTTCTAACATACTCTAAAAGCATTATTAAAACATTATAAAATACATGTTTGAGATTTCTAAAAAAAAAAGAAAATATTGAATTATGAGGCACAATGTGCCTTTAAGATTGTTACTTTCAATTACTTATGGTCGGCTTCATGTAACCATAGATTTAAAAAAAAAAGCAAAGTGTGGTAAATGTTAATCAATAATTAATAACAACAGCATTAAGAAATATCGATATTTATTCATCTAAAAACAATACAAACTAAATGATACTCAGCTGAATATTCGCAATGTTCCGTTTTTCCGGTTATTTTATATGAATTAATATATAATAAAATGTATGGTGGTTGATTTGGTACGCTTTTGTGCGTCGCGTTGGCGCTGGCGACAACACCAACACGACAAAGCGCAAAACGGCGCGTTGTCGCGCTCTGTCTCTAGCGCGGCACGCCAAACGGTGCGTTGTCGTGCGACGTGTTGTCGCGATGTCACAATGTCGCTTGGTTCAAATTGAAGGATTGGCTTATAAGCCAAGCGACAGGGCGAGATCTCGACAACGCGCCGCACGACAACGCGCCGTTTGGCGAGCCGCGCTAGAGACAGGACGACCAGACGAAAGTCTGGCAACGTGCCGTTTGGCGCTTTGTCGTTTTGTCGCTAGCTCCAACTAGACGCACAAAAGCGTGCCAAATCAGCCGCCATAAAATATACACTTTATATTTTTATACATAGAGAATATTCAAGATTTTTTCTTTAAATACAGAATCTATTTCATCGAGTTGTATGCAAAATAGCAAAATTTGATTGCAAAGTAGCAATCCTTGATAGCAATACGTGTTAGCAATACTTGATAGCAAGAGATCAATTCTTAATAGCAATACTTTATCGCAATATTTTATAGCAATCCTTTTGCAAGATATAAATCCTTTACAGCAAGATAGCTAAACTTGGTAGCATTATTTGGTCGCAATATCCGATAGCAATACTCGATAGCAATACTTCAATAGCAATACTTCGATAGCAAATTTCCGATAGCAATACTTGACAGCAATACTTGATAGTAATACTCATTAGTAAAACTCGATAGCAATACTTCGATGACAATATTTCGAGGGCAATATTTCGATAGCAATATTTTATTGTTACACTTAGTAGCAAGGGACTTTGGATTCTTTCATGTGAGGAAGCTATCCAGCTAGCTTACGGAACGTCGGTGGTTCTACTCAGGTTCCCGTTCGTGCCTGAAATAATGCACGGAAGGGCACCTGAGTTTCCTCCAGTAGCGAACGTCGCAAATGACTATACTGTGTCGGTGTGACGTACAACCCAATCAACAAACATCTTCAAAAAACAAGTTTTTCATAAGTCAAGATGATAATTCTTAACACATTCTACTGTAATATCATAGTATTACATTTCAGTTCGAATGTACCAAATTAATAAAAACAAAATACATGATCAAAGTATGTATTCCTAGTTGGTAACTGATTCTCCACGCCATGACAGTCACACCGTTTCGAATTCATTGAATCAGTTCTTTTTCCAAAATGGAAAGGTTCGTGAACATGCCCGCGTGTAAGTAGAAATGAAGTCGCTAGATATCGATAATATCAGTTTTAATATCCGTATTAAGTCGAAGCCGCTTTCGTCTTCTTACAACATCACGAGGTGGAACCGCATATGGATCCCAAAATTAAGCATCGGTAAAAAATACTTGATAGAAATACTTGCAACAGTTTGCAACCTGTAACAAAACACGTCAAGACTATTCCATATGGTGAATAGGAGTTATCGGTTCAAACTACATCTCAAATGGGGTGTCCGTGGCCGAGTGGTTAAGGTCGTTGACTTCAAACCACTTGCCCCTCACCGCTGTGGGTTCGAATCCCGACAGGGACTTTGGATTCTTTCATGTGAGGAAGCTATCCAGCTAGCTTACGGAACGTCGGTGGTTCTACTCAGGTTCCCGTTCGTGCCTGAAATAATGCACGGAAGGGCACCTGAGGTCTTCCTCCACCAGTAAAGCTGGAACGTCGCCAAATGACCTTTACTGTGTTGGTGTGACGTAAAACCCAATGAAACAAACATCTCAAACAAACTCATAAGGTTGTTTCATAAGTCAAATGATAATTCCTTAACACAGTTCTACTGTAATATTCATAAACGGTTTTCAATTCAGTTCCGGAATGTTACCAAATTAAACAAATATAAACATGTACATGATAAAAGTAATCAATTCACCCTTAGTTTCTGGTGGGTAACTGATTCTACCAACGCCATGACCAGACGACACCGTTCGATATTCAGTCAATTCTTAATATGATTTTTTTTTCCTAAAATGATGAATACTAGTAATTTCGTGGAACAGGCCCGCGTGGTAAGGGTTAAAAGGAGCACAGTGAAGTAAACCAGTACATTTTCAGTATTATCCAGAAAATTAATCAAGTATTTCCTAACTAATTGATAATCTACTTATATAATAAATGCCGGCTACTTATAAAATGAATGGAAATGATTTTCTATCATTTTCAATGCAGGCGGGAAAACGTGAACCCTCTCTGATTTCTGAATGTGGTCAATCTAGCCATGACACTTCAATGTAACCGTATGTTAATAAAAAGCGCTGTGGTTTTCAAACAATCCTTAAGATATAGTGGCATAATATCGAACAAAACTTAATTAAAAGTCAGATATACTCGTAAGTCATAAAAGCATTGGCAAGAAACTATTATGTTGCGTGGTGTTGTGTGGTGTTGTGTGGTGTTGTGTGTGTTATGTTATGTTATGTTATGTTGTCTTATGTTATGTTATGTTATGTTATGCTATGCTATGCTATGCTATGCTATGCTATGCTATGCTATGCTATGCTATGCTATGCTATGCTATGCTATGCTATGCTATGCTATGCTATGCTATGCTATGCTATGCTATGCTATGTAATGTTTAACCGTTTGAATCATTGCAACAGCACTGGGCAGAACCCCATATGGATTCCAAAAATTAAGCATCGGTAAAAAATATATGTGAATTTCCGTTGCTCCAGATGTGCGCTTTAAATCGATATGTAAAGGAGAAAATAGGTCGGACTTCTGTTGTTTCCTTGAGCAAGAAACTGTACACTCATTGCTTAGCACTTGTTTGTTCCAGGAACTGGAGAGTGTTTCAATAAGCTCATAGATTGCAACACAATCGAACTTAGATAAATTTAGTATAAACTAAGAATCGCAGACCACAAAACAAGTACACTGTACTTCAGTTCGCTTGTACATGTGAAATGATTCTGTCCATGACTAAAATATTACTGGTTACTTTTTTAAAAAGCTTCTTGTTGGTGCTATATAAACCGAACCTTATAATAATTATTGTAAATCTTGGTAATTTTATTTAATATATTTTCTTTTCTGTTTTTATTTTATCTGTCATTTTATTCTATCTTATTCTGATCACTCTTATAACTCTTTTTCTTCTTCTTCTTCTTCTTCTTCTTCTTCTTCTTCTACTTCTTCTTCTTTTCCTCTTCCTATTCTTATAATAATAATCATCATCGTCATTAACTTATTATCATTATTATTAACTTATTATCATTATGATTATTATTATCATTATTATTATTATTATTATTATTATTACTATTATTATTATAATAATTATTATTATTATTATTATTATTATTATTAGTTTAGTATCAATTATTATTATTACTATTACTATTATTATTATTATTATTATTATTATTATTATTATTATCATTATTATTATGTTTCTGCGTTGTATGTGAACATTGTATGTTTGTATTGAATGTATGTCATATTTCAAGTGATTTATGTATGTTTTGTATGTATTGCTAAAGGCATTTAATGGGTTGCCGAAAAATGCAATTAGATTTGAATTGAATTGGTATTATTATTATTATTATTATTATTATTATTATTATTATTATTATCATCAATGATATTTTATGAGAAAAAAATGATGTTATTTTTATCAAAACCAAAAGTACTGCATTGTAATGCAGTAGCAGTACCACTTTTTAAGACAGTAATTCAGTATCAGAACCAGTACTTATAAAATCGCTGCAGTACGTACTGCAGTACCAGTACCAGTAATGCAGCTCTGATCATCATCATCATCATCATCATCATTACTATTGTTAGTACCATTTTCCATTTTTAAATATTATTATTATCATTATCAATAATTCATCATATTTATACACATCATCATCATCATTTGACACAGAGTCACTTGTACAAAATGTTTGTAAATTTGTAAATTACATTAACCAGTGATAACGAATGAATCTCTTCCTGATATCAATACATTGTATATCAATTCTTGAAAAATAAGTATAAGGTATAACCATAATAAATCACATCATGTCCAAATCTAGATCATTAACTAACTTTACATACAACTGTTAAGCAATTTAAAACTTGTCACTTAAAATCGTTTATCTTTGCAAAGCATCTGTACATAAGTGGTTACTAAATGATTGTTAATGATTCAGTGAAGTGTCTCTTCAAAAGTGAAAGTTTAGCATGATGTATAATTCAATCATTTCGCGGTAAAGCAATAGGACAGATGGGTCACCCTTAGTTTACGCCCCCAGCTTATTAAAATTCCGTTTTTCGATTTTTCCACGACCTGTACTTTCCGGTTTTTCCAATTATCTTCCTTAAAAAAGTGAAAGAGGGTCTTCAAATAGCTCGAAACTGGAGGACAGCGATTCGTGATAAGCATTATCTCTTTAGTCGGCAAACTGTTAGTAGAGAATTCAGTTTGCATTGTTAAGCAATAAATTAATAAATCGTCAAGTACCGTGCATTTTTGCAGGTAAGGTTTGCATGTTCGCACGATAAATTTGATATATGACACTTAGCGAGCGTAAAATTTCAACTTGATAATAGATAACTGGGATATAAGTTTCTTCGCTTGCCGGTATATATATTTTTTCTCAGGCTTTGCTTGTTTGTTATAGAAATATCTTTTGTTTTCTGCGCGTTAATCGAATACATATTCAATTAATATTAAAGGCTCAATGTACATAAAACCTCGCCAATCACCGCGGATGATAGATACGTACGTTAACTGAACTTTATCGGTGATTTGATAATTTTCCTGATCAAAGTATCAAATAGTGATCTAATGTGGTAGATATACGTTACTAATTACGACTAATTTTACGAATCGACTTAATAATAAATTTAAAAAAAGATACTCACGTGACTGGGGATTTTTTTTTCAAACAAAGTAATAAAAACAGCACGCGCGTTCTGTATGGTTTTAATTTGTGCAAGTGAAGCGTTAGCAACAGTCTTGGAATTTTTAAGATTACTTTGTTAAAAATAAAACAAAACAAAAAACCCACAATCTTTTTAGCTTTGATTATCGCGTTTCACAGATGTCTAATTCGCTAGAAATCAACAAAAGTGTAATTGCTAATGAAGCGTAAGATAACAAGAAAATAAATATGGATGGAAATGTTATTCCAGGTTATACCACATCCACGCCTCACGAACAGCAGACGAACTCCTTTATGACGCATTCTAGTGGGTACAATTACCAGCAGTGGATACCCTCAGTGGCATATCCGGCAACCATGAGAGAGCACATTGCCATGAATATTCCGAAGAAGGAGCAGCGTATTCGACGACCTATGAACGCGTTCATGGTCTGGGCAAAAACGGCGCGAAAACGGCTAGCAGACGAGAATCCAGACGTGCATAATGCAGAGCTGAGTAAAATGTTAGGTAAGTCGGTTTTGTTTTTTTTGTTTTTTTTTGTCTAATTATAACAATCGTTTAGAAGAACAATAAGCGTAGAAAATAACCTGTAAATATATGATTGCCTAAATTAACTTTTACCTGTGTAACATTTTCAGAAGCAATAAGATGTAATCTGAAACGAAAAAAATTTCCTTCGTGATGTTATTAACTTGAAAATTACTGACTTAACAGATCAATAAAACAGTTGGCATTCTCATTTTGTCTAAGTATATGTACAGAGATGCTAGACATATAGTTGTTATATTAATGCATTGTTAACACAAGGTGTTATATTGCTATACACCGTGCACCGAGTGCAGGTATATAATATTCTTTCCCGTGAAGACTTAATTACAATAAAATCCTACCCATTTGTTATTCATTAATATTGGTTTTGTTTCCTAGATAAAAAAAATGTAAAACTCATAAAAAATTATTTTGAATGCATAATTTATAAACATAGAGTTTTAATTTATTATTGATATATAGTACTGATATTAAATTTTCAAAAGTGAAATTCTGGGGAAAAATAGAAAACCCTAAAAATTACGATATACAGGATTTACACTCATCCTTTAATGATATTGGACTAAATAATTCAGGACGCATAATAAGACATCTTGATAAAATCTAAAACTTTCAAGTACAAACGCAAACTATCCATTAGTTTGTATGTCCGTAAATCATACCATGAAAATTGTTGTATTATATTATATTATCGTAACTGAATATAACTTAAAAATGACTGGATTTGTATTTTTTACAACAATGTATTGTGGTTAATCTGAATTAAACGCTGTGCAAAATGCTTTTTTGTTAGACTAACAGCACACAACAGTACCCTAAATCTGAAAAAAATGTGTCTTTTTGTACGAAAAATAAAAGAATAAAACACATGACTAAACTTAAACTCGAAAAGAAGCGAAAGGAAGAAAAAATGCTTTCTGAGGCTAAGTTAAAAGTACCTGTTTATCTTATGTTGTAGTAAAAAAAGCGGTGATAATTTTAATTTGTTAATCTGATAGTAGTTGACAATTAGTAGCTCCATATAGCCTAATTAACTAAAAACATGGTTTTTAATCTGAACCTGTGAAATGCACGTAACCTCGGCACGTGGAGGCTTACAGGTGGCAAAGATAAATTTCATTAGTCGGCTTTGCTTAGGAAGCAGACTTCAAAATTCCTTGATGGCTTTTTTTTAATGAAATGACTCACGACCGAAACTTGAAATAATCAACTTAAAGTGAAAGTCTTATACTGTTATTCTTATTTCTCAAAATGTTTTCCATTTTTAGCTGCCTTTTAGCAATGGGTTCAGTTATAGTTCTAAAGTATTTTGTTTGAAGGTCAAAATACTGCTTTATTTACATTTTGCTATGTTTATAAACAAATACTTGGACATGCTACTTTCCTCAAGTGACCAGCATCTAACATAATCTGAAACCCTTTTTAAACATTATAAAACTCATGTTTGCCATTTCCAAAAATGTAAAAAAAATATTTTATATCTGAGGAATAATGTGCATTGAAGAATTAAGAAATTAAATTCTATATTTTTTGTTTAAGAGGTAGATGTGGTAACTTTTTAGAAATCAGTTAAGTGCGGCACGGATTCTATGAATTTGGTTTTACGCGAATAATATTATAATATTAATTTTCTCTAAATAAGTTCTACCGGACATTTTCCTATAACCTAAACTTGCGGTAGATATTTGGAACATTAAAATATACTAGCATCGCCCATAATTATTGCTAATAATTTGAAACAGAATAAATATTTAATTTATTTGGATTTTTTTAAATCATTTTAAAAATTACGTTCAGTCTATAGTTTGATGTTTAACTGTTAAAATTGTGATGTGTATAGTCATAGATTTATATTGTACCAGTAGCAATAAGTCATTTACATGTATACTTTTTATTTAAAAGATACATACATACGGATACATATTGGTGATATTTCAAATCTGGAATAAAAGTCCGGAATATGAAAATAATTTAAAATATTTTTATGGTGATTGAATTGCCGACATTTTTCCCACTTTTGAAAAAAATGGTAATCTTATCATATTTATTTTCACAATTTACATATGTCTTCAAACAAAAATCAGATTACGAATGAATTAATTAAAAAAGATATGGGATATTCAATAAATATGCACACAATTATTTTACCCCATTTCTTTCATTTTTAACTTTTAATAGGAGGTTTTAAGTTCAAATCAAGCCATTGCATTAAAATTAGAAAATATGCTTTAAAATAAAATTCTCAAATGACAGAAAGAAATTATTTTCTATGTGTTTTTTCTTTTCTTTCTATTCTTTGTTTTTGTTGTTTTTTTCTTTATCTCTTTTTGTTGTTATTCATTTTTAATTGTGTCAACATAAACATCTATTTTTAATTGCTTTGTTTACTTCAGGCACTAATTGGAAGAATTTGCCAGCAGACGAGAAGAGACGATATATAGACGAAGCGGAGAGGATCAGACAGGATCATATGAAACAATATCCCGACTATAAATACCGTCCACGCCGACGGAAGGGCACAAAAAAGGCCAACAATAACCCAAACACATCTCTACCAACTGAACATTCTTCAGGCTCTTTAGCGTACGACAGGGCATCCAGTTGCAGCCCTCACTATTCAATGGGGAGATTCCCAAGATCGAACAGTTTTAGCTACAGTGATTTTCCAAACAGACAATCCGAGAACGAGTTTCAGCGGCTGAGCTCCAGCGTGCCTATAAGTGCTACTCGCCTTTCTGTATCTCCAGAGTCACTTCCGCCAAGCAGCCCGGAGGAGGCAAGCCATGACAACGTCGCATACGCAGGTCATTGTTCATTCAGTCATTATCAGGCGACTGGAATGAATTCTTACGAACAATCTCGCCAGTTTTCTGACTCTCAAGTGCTGGGTCGGAACTATGAATATTCTAAAACGTACACTCCCCACACAATGATCTCTCAACAAATACCAAAACCACAAAACGTCGGGATTAAAGTTGATCATAATGACAATTACTGGAAAAGTTTCAACAACACGGTGGTAAAATCAGAAATGTATGCTTCTGACATGTCTTTGCAGCAGGGCAATTTGGTCCGCACGTCTCAGGGTTTTACGTACGGCAATTACGCTGAAAACGTAAAATCTCAATTTTACGATCAGAATGAAGAGCAGTTTGATGACGTGATCGATATCAAACCGGAAGAAATGGAAATATACATCAACCCAAACAATCGGCTGGATCTGAACAGGAACGCCATTGAAAGATGCCTTCCCGCTCTTTCTGCTCGTGCCGATTTAGGTAACGTTAAGTACCGTGAGATTAAACGCGAATACCAAGACGTTCATGATGAAAATGACTACAAAAATGAAAATACTGCTGTTTATGATGAAGCGTCATCGATGGTTCACGAGTCGGAGCAGTGCAGAGATATTCCAGTAGTATGTTATGATTTTGAATTTGATGCACAACCAATGATAAACGCCATTACGAATAAAACCGGGTAAATGGAACAATGAAAGTATGTGAGGAATGCTTTTGATAAATATTGTAAGATTACATTTTTTGAAAATTATTTCCTAAGTAAAACATACAAAAGATTGCAATTTCAGGCACATAAATGAACATTCTATATTGGCTTTTACTCATTTTAAGTAAGTCAAACTGGCTTGTTCAGAGGTTTGACTAAAATTTATAGAGATTTTGGTAATTATACTGTTCTTCTTGTAACCATTTTTTGCTATAAAACGTTTGATACATCTAATGAATTAGACAATATTCAAACTAATATTGCAGACATAAAACTTATAAATATCAGAAATCATTATAGATCTGGTGAAATAAAAGCATCGCAAAAGCTTTCTAGTTCACAGTTTTCCCTTCTTGAAAACTGCCTATAGAGATAATACGGTTTTACTTTTAGTCTACATTTTTACGAGCTGCATTCTTTCTGCACGTTTCTCCACATATTTCTGATTAACTATCTACCTTACGTCTTTAAATCATTACAATAAAATACGCTCACGCGTGTTATATACAGTAAACAAAGATACATTTACCTTTGTTGTTTTTTTTTTGTTCGGCAATGAAATTTGCCATGTTCTTTCCAATCAGGGCGTGGAAACAGGCAATAATATCATTTTAGTGAAATGATCTCTGCAAATCTTGTTTTGTTTCCTGTTAATAGAATTTGCCATTTTCCGCGTTCAGATTTAATAGAAATCCACCTTTGGTTTTACTTTGAAAGTGGGTTCATTAAGTTTTTTTTCATGAAAATCATAGCAAATATAATGTTGATGAAAGGAAACATCATGAACCATGGGTGATTTGTTTGTATTACTTTATTCAACAATATAATAATAAAACCTGCTATAAAGCTAGAGAACTGTATTCTAATTCATAAATTGTTGATTTTCACTCTTGCAAAAGGGTCCCGTGTATGAATCTTTAATGTCAACCACCTTTCAATTAGTCAATTGCCGTTATGTCTATATGTTGATAAACTTATATATGCTCCTCAAAACTTAGTAATGGCCTCTTCACCAGCTCATATGAAAGCACTTGAATGTTAAAATTTATCAGGAAATCGTCAATAAAATGTTAATTTAAGTTTCATACAGTATACTCATGTTCAGTGTTTAGTTTGTTTTTATATCTTGCACCTGTTAAACTAACATATATTTATTTGTTCTCATTTTTAATCTCCACAGTCAATATGTATATGTTTGTTCATGATTTATACATCGATCAGCCCAACTAGGTTTAATAACAGCTTAAATTATCTGTAAAGTGATTATAATTGACATATATGTTATTTATTGTTATTTGCTTTCCTATAAGTCGTATAAAGCAATATTTTATTCGACAAACTTTATATACCATTGACACTCTACATTAAGAGCCTTAGATTTATTACTTTATCTGTTTTGAAGAAACTCTTGTAACGAAGCTACAGGATTGTAAAAACAAATATATCGGAGTTTATCAGGGTTCAGTTTTTACAGCTTAGTTTTTCACTTGTTTCATAAAAACCTTTCAACGTTACAAACGCGTATAAACGTCAATGTGTCTTTCTTATTGTTGCAATGAATTTTCATTTGACTCAATTCTGAATTTTAATTTGACTTAATGTTGATATTTTTTTCTTCAACATAGAACTTTATTTTATTTTATTTTGATTACATATTCAGAAAGGTATAAAAAGTTGGAAATGAGTTAGCTGTAATGCGGTTCATTACACATTAATTGTTATTTCATTAATTTGATTTTGTATTATACATGTATTAAGATCACTTGATATTAAAATCTTTCTTTTGCAAGATCATCTGTTATATAAAAAATCTGATTTATTTTGCTGCATACTAAATTGACTTTGCAACGAACACATTCTTGTTTTAGTTATTGTACATACATATACATTTGCATGTATTTTTGTATTTTGAAAAATATGATAATATGCACAATTTGATAATTTTCTATGCTATGTTTTAATTTGACTTTTATTTATAGTAATAATGTCATGTAAGTTATATATAGAAATTTCACAACGCAGTAATATGAGTTTCAAACAAATTTGACTTTGTAACAATAATGTTTTTTTTCCCCTACCTTTCAGTTACTGTACATAGATGACTTTTTATCTGAGGATTTTTACTTGATGGGATTTGAAATATTACACCATTTGATAAAACTTGTGCGCAAATTTTTAGGTCGTTCCCCCATCCCATGTTTCCAAAATAATAATTTATTGTGCAAAATGACTACAAAAATTAAAAGCGTTGCAATGCATTTCACTCGAAATCGAGTTCAGAATCCCACAAAAAACGATATTCAATTCTGAGTATATCTTTTTATTATCCTTTGCAAATTATTTCCGTTTTGAATGCTATATTTGATCAATGTATGAATTTCAAATTTTATGTTTCAGACATTTTGACTTCAGTTTAACTCACTCAATATAAATTTCTACATTATGTTTTAATTTGACTTTTTAAAACAAATATCATGTTACTTCACTTATGAAAAAATACAACGCAGTTATGTAATCTCTGTTATCTATCTGTATATTTTCACAAGTTTCTTGCTATCTTGATAATTTATCAAACTACATATATTTATTTTTGTACCTGACTAATAGGTTTTTCATATATATTTTTTTTTTTGGGAAAATGCTTTATACATATATATCAATAGGTTACGATTTGTAACGCTAGTAAATAAAACTTTTATATTTTTAGATCAGTAATTTTAATAAGTGGAGAAAAAATGAATTTTTGGTTAAAAAGTCCCTCTTTGTCATATGTTTAATACATGTATATATTATATTGAACAGATTATCTGAACATGTTCCTACTTTATTTGACAAGAACTGTCTGTTTTCTTTTTTTGTCTGTTTGTTTTTGTTTTTGAGATTATATTTGTAACTTTATTTTATAATGTAAATAGATTTTAACTTTTAAGATATACATGTACATAAGAGACAATGAAATATAAAAACATATTATATTTTTTATGACACACACTAAAGAATATGTAAATTTTGAATGCTTACAGTGAAAATGACTTTAACTTACCTTAACTTGCAAAACCATGTCATCTATCAAACAATAGTTATAAGCAACGATAATATGCAAATGAGTTCTTTGAAATTCTACAATATACAATCATGATTATTTTCTAAAAAAGAAATATTTACTATTAATATTTTTGTGTTATTTTCTTTTTCATAAAAGTATCAAAAATTTGTGTACTGTCGTCGTTTGAATTGAAACGTTTACAGTGCCATAGGTAATTTCAGATTGAGATTTGTTTTATATTTATTTTAATTATTTACACAAACAAAAATATCTTATGTCATGTTTATGATTTTTTGCTCCTTTGAAATAAAAAAATGATGAAAAAGAATTGTGAATGTCTTTGTTTTCCTTGTTAAGCTGTTTAGCCTTCATTTGAAGCCACAAATGGAAGTGGGATGTCCTTCCAGAAAAGCTAACGATTTCAGTATCACTTTCTTATTCCGTCTTAAATTAACAAGTTTAAGATCCAATTTTAAATTGCTGACGAAAAAAATTTATATTCAACTCAACTATTTAGGTACATGTATCTCTTTATACATCAACTGACATTGCAAAAATATGTGTCATAGCTGTGGTTAACATCCATCCATACATACATACATACATACATACATTTTTTTTTAGTATGTAAGGTATAAATATTAGTCTGTCTATGCTTATCAATTAAAAAAAAGAACGCAATCAGATTTGCTTTAATATAGATAAGACAGACAAGATTAAAAAAGCAAAAAAGTAATGAAATAATAGAATAATGAAATCATCGTCAGCGTCACAATAAATATTCGAAATATTCGAGAGAAAAAATGACAATAAGAAGCCGAAATTAAAAATAGAATTGTGAATTGTATTTTTCATGCTTTGACCTTTTATCTTTCTATGTTAACTCCTGCTTGTCCAAAATGTTAATTATGATAATAATAATAATGATGATGATGATGATGATCATTATAATAATAATAATAATAATAATGATAGATGATGATGATGATGATGATGATGATGATGATGATGATAATTATAATGATGATGATAATGATGATGATGATGATGATGATGATCATAAAAATAATAATAATAATAATAATAATAATAATAATAATAATAATAATAATAATAATGATGATGATAATGATGATGATGATGATCATCATCATCATAATAATAATAATAATAATAATAATAATGATGATAACGATGATGATGATGATGATGATGATGATGATGATGATGATGATAATAATAATAATCATCATCATCATCATAATCATTTTTAACAGGTTATGTGTATGGTGAAATGAGTTTCATCGACGTTACGACCAGAATTTATTGTCGAATCAATGTTGTGTCTTTGAAATGCAGTTTTCTATGGGTTTTTTATTCTTTTTTTTTTTTTGCTATTTTTTTCTAAGTTTGAAACTTTGAGACAGTGTATGTCCTCTTCAGCACATACAATTACCTTCTAATGAAAAAAAGGAAAAGGAAAAGACAAAAACGAAATATAGTTCAGATAGGAATATGCACTTTCAATGAACACACACACATATTTTCATTTTCACGATTGAGGTGTTTATTTGTTTAAAAAGGTATATAATGATGACTATTTCTATAGAATAGTCTCTGTTATTTGGGGAACAACTTATACCCTGCCCTGGTTATGACGTAGGTACTGTATCTACGTCATATCCTTTTAACGCTGGCGTCGAATGTTGTAACAATGGAAGAAATGAATTGTTGAAAAAAAAAATGGAAAAAATCGCTGATCAAAACAGCAATCGATAGTAATATCTTCTAGATATGAATCGATAAGACGTCGGTGATTTTCTGTGTGCCCTATAAGCAGCAATTTTGTTGATATTTTCCACGATTGAAGCGGATTTGTTCTTGATGTCTTTGGTGGGAACATGGAACACTGAATCAAGCAGGATATTATATGGACAGAGAAGTTTTCTTATTCAATTCAGATTTAGATCTTCAAAAGATTGTTGTCGAGAACAGTTTAAATTTAAATTATTTATATTCATTGTTTTGTGAATTGTACTTTGTCTAGCTTTATGCTGACCGCTGCCGTAAATTGACAATTTTATTATGACGATCCATGGATCTACTCTCACCACGGCTATTCATTTAGCTATGTCTGTATTTCGCTATATGTTAAATCATTCGCGGTGTATTAGTTATGATGGTAACGATGATGATTGTAATGAAAACCTTTAAAAAAAATAATACGATAATCTAGCTAGGTCAGTAGGTGCACTTTGCTATTTTCAATGGCGTTAAGAATGGTGGAAGCAAGAAATTTTTGTTAACTTGTGCTAATTGTCCTGAATTAGGAAAAATGTGTCTATTAATCTAACAGGTTCATAATAAATCAATTGTTATTAGCTAATCAGTTTTAAAATACATTTTATTTGCTTTTAAATAATTTTCTTTTTGTTGGACGAGATTGGAAGAATGTGATTAAAGACAATACACTACTGGTCTGTATGGGAAATGTGGAAATGCATGCGATGGTGATCAGCAGCGTCTTGTGATGACTCCTGACATTTGATGAATTGTTGTATGAGATAAATTGGTGACTGATGTTAGTAGAGCTAGTAGTTTAGTTCCTTACAGTATTAGGTGAGGTATTTCCTGTTTAAATGTTTATTTTATACATTATTTTACAATGTGGAACCTAGGTTTAGATCTACATGTTGAACAAATTAATTATTCAGTTATATTTCAGTATTTGTTATCATAGATGTGAATACATTGCCTTATTTTAGGGCCTATTGTTTTAATGGTAAAATTAAGTATGCATAATAAGCAAATTATCATATGTTAGATAAGAAGGGGTTAAAATCACATTAAATAGAAATTGATAAATTAATAATGCACAAATAATTAAAAGATGCAGACTTCAATGCAACATCAGTCACATGAGTAAGATATTAGATAATAATAATTATAGTAAATTAATAAACATTATATAAAAATAAAATAATAATAATAAATTAATAGTAATAATAATAATAATGCCTTGATGATAATAATGATAATAATAATAATAATAAATTATTAAAGATGATAATAATGTTAATAAATTAGTAATAATAATAATGAATTGATAATAGTAATAATAATGATGATGTGATCTAATGATAATAATAAGACAATCATGAATTCATAATTAAAAAAAATAATAATAAATTATTAATAATAATAAATTAATAATGATAATAATAATTTTAAATATTTGTCTTTGTCTGACTATGTTGTTTATAATTCATGGTCTAGGCTACATTACAGTACAGATCTATAACAAATTATATTTGTCACACAATTTATTGCAATTTTAAGTTGACAAGTTGTAGTTCACTTTTCATTGTAAAATTCATTTTCCATTGCACCTTTTATTTACTTTACACAACCTAAAAAGATAAATATTTTAATATAATAAATGGATAGCTAATTTTAGTGATGTCACGATGATCGAGTAGAATCGAATAATCGTCGCTGGCCGCTTATGTTAGCGACAATCGATTTCTTTACTGTAAAATCGATGTTGCTACTTACATTTCTTTGGGTTAAAAGAAAATCACAAAGGGACGTTACTCTCATCGTAAAGTCGGACGAGCAAATTTTCAACTTCCCAGGGAAGACACGCTCGTCAGTTTGGTGTTGTCTTTGGTTTTAAAAAACATTCTGACGGCCCGCCAGTCAAGCACAACCTTCACATGACGACCGTCATTTGCCGATAATACATGAAGTCGTATGCAAACAAAGGTGAATATTTTCTTCCATTTTTTCGGATATAACCTGTTAGCGGACATGTGGTTCGTGTACAAGTTTTTATTGTAAGAAATAATGAACGTGTTCAATGCTATATAAAATGATAATGTATAACTTGTAATGTATCCAGGTAAGGTTAATTAAAAATTAATACTTTTGAAAACAAAGTTGTATGCAAACAAATGTGATATATTTCTTCCATTTTTCGGATATAACCTGTTACCGAACATGTAGTTCTTGTACCAGTTTTTGTCGTAGGCAATTGTCAACATGATAACATGCTTTGTAAATTATTATGTTTAACGTTTTATGTATCAATGTAAGGTTGATTTAAAATGAAAAAAATGATTTTTTTTTGAAAACTAAGCCACAGTCCAAAATATGATTTAAAAAAAAAAGAAAAAAAATTTAAGTAGTGGTTTTTAAATGGAAAGTATGAACTGAGAAAATTATATTTTTTGGTTTTTTTTAGGTAATGCAGCATTTCGACAAACCTCACCGTAACACTGATGAAACTAGTCATACTGTATCTAGTCCAAAATATGATAAACAAGATCAACAAGGAAAGGTGGCGTTCAATGAACGCAGCCCCCACCCGAACCAGTACCAAGAGCCAGCGACAAGGAGCCCAGACCTGCCTTAGTCCAGAGAAAGTGAAAGCAATATTTTTTTTTTTAAATGAACATGGATTCTTATTGTTAGATTTGTGCTTCTTCAAGCTTAGTGATAGTTAAAGTTTATTTTGAATTTAAATGGTTAAAAAGAGTTAAATTGCTATTGTTAAGGAGTTTATGCTTTGTCTAAACATTTCATTTTCAGGTTTTTCAAACAATGGATATGTAAATCTAGTCTGTGGTTTTTAATATATGATCATATATTATAAGCAAATAAAAGAATAGATATTTGAAAAGATGTGTACTAGTGTATTTCTAATTATAGCCAACTGGTAGATGAACCAGCATATTTACAAATAGTTTTCGATTATTTACCGATTTTAATCGATTATTTATGTTTGATTCAATTCGATTATCGATTGTGTTTTTGGTCCGATTCTCCATCACTAGCTAATTTATTAAATGATTGTGAACCTCTTTTGATGATTTAGTCATAGTGAACACCATCCAAATATAAAACTTTAAATTTGAAAGTATATCGTTTACTTTTTATTTTTTCTTATAGTTTGACAATAGATCTACACATAATTAAACTTAAAACTTTAATTTAGAGGTTAGAAGTTTTAAATTTAGAGGTTAAAAGTTTTCCATTTCTTTAGGATTTCTTATAATCTCATGCTATATGATAGGTACTCATTCCCCTAAACTAGTGATAAAAGTGAACACGCTTCTTAAATTTTAGTGTTAAACACTGTTGATAATATTTACACAAAATCATGCATTCAACGTTTAACTTTTCTTTGTTGAATGTTGTTCAAAGGAAAATCATTCAAGACAGTTTTCTCTTGGCTTTAGTATAATACCCAACAACTTTGGTTAAATTGCAAAACCAATTTTTATGTAAACTAATAGAGGATGTGAGGTTTGATATTTAAAAACTTAATATAAATCGTCTTACTTTAATTTCGGTGTTGAAACAATATTTTATTGTGAAAAAGTACACCCTATTAAATTTCAAAATAACATGCTTATAATATTAAAATGACATTGTGCCTATTTTGTCATGGTCAAGTTATGCTGAATTGACTTTATGTTTCAAATAATTGACTGAAAAAAGGTTATTGACCTACAGCTGATATTTTAAAATGTTTAGGAATAATTATATAGGTATGCCTAAAATATAAAAAGACTGTCCCAAACTTTTTATAAATTGAACATTTTGGGTAATTTCCAATGGCATTGATTTATCGTTCATAAATGGAAAGTACATTATAAAATTGAAAGGAATTATGGCAAGATTTAAACTTATTTGACTTTCACCTGTTCACTCATTATAATTAAAGCCTTGGATGGGCATTATGCATTATGTCAAAAATATCTGTTTAATACTGTTTACATTATATTAGTGTCAATTAAATGTACAAATATTTTCATAATTTTGTAATAAATTATTATGCACTTCAGAGTCCATCTAAGCTCTTGATATTTATATAATTTTTGTTCTTAAAATGATTGCCTTTTTATCTTCATGGTAATAAACTTTGTTGATTTCTGTCTGGATTATTTTATTAACAATAAACATAATAAGGCACATAAAAACACTAACTTTACAATGTTTAAATAAAATGATGCAAATACTTTGGCAATGTTCTAAGATTTCACTTTGTTCAAAATTTAAATTACCATATTATTAGGCTATTATTTTTTTCAGCAGCTACTTAATTTGATAATCAAAAATGTCTTGGCTGATAATCAGCAAATGCTTTCTGTATTGCAGATAGATTAATGAATGTGGCTTTCAATTAAAATAAAATGTAAATACATGTGTATTATTATAATCAATGTTTATTTAAGTCTATTAATTGGTTGAATTGACTAATAACCAATACAGAATCAAACAACTTTTAACTGACAGTATAGCTGGATGCTGCAAACTGACCAGTGAAAGAATATTTTGTGTAATTGCTGATAACACTGGCAGTAGAATTTATGTCCAACACAAAGCTTAAACCATTATTCCTGGAGTTTGGGAATTTAGTATGTTTTTGGCCAATAAAGATGTTTTATTAGTAAATATTCCATGAAATCTATTAATTGTTTCAAATCTTTTTACAGCTCAGTTAAGTATATTAGTATAAGTACCTATTTTAAATAAGCGCTTCACACAGTTGTAAGAAAGACAGTCCAGGACTGACCAGGATGGGTGGTGTGAAATGCTGCAAATTGAAAAATATAGCTCGAACCTATGTACAATTGTGGCAACCTATGTACAATTGTGGGGTTAAAAAATAGGACAATTTCTAACACGTTTATATTGCATGCTATTCCAATGATAATAGCTGCTAAAACTTAAAATGTAATACCAGTGTTCTGCCTTGTCGAATATATGATGCATTAAATTGTTGCTAGTTTTCTATACGCATGGAGCGTAAGTGTTTACATCATGCGATTTAAAAACAAATGGAAACCTGATTAATGTATCATTATTAAACATGTTGGTTTAATTGGAAGGATTCGAACCCATGGAGTGCAATTGGAAGTATCTGCCCTCAGAGTCATGCAGGTCTCACGATCTTGATGGTCACTATTGTATTGGGCATATGTTTTCGGCGCGTTGGTTGGTGGCTGCCCCCGGGGGCCCCTCGCCCACTTTGCGGCCCTCCAACCTTTCAGAACTATAATATTGAAAATTGGTTAAAAAACGTTGGAGTTATGGAGTTCATATTAAGATGAGTGCTGAAAAATGTGCAGCGAGTTGCATACCTTTACTAAATATGTATATATAAATCAATTTTTTTAAATTTTTTGTGGGAAATGAAGGTAATTGAATTAAAAGCATATACCAAATATTAAAACATGTTTCAAATGAAAAATACTGCAGTTGACATGGTTTTGGGGGGTGGGAGGGTTGTGGGGTGGGTGGCCGATCAGCGCGCCGAACACCTATGGCATAGGGTGGTTCAGGAAATGTATATTTGAAAAGTTGACGTGTTGATGCATAATTTATAGTTCACGTTGATTGAATGCACTTATTGTATACATGTATCTAGCACATATTTGAAGCAGTTTGAACGTTATTGCTAAATTAATATCTCGAAAAAATGCACTGTCAAATGTATATACATTTAGCTAGCACATATTTGGAGCAGTTTGAATGTTTTTGCTAAATTCATGTCAGGAGAAATGGCACTGAACTCGAGATCTTGATGGTTACTACCCAAATTATTGTCTTTCAGATAGTGTCATATTTGATTTATGAGCGCTAGTATATGCATATTTGTTGGAATGCTGCTTTATTTGCTAAAGTTGAATTACCTACATGGCAGTGTTGTATTATAAATCATAGAATGGCTGGGCACGACTAATTTTTTTTAAGTATTCAATTCGCCGGAGCCAATAATAATATGATATTGGCGAAGCCATTATTTTATGTTATTGGCGGAGCCTTCGACTGGAAAACGGGAAATCTCCCGTTCACCATCCGAAGTCTAGTGGCGGCCGGCGAATAGACATTTTGTGATACTGGCGATACTGGTTTCTGCTTCCCAGAACCAATTTCGCGCAACAGTGTCAATGCTGTGTTGTTGCTCATATACATTTGTGAAAATTGACTATTTTGTGAATGAAGAATTGAAAGACTAGTATCCCAGCAAACACAAGACGTCATACTGACGTCAGATTTAAGTCAGGTTCTGACGTCGGATGACGGTCGGAAAAACGGTCGGATTTGAAAGTTTTTTTGACGTAATAATCTGACGTCAGATAGACGTCAGGATCTAACCATTATCTAACTATTTCTGACCAAAATCTAACCATTTTCCGACCAAAATCTGACCGTTATCTAACCAGTTTCTGACCATTTTCCGACCTCAATCTGACCATTTTCCGACCTAAATCTAACCAGTTTCTGATCAATTTCCGACCTCAATCTGACCATTTTCCGATCTAAATCTTAACCTTTTTCTGCCCTAAACCTGACCATTTTCTGACCTTAATCTGATCATTTCCCTAATCCTCCTTGTTTACAATGTTTTAAATATTTTCTGGCCAATCCTGATTTGATCAAATGTAATGTAACTCATTCTTTTAAGTAACTTTCACTCCAATGAAATGTATTTAACAAAAAACTAAAAGCAAAAATATGTTTTTATGGTTTTTTTTATTTAAGATAAAAGTTGCAATTTAAGTTTTAGTTAATTCTGCGAGGCTAAATACTTTTCATAAACTAAACCAAATAAAACATAAAATAACTTAATAACAAAACAAAAAGTATTACAAAAACAATGACAGAAATGAAACTAAGAAATCATATACAAATATTAATGAACAAAACAATGTATGTATATTTCTATCAAAGTTGCCTTATCAAACAAAATAATGAAAATATTATAATTTTAAGAAAAGTTAAAAGATTCGGATAATAATGTTTCATTAATGACAAATATTCAGTATTTTAACTATATTTCTACAGCATTACTAAAACATTTAGTGGTATTTTTCATATTTTGACCTCCTTTTGATAATTGTCACTAACGTATAAATTATTCCTTTTAGTTACTTCACAAAGTTATACACAAATGTACTTTTAAATATCCACGAGAATTAGCACGAATTTGGAGGTGTGATGCCTTTAGATATATGACCTTCTCTCACCACCCCTCGTCTGTCCGGAGGATGTAACATGTTAATGTCCAATGGCGTTTGTGATATCATTTTCACTGAAAAAAAAGAAATTTATGAAAATTGGAAAAATTACAAGCAAAAATTTTTCATGGTTATCTGCCCTTATGAAATTTTGAAAGTTATCTTAAATTAATGAACAACTTTGCTAGCTTTTCAGAAGTGAGGTTTAACAAAAATTAAAAGTAAACATAAATACTGAAAAATTAAAAAAAAAAACGCTTTAAAACTCCAGTTTTGTATGGATTATAGTATGTAATAGAATTTACAAAATCTTACTTTCCCATGATTCATGTTTCTTTTTACATTATCACGTATTTCTGCCCCTCCGACCTTTGAGAGCATGTCAAACGCTTGAACTACCTGAAAAGAAAATTATATTCTAACTTATGTATATTCTACTTTTAAAATATAACAGTTACGCAAGTCTTAAATTTTTCATAGTTTCAAATTAAAGAGTGTTTAGAAATTGTTGATAATAAATGTATGTTTATGTACTACGTTTTGTTAAAAAGTTTATGTTGTTTTGATTACATTTTTCCTACTAATGATTATATGAAGCCTCATTCTATATTACATAATCAATCAATTCGCTCTTTCATTTATTTCCCGTTCATTTATTAGAATGATATTAAAATCTGGTGTAAAACACATTAAGGTAAGATTTATTCTGATCAAAAATTGGACCGTTTGGGAAAATGCCGAAATGTCTGAAACCGAAACGTCTTGGGTTATTTAGGACCGAAACGTCTTGGTCCGAAATGCTCGAAATCGTATCAATTCATTCTCAATTCTCAGATTTTAAGTGACAAAAACATCATAGTTTAACAAGAATATGAAAACTAAGCATTCTCTTTGGTTATACTGAAAGGCACATTATAAACTCTTCACAAGCAGAGTTAAAACATGCCAAATTTGAAATGATTTATTATCAAACATTATCGCGAATTTGTGTGACATTTTGCTTCAACTGTTCAAATAATGATAATTAAATCTAGAAATGCATGCAATTATTTTTCAAATACAAAGTAGAAATAAATTTACATAAATTGAACTGACCTTTTTGTTCAAGAAAATCTGGAATATTCACTTTATCCATGCATCCCGATTCCTGACATACGAAACGCCTACGAATTTGAATTTTCCATCCACGTGACTGTAGATTCGAATTATAATTATGTTTTCTTTCCTTTTCCTGTCACTATGATTAAATACTAAAGAACTATTAAAAATAATCGCGATTTTGATACATATAATTTACCACAAATTATAATACTGTACATAACGTTAAATGATTGGAACTCGTTAACAGATCTGTTGCTATAAATAGATTTCATACTAATAACACATGTAATTAACCTATATACAGCGCCACCTTTATGTTTTATTAGGTTGCAGCGCCGCGCACGTGGTCTTCGAAAGGCACTTGTATATATATATATACACTTAATTTGTAAGCCAAATAACATTAAAAAAAAGTTTAAATGATTACAACAGCGAATAAGGATAACCTTTCGTTAATTTTTACCTACTGTCAGGAAACCGACCAGAACCTGACGTTAGTACGACGTCAAAAAGAAACGTCTAATAGACATCGGTTTTTGGACGTCAGATTTACGTCGTATTTTGGTCGCCGACGTCGTGACTAAAATCTAACGGTTATCTGACGTTATTTTAACGTCATGTGTTTGCTGGGATTGCTTGAACAGCTTTGATCAATGATTTTCTAGAACATACTGTTCCAAAAAGCTATACAGTTTGTTCCATTTGCTTGTTTTGATTTTGTGTCATTTGTTTGCTTTGCTATGGATGCCCTAACAGGGTTTTGTATGCCCGGTATCCAAACCTTTTGGCTTTTATTAATGGAGTCGTGCCCATAAAATGCCAAAGATTAACTAAGACATTACTCAGTGAGATAAATTACATATGCCACTATGTATGACTATAAAATAAAATTAGGTAAAGTATGATATCGTTTTGTTGTTGTCCCAAATAATGATGACTATTTCTATAGAATAGTCTCTGTTATTTGGGGAACAACTTATACCCTGCCCTGGTTATGACGTAGGTACTGTATCTACGTCATATCCTTTTAACGCTGGCGTCGAATGTTGTAACAATGGAAGAAATGAATTGTTGAAAAAACCCACCCGCCCTCCTCGGTCAATTATGAGTGTGAAGTGTCAAAGATTTGAGCTTAAATTTAATACTAGCGTCATGCTTGTTTCGTTGTTTCTGTCCTCTTTTGATATGTTTTCAGATTAGCAAACATAAGCGACGTGTTTCAAGACAGCTAGCCCTACTAAATACCACGGAAGAGGTATCTTTAGGAAAACTGCTTGGGCCAAAACCACCAGCAGAGAGAATTCGACAACGGTGCGACTCCAGAGATGTGTTCTATGAACTTTCAAATACTAGATTTCACTTGTTGTGTCTGCTAAATTTGCATTTTGCGGCCGGCGAATAGACATTTTGTGATACTGGCGATACTGGTTTCTGCTTCCCAGAACCAATTTCGCGCAACAGTGTCAATGCTGTGTTGTTGCTCATATACATTTGTGAAAATTGACTATTTTGTGAATGAAGAATTGAAAGACTAGTATTGCTTGAACAGCTTTGATCAATGATTTTCTAGAACATACTGTTCCAAAAAGCTATACAGTTTGTTCCATTTGCTTGTTTTGATTTTGTGTCATTTGTTTGCTTTGCTATGGATGCCCTAACAGGGTTTTGTATGCCCGGTATCCAAACCTTTTGGCTTTTATTAATGGAGTCGTGCCCATAAAATGCCAAAGATTAACTAAGACATTACTCAGTGAGATAAATTACATATGCCACTATGTATGACTATAAAATAAAATTAGGTAAAGTATGATATCGTTTTGTTGTTGTCCCAAATAATTCTAATACCATACTGTTTGAAAACAATTTTTATTTATTTATTTATTTATTTATTTATTTATTTATTTATTTATTTATTTATTTATTTATTGTTATTTATCTTTTAAAAGCCCAGGAGGTAATCTTGTTCGTTGTCAAGTCATATTTAAAATATGGACATATCACCTTATACAAATACTTACAAATGATTTACGAAGGGTGGTACAAAATATTAAATAATATAGGCCAATTTAAAATAAAATGAAAACATATTCAGATGTTTCTGCGTCCTAAATTTAACGCCATTTTTCAATTCTGCTAAATCGGTGGGGGGGGGGGGGCGTTGATGGTATCTCGCACTTTCATGTACAGACCATGAACAGGCTAAATGAAGCCAAGCCTGCAACATTTTCAATTTTGCCCGCGTAAGCATTCTAAAACGGATTTCTTTTTTCTCAATTTTATCGTCTGTTAGTGTTGTTTGTGTCGTGTGGAGGATATATATAATATTTCCTATCCTTGAACGCTGTAAAATCATTCTTAGGTTATGGTGCTGCCTGCATTTTAAAAATTGTCTTTTGACAGGTTGTCTGTGATATGCAGGCTTCATAACCTCTGATCAATATTTCTATTTCATTTAGTTTCGCCAATTGTTTTATCGTTTAGGGCACGCTCATTTTTTTAAACTTGAGGACCATACACTGCTTTTCATGGAATGACAGTCACATTAAAGGTTCCATGATAACCACCGTATGAACACATCTGTGGATGTTTATTAATTAAAAAAATACCATTTCATCTTACATGTTGAATACTGATTACAGGGTGGACAGGCTCAGTCAAAGTTAGCATGCAACATTTTTTTTATGATTTCGATTTATATGCAGTGTTGTAAGTTCTTAAATGTGTCCGTTTGTTTGTTTTATTCCTTATTCTATGAAATACACTGTACATTATCTGTTGTTTATTGTATATTATGAATACTAGTATACCAGGTTTATTGTATATTATTTATAAGAAAGAAACATATATTGTTTTTAAATATTTCCCATATTAATAATTGGCATAGTAAAAATAATTTGGAAAAAATGCAAACAATGCTTGTATAATTATATATCTCATTGTGTATTAATCTTTTATGTATAAAGTTACATTTCTCTTCTATCTGTTAATCGATGATTTTGTCGCAAAGGAATTTACTCGCTGTCAAAGGATATATTTATTAATTACAATTCGTCATATTTATAAAAGTTATGAATGAAGGTACGAGATATATTTATTTTCTTTCATTTATTTTCTGTTTGACATTTTGAAAATACGCTAATATCATTGTTATTATGGTAAAACAATCTGGAGAAAGTGTAATCCTTTGGAAGCATTAATCACAACAAAATTACATGAAAATTGGAGACTCGGTTTTGATTGAGTCTGTACATGAGGGATAATGAAAAAGTGCAACATCTCTCACGCCCCTAGCACCGGTTTGAGCGGTACTCAATTCTCAACACATAAAAGTGCTGGTAAGTCTATATAATAAAGTTGTTTATGCTATCATCTGTTTTAAATTCAAAACTGAAGCGTTTTTTTAAATATTTTTTTCTTATCTGAAATACAAATGTTTTTAACACGAGTCCGTTTTACAGCCTGTCCTTTAAAATGAAAGTTTTAGCAGAATGAACGTTATGTTATATTTCTGTCTTTCCTTGGTACTTATTCACTTTTAAACTTATTTTGGAACACTTGTTTTTATTAAGCTGAGATAGAATATTTTTTCAGTTATATCTATTTGTATTCGAGTTTCAACAGATTCAACAGAAGTTTAGCAAATCGTTTTTATATCAAACCTGCGTTATTCACACATTTATTTGGGACAAATATTTCACCAAAAGATGTTTTTATAAATGAATGATTTTCATAAAATGTTTTGTTTGTATAAATATATACTTGCTCTTGGTTGATTTTTTTCTCCTATTTACATCAGATGCAAGATTTTATCTTTCATTCTTACAATAATATATGTATGTATAATACACATTTACCAACATGTTCGTTCGATACAGCAATAGTAAACATAATATACTACATCCATTTGTAAATGAGCCGCGTCACGACAAAACCAACATAGTGCGTTTGCGACCAGCATGGATCCAGACCAGCCTGCGCATCCGCGCAGTCTGATCAGGATCCAAGCTGTTCTCTGTCAGTTTCTCCACTTGTAATAGAGTTGGTAAGCGAACAGCATGGTTCCTGATCAGACTGCGCGGATGCGCAGGCTGGTCTGGATCCATGCTGGTCGCAAACCCATTATGTTGGTTTTGCCGTGACGCGGCTCAAATAAGATTTATTGAAGCTAGTGTTGTGCCATAGTGGTGAATAAAAATATGAATAAAGTGTGATCCCTCGGAAGCATTAATCACAACAAAATTACACGAAAATTGCAGACTCGGTTAAATTGACTCTGTACATGAGGGATAACGATAAAGTGCAACATCCCTCACGCACCCTAGCACCGGCTTGAGCGGTACTCAATTTTAAACACTTAAAAGTGCTGGAATAAATGATCCAGAAGGACCAGAAAAATATAATAAATATTTAAAAACACTAAACTATAGTACTGTCTTCAAAACTGTCAATTTTCAGTATTATTACGATAGTATTATTACGAAAGTAAGATTAAAGAATTAAAGAAAAGTTTTTAAGAAAAATCAGGCAGAAATTAAAAAGTTGATAAGATTTTATTGAGGCAATGGTTGTACAACTATACTGTTCAAACCGAGACAAAGAACATGTCTTCAGCAAAAGATTTAGCAAATCAAAGTTTTGAAACCATTTATGAAGGCATTCAAACATTGTTCTTTATACAACAACACGAATCAGTTTATTACTAAATACAAGAATGAATATTTTTAAGTATTGTCAGTAAATTTAACCAATGAAGTCGTATTTACTTTGGCCTTATGTTAGATGTGATGATTACGACGTATCAAATGCAGATTTTGATAAAGTTCAATAATGTTAATAATTGTTAAAATTATTTATACATTGTATATACATTCTATACAATTGTAACACTTCCTTATAACTATGTTGAATAAGCTTACATATGTACATATATTGTGACCTTGTTGATTTTGCTATATTATTACTTGGTGTACATCGTAAGCGATAGGATGACAGGACGAAAGTCCGACAACGCGCCGTTCGGCGCTTTGTCCTGTTGTCGCTAGCGCCAACACGACGAGGTACTTAAGACTACAAGATGGAAATAAACTTTTCATCTTCTTCATCATCATCATCTTTTTCTATCTATATTCAACACGTACGTAAGGTACATATTATGAAAATCTTCTTTATTCCCTTAAAT